CTTTATTAATTATATTTTCTATTTTATCTTAATTGGATACCAAACAGTGGTTTTCATAAATGAAAATTCGGATTTGGTCTTGCAGATTACTAGCATGATGAAGTTGAGTTGGCTAAGGAATGGCTTGATTCCACCATTACAATTAAGATTAAAATAATAATAATAATAAAAATAAAATCATTTACTAATGTGCAGGTGGAAACTGAAAGCAAAGCAACTGCCCACCCACTTCCCTGACAGTGACACATCGTTATTATTTTCTTATTTATACATTAAGTAAATGCCAATTGGCACTTTATTTGCCACGTATTTAAAAAGTAAATTAAAAAACTGGCCTTAATTTGTCAAATTGCTATTTGTTTATTCTTTGAGAAAATTTTGATAACCCATTTATAATCTCAATTGTCAGCCAGTTTTGCTCCTCAAAGTTTGGTTATTAAACAAAATTATCCTCAAGTTCATGGAGGAAATTAATACGCACTCACAAGTGTAAGATCCCACTTTGATTATGGATTAGTATTAATGGAGGTATTGAGTCCACTAATGATTTTGATTTTTTTTTTCAGCTTCAGCAGTAAACATGTCTTTAAATAAACTTTTACGTATCTCGAGATTAATTTATTTTTAAACGTGGTTAATAAACATTCTTCAATACATGACTTCAAATATTTTGAAAATAGTTTTTTTTAATAATATTGGCCACAAGAATTGAATTCTGTATTTAACTTACAAGTCGATATTTGCTTACCAACAGATTAACTCCTTGTGGTTCAATAATAATTTTGATGGTTTTTATAGACAACTATGGATGCACATACGATAACTTGAAGTCTAATTATATAATATTGATATCATTTTTTTTATCCATAAGTTATCCTAAGTTCAAAAACTTAGACTAATATGTTGTTGTTATGTTAGATGAACAAAATAAACATAACTATTTAAGGATTTTTATTCGTACATAAGGACTCGAATCCAAAACTACTTAATTAAATGATAAAAACCTATTTATGCTCAATTCAATTCTCTTGAGTATATTAATATCATTTTTCAATATCCTTGAAACATTAATGGTTTTATATTATTATTTTTACATTTTTGTTTTGGATTTAAATTTTTTTAAAAAAATCACAAAGCAAATTTTTTTTTTCCATAAATACATACATATGGATATAAATAGTAATCGAAAATTCAGCTGAAGAACCACTTAGTTCAGTGTTCGAAAATCGATTCGAAAAATAATACACATTGCCTTGCTATCAAGAATCAACAACTAGAAGTTGTGATTTCTTAGGATTTCATGTCTGGGGGTAATGAATTGACAAGGCAAGCTATCCTTACTTTTGGGATATATGCTTTTCAAATATCTCTATAAAGTGGCTATAAATATCTCATAAAGTGCCAGTCATACTCATGAAAAGGATCATGGAGAGGAGAAGCTAATGATTCCAACTTATTGGAGTTCTATCTATAGTAACGACTCCCACTTTCGCTTGGTACTTCTTCCGTGGATCACTTTCTTTACTCATTGATGTCCCTGCTTAAAATACCCAAACGTGGTGGGCTACCTGTGTGTATATATATATAAAGTGACAGTATAGAGTTGGGGTGATCTAGATGTTGAGGAGAGCTCATAATGGTTTCCCTTTGAGTCAATTTGTATGTAACATTGAGCACCGTGTGGAAAGGGAAGAAGCATCGAGATCTGTGGCATCTATTGACTCTTTCTTAAACCACTCGTCTTTTGGATTAATCATCGACTTAAAACGTTATGGAGTATGATTAAAACCGTTCAAGCTGCATCAACGACACTTATGATTGTTGACTTAAAACGTTATGGGGTATGTTTAAAACGGCTAAATTTGGTTGAATTCAACATATAAGTAATGAATTCCATATTAACTAGACATAAAAAAATTGAAATGCTTATATATTAAATGGACCTGTAATTTATTAGTCTAGATTTTTTTTGGATTACCATGGTGTCTATATTTATGTGTAAGTCTCTACGCATGCAGGCTCAAACGACTCTCCAATGCAAATCTTTTTAACAAGTGGTATAAAAACCGATGGTTAGATAGAGACAAACACATTATAGTCGGTTGAGCTTCCATTGTTGCCATCTAGTGGTTGAATGAGTGTCGCATTGTAAAGATGCTTCCGTTGAAAGAAGAGTAGTGTTTGATGTGAAAAAGAGACTTGCATGTGAGGGTTTGGATTATGAAGATGCTTTTGCTAAAAGAAGAGTAGTGTCCAATGGTTGAACAATTTGTGAAGTTGTTTTGGTTGAGCTTTCATTGTTGCCATCCAATGGTCAAGCAAGTGTGGTGCCACATTCGGAATTGTGAAGATGCTTCCGTTGAAGGAAGAATAATGTTGTGCTAACTAGTTACATGTGGAAGTGGCATACATGCGCTGATTAGTCTTAACTTTGTATAGCTCTGAACACATTCGTCTTGGTTCTAGAATTGAAGATAAGCTTTCCATTTTCTAATCTCCTCATATTCAGGTAGGAGCTGGATTTACTCTTTTTTGTTTTTTTATTTTTTATTTTTTGTGGTGGGGGCGGAGGCTTCAAACGGATCTCGTCTATCTTACCCACATAATGATTGTGAAATTGTCATTATTTGCTAAAAGTATTTAACTTTATTAATAACCTTGTAAACCAATTGGTAACCATATTTCCCTCCCACAAAACATTTTGGATTCGAAACTATCTTCCTGCCCCAAAAAAAAAAAAGAATTTAACTTCTAATAATAATAACTATAATAAAAAGATTAGTTTTTCTCATCCAAATATTATCCATTTTACATTGTTCATTAAATAAGTTCAAAACCTAAATTTTAGCAATTTGTAAAAACGAACGTAAGATTTTTAGGCAACCGAATTTCAAGTCGAGACGCAGAAGGGATCACTTTCTTTGGGCTTTGAGACATTATTTTTTTGGTCCATAGCATAAACATCCTTGGACCACCCATGTTCTTCCTATTACTCCGTCGGGCTCAGAATTCATTACAGGCGGTCCCATGCTACAATGTTTTCTTTTTGGTTTTTGGTTTTAACTTTTGTCGGAATATCTTCAATGAGCCTTTTTCGCAGGTGATCTGCATTTTTCGCATTCACAAAATTATTATTATTATTATTATTTTGTGGTATATTGATTCGAGAAATGAAATAAAAACTTATGAGATTATGATTTAGGTCTCTTTTTACCCGTTTGATTTTTTTTTAAATGAAATCTAAAATCCATGTAAATAATAAAAAAAAATAAAAGAAAAAAACGAGAGAAATTTTTTCTAAACTAAGAAGTCACACGGTGTGACTATAAATGCCAAATATTTGGCTATTTATCGAGGTAAGAGAGAATAAAAAGAGAGAAGGGAGAGTTGTTGCCAAGAGAGAAAGAAAGAAAAAATATGTTGTTCATTTTTATTGTCTTGAACGAATGGTGATTTCAAATCTGATTAATATGAATTTTTGTTGTGTTATTTCTGGTGACGAATTCTTTAATTCGAACAATGTTTATAGTTGAAAAACTTATATCTTTTGATATTTTTAATAAACTTATTTGATGAGATCTAGTTTATTTTTTAGAATATATTTTTTGAGAAGATAACTCTAAAAAAGAATCTTGTATACCGCTATTTTATATATTGAAAAAATTTAAATAGAATATAATCTGGTGGTTTTTTATATAAAATTTTTTCCGTGAAAATCAAAGTATTTGTTTATTTTTATATTAATTATAACATATATTAAAAGATGATGTGGTTTTTCTGTAGCTAAACTCATGCTACAATGAAACCAAAATAACGTTGTTTTTCTAAAAAAAATTAAGTGATTTTTTATCAATTTTTAAAATATTTTATACTTTGATCCTCTAAATTATTATTTTATATAAAACAGTTCATAATTTTAATTAATATTACGAAAAAGTCCTTATAATTTTTTTGCTGGATTGAGTTATTTTTTCATAATTAATGATAACTTTTTTTATTTTTATAAATATTCATTAACTAAAATTAAATATTCTTCTAATATAAATTGATTGAGCACCTCTTTTTAATTTTATTTTTTAAAAATAAATAATTAATTACATGTATTTTTTATTTATCAAAATAAAAAAATATTTCTAATATATATATTTAAATTCAATTATATATATATATTAAATTAATTTTTTTTACAATAAATGTTAATTCGTTTTTATTTTATGTTTTTATTTTTAAATTATTTAAAATATTAAAATATAGATATAATAAAGTTATATGTGGTAATGTGCGGGTATTGCACTAGTTATTACGTAGAGAAAGAAAAAGATTTGAAATTTATGACTTGTGATTTCAATTGATGCACGTGTCTTTTCCAGCACATCTCGTACAAATGGACAAGAATCCCTCTCCTTAATTTATGCGGGCCCACTAATTAAGCTCACATCTTCCGTTTCAATTTAAAGTCGTATTGAGTTGGCTAGGCATCAAAATTTGTCAAACTTGCATCTCAAAGTTGTCAAATAAGCAGGCTTAATCTAGGGTTATGTATCGAGATAATTTTTCTAATGAAGTGAGGTTTGAGAATTAATAATTTTAATTTTTTAATAATTATATAATAAAAAAATTACTTTTATTGTATAGTCCAATAGATTCATTGGGCTTCTAATGAATAAAAAAATTATAAATCTATATTCTTTGTCATAAATAATAATAATAAAAAAAAAATTAAAAGATCAGAACAGATGATACATGAAGACCATGCTCACATTAGATTATTCTCAGATCAATTTCTTTATATTAATACAAAAATTCTCTTCAAAATATATATTCGAAAGAAAATAGTGTTATTATTAATACTATTTTCATTGAATAATGAATGAAAAAATAAAAAGAATTTTATATCTTTAAACAAACTGTTTACTGTTAAAAAAAAAGAAAAGAAAAAAAGACCAAACAAACAAAAGTAACGTTTGTTTTCAAACCTGGTTACATATCAATGACTTAGTCTAGTTGGATTTGGCATCACCAGATTCGACACCATCCTTGTCACCTTGGCCACCGCCGCCAGGTATGACCGTGCGAACCTTGAACCTCTCGAGCCTTAATGGTGACTCACCTCCATTTCTTGAAGGTGTTCTTGGCGAGCCAACACTCAAGCTTCTTTGCAATGCCCTAGACTTCATTTGACCAGGTTTTGCAACGAGCAAATCAACGTTAACAATTTTCTTGAACATCCCCAAAAATTCATCATGTAACTCCGGGAATAATTTCTTGAAAACTTCCCTTCTTCGCATAAAAAGTTCTCTAAAGAATTCTAGTAACATTAGCAACCTTGAATCAATCTTGTCCCCTGCCTTGTCTGGATTTCTATAATAATGATCACTAATATCACCATACTTTTGCCGGAATAGACCACTTTCCAATAGTGACATATCATCGTATGTGCTTAAAAATGCAGAATCATTTGAGCTTGATGCCATGGAATCTGTTGGATCACACCTTGGATAACCAAACTGATAAATATCCAGTTCAGGACACACCGGCGAAGAGTCGCGACGATTTCCCTCAGACATGACCTTAACGTTAGAATACTTTGAGCAGCTAGGATGTAATAGTTGAAGTTGAAGAGATAGTGTAAGAGATTGCTTTGTTTTTTGATGAGTTTGTGAATGGCTAGTAGGTCTTGTTGGGGTGTATCTATATATAGAGGAGGGAGTGATACTTGTGCAGCAATCAAGAATCAAATTGTCAGATTTTGTCAGCCAGGACTATGTCAATTTGATGAAGATACGCGGTGCTGACTACTTAGTCCTCTCTAGATAATTCTAGCTAGGGTTACAACGATCTATAAAACCTTAAGTTTTGACTGCCAAATCTTGACCATAGTTTTTAGAGAAAATACCTGGTCAAGTTTCTTTTATGGGAATTTTTTTTCATCAGGAGAATATGATTGGACTGTATAATTGTATAGTAATTGGACTTACTGTCACGATAGCCTTTCATGACATTTTTTTCTTGAAGAAGTGGTCACTTGCAAGCAATTAGTTGCTTCCTGTGTCAAAGAGAGAAAATTCTTCTGGAAGGTTTGGGTCCCAGTTAGTTTTGGTCAACGGATTTGGCAGCCATCATCCTTTTGGTTCAACTTCAGAACAGATTTCCGATTATTAAAATAGCCTGTTGGGTTCTGGCTCGTATTGTTGGTATAGTTCAGGTTTTATTGTTTAGAAAAATGGTGAAGAACAACACTTTTGACGATGGCTGATGGCTCAAGTCGAAGGCTAAAATCCTGATATAGATGGCAAGCCTGAAGACCCGAAACTGTTGAAAAGGAGGGGATCCAAAAAAGGGAAAACAATTTGCAGACTGCTGGGTGGTGAGCAAAGTTGTTTTGGACCGTAACCCGAACCAATTGGATTTAAACATGAACCACGCTAAACCCTTGCCCATCCAAAATCAGCCCTGGAGTCCTGGACATGTACATGTCTGAACTTCACAGTTATCAAGCCATAAGCTACAAGTTTGTGTAATACACTACGCATGTAAGTGATTCTAAGGAACACGGGCTTGCTGCATGCACAGATGATAGAAAGGTGTTAGCGGAAACAAGAGTAAAACTTGAAGTAGGTTGCATCTCTTTTACAAGATTCAATTTCACATCAAATGATACACCGAACCAAATAGAGAAACAAATATGCTCTTTCAAGGGCAATGATTTTAACTATTATGCTACAAAATCGCTATTCCTGAAACATTGTTGGTAAAACTAATCGTCGAAAACCTAATAGAATGTTCTATAGCAGGCTACTATCTATACATGTTTGGTCTAATATGATCATCAGAGAATGAGAAATGATCTGCAGGGTGGATACCAGCAGTCCTGCTGGGAGGGAAGAAAGGGAATTCCCTAGAGGGCAATTGCGGCATCTGGTCAGGATAAGAGGGATTTGTGGAATAACCATATATGCCGGAAGAAGGTAAAACTGTATCCAAATAAGGATCAAAATAAGGCCTCTGTGTAGAGATTCTAGAGCCACTGTCGACAGATTGGCTGGTCAGAAATCGATCATCTGTAGGAAATCTTGATCCAGTTGCCAAGTAAGATCTGCTGACAAATCGATTGCTGGCAGCTGCTGGAACTCGTGTCTCAAGATTATAGTTTCCCAAACTTAATTGAGCATTAGAACTAAGGGAGTTTGTTCGAGTGCTGCCTTCGACCAAAAAATCAGTTGGCAGTCGGAAAAGTCCAACATTTCCAAGGGGATTATCTACTTTATTGCCTGGTATTGGAGCGGGAACAGACGGATCAAGAGGGTTTCGAATAAAGCCACCTTCTACTAATGGCGGCATGTTGATTTTCTGTTGCAACGATTGCCTTGCTTGTTTAAGGGCATCCAGCACACCACCCAACTCATTAGATGCTTTATGTGGCACCAATGCATAGAGTTCATTTTGTCTCCCAGAAGCTTTTCCTTTGCTGAAACCACTGGCTGCAGATTGGCTCCCAGGGGAATCATGTGGACTGTGTGAAAGTAGATGGTGGTGGGAGCCGCGTGGAGACGGATAATAATTGTTCCTGAGGCTCTCTTGATTTTGCTTTTGCTTTTCTGCATAAAATGCAAAATCATGAGGTGAGGATTCAGAAGCAGGGGTGCTACTGCTCTTCCACTCCTGTAACTGTCCAATATTAACAGGTGAAGGTGGTAGAATGCCATTAGGTTGAATGTTGGATGCATTTTCAACTTCTGACTTTACCCCACTGGATTGGGCAGCTATTGTCCCAGTATAGTGAGGAGCTTGCACCTTGATCTCATATCCTTCCTCAGTGATATCTGAGCGGTTCCCAGGATCATATGAATCCTAAATCATTATCACAAAGACATCAAAATGTCAGTGTTTATTGGAACAGGATCTTGTGCTAAGAGAACTATACATTAAATAAACTACTTTAATATTTTACATACATAATCAATCAGCACGGTTACTTGCTTCTTAACTATTACGATAAGTGAAAGGAGAAATTAGAACTGAGGATTGACTAATATATCAAAAAATTAAAATCTCCTCTCTGTCTCACTATTCTGCATACAGGCAGATTCTATTTGTCCAAATGCAGATATTCTAAGCACATCTCTCATTTTCAGCATATAAATTATTCTAAACAGTTTGCTTAAAATTCACTTGACCCTAGGAATCATCTTAATAGTTCTAGGAGTATTAAACATCTCTTTTTTGCAAGTTGCTACTATTTGTCGAATTTTTTCCCCCTCAAAGAAAGCAAAAAATTTAACATGTGAAGATGCCATTGGCATGTAGGTTATTAAATTATTCAACAATCAGACAGCAATTTGATTGTTTATTAGTTATTTAGGTTCTGATAAGCATACTGGTGTACTGCCGTTGTTTTCTCTGAATTTCTCTTCCCATTCTCTTTGAGCCTCTTCCATTGCTTCATATCGGTCAATGAGTTGTGCTTGATGTTCAAGTGCCCTTTCCATGTCTCTATCACTGCGACACACATTATCTTCAAGCTCAATACTACGTGCAAGCTGTCCATTTTCTAAGCCGCCTGAAATTGGGAGCTCTGGTAAAGCTTTTTCTTTGCTGTCTTCAATTCTTCCTGTCTCGGGCTCCAAGCAATTTGGAAAATCTTCTGAAGTGGTAGCAACTCCATTTTCTGGAGAATCAACCTTGACTGGATTGGCTCTAAATTCTTCAGTTGTGGATCTGGCAACATAACTATTGCATAAATACCTTGATTGAACAGGAAGAAAAGAACTCAAAACGAGTAGTTATCGGCATCTTTATGCCAGAACTTGAAAAGGAAAAAATCTAGGAGACTTGTAGCAGAAAATGGCTTGGCATGATGATTTTTTTTGTCTTCCCTGGAAATGTGTAAACTTTGACTTGGATCGCAATTAAACAAATTATTTACAACATAGAATTGTTCCATTCCGTGGGTGGTGTCATAGAACTGTTATCAGCACATGAGTTATTTGCCTCCCAAGGGTAATTGTAAGCCAGGTTCCAAGTTTTTGCACAAATTCTACAAGTGACAAAGGACAGACTATGGGTTGTTTATAATGAAAAAACTACAAGAACAGCATAAAATTAAATAATTGCCTTCCTGGGCTCAAAAAAGGGGACTAAAATAACAAAAAAAGGTGCCAAGTCATTGCTTAAATCTAAATTAAAGCAACAAAGTGAGATGAATTAACCTCGATTCTTTGCTTCTTATTTGGCGGCATGACTTGCCGTGGCGATGTTTAGGGGAAGAACTGGTAGATGCAAAGCTGCTCCGTCTTCTCAGAGATGGATCCTTGTACTTTTCAAGAGAACGCGAACCATGCTTGCGACCTTTCCAAGACAAGCTTCTACCTTGTGCAGGGGAAAAATCATGGTCAGAACCTGAATGTTCCATCTCATATTTTCTCACTTTCGCATTGACAGAACCCTGTTCTTCTTTAGAGGTCTTGTTATCCTGGTCAGAGTTCGAATCATACGTTTCAGAATCGTCACTTATCCCATTGCTCTCCAGGATGGCAAGAACATCGACTGTTGCTTTCTCAGCCTTCATTCTTTGAAGAGACACAATTCTTAGCTGTTCCTCCAGTTCTGCTACCTAATTGTTAAACAAAATTCAACTTAATAATAGTCCTAAAGGAGAAACAAGAGAACACAGTCCTCCAAGCCAAACAACACCACCCCGCAAAAAAAAAAAGAGGGTCAAAGCATACTCTCTTTGCTAGTTCATCAGCTCTCTGTCTTGCACTTCTTGAGACAGATCTTTCAGACAGCAACCGTGCCCGAAGGAATTCAATTGTCATAGCTGTGGAATCCTCCATGCTAGAACTGGTCCTGATGAGTGAGGATAAACTAATGAGAAAGCAGACAAGAACCGGTAAAATTCCTACCAAGTTTCAAAGCAACAAATTTGACCACTATCATTTCCAAAACTACAAGAACAGTTTTTTAACTGACTGGTAACTTATCAATCAGAAACTAATAGCTTCTCTGACCCATGGCAAGTTATAGCCTAATGATAGTCAAACCTTTATTCAAGGTTCAAATCCCCCTCCCCCAAATAGCATCCAAAATGTAAAACAAAATTCTAAAACCCTTTTATCAAAAAAAAAAAAAAAAAAAAAATTCTAAAACCTTCTCTCTTCAATTGCCAAAAGGATTTAACATGAGAAGAAATAAATCTGATGGTTCTATCATGCTCTTCTCGGGAAAACAATAACTTTAATTACAATGAAGACAATGAGCAGCATAATGATCAACTAACATGCCTCACAAACAGTGAACTATCTATCATTCAATCTAAAAAAGTTCTTCCATTTTTGTACCATTTCTGCAGCAATCTAATCCCACCCAAGAAAATGGATCAAAACCCAAGTGCTCATAACTAAGCCATAAATGTGCATACACAAGCATGAACCTTCTAATCCATCTCGTAACTTTCCACAATTAACTCATAGACAAAACAAAAATGAAAGCAATACAATCTACTCCAAACACTCACAAACACAAACATTTATCGATTCAAAGACAATCAGCTCAGAAACCACCTAAAGAAACACAACAAAAGCAAATAAAAGTAACCCAAAACCACTAAAAATTCAAACTTGTACCTCACAAGACAAAAAATAAGCCAAAAAGGAAGAATACCCAGATGGATTTTACCTCTGATCTTGCCTCTCTTGATCAGAATTGTTCATAACTTCACAATATATGCCCAAGACCAAAGACCCAGAAAGCAAGAGTTAGCTCCTCCTGTGCCAAAAAGGAAACAGCAAAATGAACTTCCATTTACAGTATTTTAACTTTTAAGTACCAAAAATTAAATTAAAACCAAACCCAAGAGTGTGATTTACACAAAGATGATGATAAATCAAAGTACAAAAAAAAGAGAGAGAGGAAGCTGAATGGGACCTACCTTGTTGAGAGATAGAGAGAGGCTAGAACTGCATCATCATTGAATTGAAATAGTAATCAAGACTTTTGGTTTCACTAAAACTATTGAGAGAGAGAATTTGGGTGTGTTGGGAATGAACAAAGAAGCTTCTGTTTTTGAGACCATTTTGAGCAATGATGGGACCTTCGGCATCTAAGTAAGTTTTTTGGACATCCTTTTACATGGTTATAGATTATAGTATTATACTGTCTTCTATTTTCTTCCTGTCATAATAAAAAATAAATTCTCTAATTTTATTAGGAGGTTTAAAAAAACAAATAAGAAAATTCTTTAAAAAGTGTGATTGTGTGATTTTTATTATACGGAACATAATTTCTTGATAATTAATAAATAATATAACTTAGATTTAAAATTCAATGATAAAAAGTGTCTTAGATTCAATTTGTTTAAGAACACGTTCTTGTGTTAATAAGGTGAAATAAATTCTTTAATACTAATTTTAAGATTCAAACTTAAAAATTAAGGAAAAAAATAAATATCTTTGACCATTATAATTTCTCCTTGAGATTTACAAACTTCTTTAATTTGATATAAATGACATGTATTTTATTGAAAATAGATTCCATATAAATACAATGATCATGATATCCAAAATAAATAATTCAAGATGTGGCATGATTAATGAAGCTAAGCAAGTATAAATTAATTCAGTTAATAAATATTCTTAAGTACAAGTTAGTTGAGTTAATTAATAAATCTTTTTTCTTATCAACTTAACATGTATTAACTACTAAAAAGGATCAATGGGTTTTAAATTTCTTTAATACACAGCTTTTTTTTTTCCCTTTTTTCGAGTAATTAGACCTTGATATCCTTGAGTAAATTATAAATTAGTCCCTTTAGTTTTTGGAAACAAATTAATTAGTTTTTCTTGTTTCAATAATTATTTAGCCTCTATATTTTTAATTTTTACTGTAACTCAATCATTTTCATTCTTTTTCAATTAATTTTGATTTTTTATTTTAAGGAGTAGAAAAAAATAGTTAAAAATATGAAAGGATTAGTAAGAAAAGATTAATTTTTTGAAATAAAATAATATTAAATTAAACATAATCAACATCAATTAAAATATTAAATAATTAATTTTTAAAATGAGATAAATTTATTTATTTATTTTTAAAATAAAAAGAATAATTTATAATTTCCACTGAAATCCTTTTACAAACCAAAAAAAATTATTCAATGATTTTCTATCATCTTATAAGTTAATATATTTTTACATGTGCTGTTGGGGAACACTTAAAAAAAAAAATGTCATTTTTGTGTGGTGGAAATCTTCATCCATTTTAGGGCTTGAGGATACAGAGTCAGCCCAAATAGTCCTACAAACAATCATCGATGGCGTTTGTTCTGGATAAGGCCACAAGGGAATAGCCGACGGGCAGATTCGAATTCAACTTGGACCAGATTTGAATTTCTACTTCGTGGCCCAGATAATTTATTATCATGGGCTTTTTTGGGCTTTTACTTCTCCTTCATTTGATAATGTCTGGGTTTGCTTCAACCTACATCCTTCGCCTCCACCTTTTATTTGAACCATTAATTTTTGGTTAAACCAACAAACCTTCCGAGACTTTAAGTTATTTAAAAATAAATTCTCTAACTTTTAATTTTAATTTTGAATTAAATTTTTTAAATTTATTTTGTTTAAAATTGGATCATTCTATTAGGTTTTTTTTATATCAATTCTAACATGTAAATGTGATTCTTTATGAGTAATTAAATAACATTTTAGAAAGAAATAAACAAGTTTTTTTTTTTTTTTAAAAAAAAGCAAAACATTCGTAGGTTTTGACTTATTTTTTATTTATTGGAGAAATTAAAAAATCAATCACGTACAAGTCATGTGTACTTCTATAATCAAAATTGATGAAACTTTAATACAATTACACAATTTCAAATGAAAAATAGTTACAAAGAGATCTAATTCGAAACAGATTTTTTTCTTTATTTGAATTATACACTATTCGGAATTTTTTATTTCAGATCTTCTATTATAATACCATCAATTAGTATTACATGTTACTTCTACTTTTTAAAATTTCTTACTTTATAAGTCACGTGTTAATTACTAATTGATGACATTGTAACAGTATGGTTGAAGTAAAAAACTCGAAGAATAGAAGATCTCAATCAAGTAAAAAAATAAATAAATAAAACGTTTTAATAAAAAAATCAAAAAGTATTGGATTCAAATAAACCGAGTCCAAAATTAGAAGTTAAAAAATTGATTTTCAAATGATTTAAATTTTATATAAGAGATTTAAACCATTTAACCCAATTTTTATCGGCATCATCTTTGTTCCTATCAGTCACACAGCCTTGTCTGCATCAATGAAGGTAAGGCAATATAATCATTCAATTATCATATATGTTGCTTATGTCAAAGATAATCGGCAGGTTTCAATTGCCACTAAACTGAAGCTGCATATGCTTTCTTTTCTCTAGATATGCAGGTGGTGGAGATTGTGGATCGCTAATAAAAGATTGCTTTCCTAATCTGCTGATGTCTGCATAATTTGTTCTATCTGTGTCTTTCCAGTTGTCTAAATTTTGCTCTTTTGACTTGCGAAAAATTGCTTTCAAGATATATGATAAGTCGAAATGACGAGCAAAGCAAAAGAGGAGACAATTAGAGGTGAACGGTTTTCAATTAAAATCGATTAATTGAATTGAATTAAAGTCGAAATACTAGTTCCATTTGGTTTTTAATTAAATTTGATTAAAAAAACCGAAACTGAGTTGATTTTAATTATTCCGCTTCAATTTGGTTTTAATTTTTTTTTTAACAATCAATGGTTTTTCTTATTATTATGTATTTTAGATGTTGATTAATAAATTTGTATTTAAATTTTGATGTCTTATTATGTGATATAATTTGCACTTCAGTCTTATTTAAATAAATATTTATTATCTTTTATATAAGTTAATTTAGATTATTTAATCTAGAGAAATGACTCTATAATCCACAATTTTTTTTTACCTATTTATATATTTTTTTAAATTCAAATTTTATCAAAAATTAAAATCAGAAACCAAAATTTCGGTTTTATAAAACAAAAAAGCCGAATAAAAATAACAATCAATTTTATAAACCAAAATTTTGGTTTTATTTAAAGAAGTTTGTTTTAACAATCAATGTTTTTTTATTATTATCTATTTTAGATGTAGATTAACGAATTTGTATTTAAGTTTTGATGACTTATTATGTGATATAATTATGTGCTTCAGCTTTACTTAAATAAATATTTACTATCTTTTATATAAGCTAATTTACAATACTTAGTCTAGAGAAATGGTTCCATAATCCATAACATAATTTTTTTTTACCTATTTATATATATTTTTTAAAATTCAGTTTTTATCAAAAATTAAAATCAGAAACCAAAATTTCGGTTTGGATTTGATTTTTTTTCGATGAGTTTGATTAACCAAAAATTAAATCAAAATATTTAAAATTGAAACCAAAAAATCGAGTGGCCACGCACCCTTAGCCACATAGGGTGAAGGGCTTGTGGGATTGTTCCATGGAGCTTGTTTAATGACACAGGTTCTCCATAAAATACAAGGGCAAAAACAACATAGCAGGGAAAAGTGACAGAGAGCGTGAAAGTCCCATGTTTTTCTGCACATCTCACCAACGATTGTTTTTCCTCGACTAGAATTAAGCATTTTGTAGTCAATGATTATCCTTTGACTATATATGGTTAATTAGAAAAAGAAAGACTAAGACTATTCTCAGTTCCTTTTAAGACTTGTCTTTTCTTCTTTTTTTAATCCACTTTATTTCCATCATTTGCCAGACCAAAATCAAGAAAGAGCAGGAAGTGAAACTTGATGGATGCCACAAATATGAGCAAAATTCGAGTTCTAATGTTTCCATGGTTAGCTTATAGTCACATACAATCCTTCTTGGAGCTGGCCAAGAAGCTCTCAAAGAGAAACTTTTACATTTATCTTTGTTCAACTCCTGCTAATCTTGCTCATATTAAAGTCAAAGAACCTTCAATACAACTTGTAGAACTCCTCCTTCCATCAACGCCTGAGCTTCCTCCTCACCACCACACAACCAAAGGCCTGCCCCGACATCTCTTAAGCAACTTGATGAAAGCCCTTGATTTCTCAAGCTGTAGCTTCTCCGAAATTTTGACTAGATTAAAGCCAGATTTGCTCATTTCTGATTTCTTACAGCCGTGGGCTCCGGCGAAGGCTTTGACACTCAATATTCCAACCGTTCAGTTCATGGTTAGTGGGGCTATGCCTTATTGTCATCTGCTTAATATCTTGAAGAAATCAGGTACTGCTCTCCCCTTAAGGTCTAATTATATACATGAACGTGTTTATGACAGTGATAGCCTCACACTTGGAGACCGTCCTCTTCTATGCTTAGAAGGATCCTCTAATGTCATGTTGATTAGAAGTTTTAGAGAGTTGGAAGGAAAATATATAGATGAACTTTCAGTGCAAGCCATGAAGAAGATTGTGCTAGTTGGCCCACTTGTTCAGGACCCTAGTGAGGAAGAAAATGAGAAAACAGAAATCATAGAATGGCTTAACAAGAAAAACCCATCTTCAGTCTTGTTTGTTTCGTTTGGCAGTGAGTGTTATTTGTCCAAGGAAGACAAAGAAGAGCTAGCACATGGTATATTGCTTAGCAATGTAAGTTTTATATGGGTGCTCAGGTTTCCTCAGGGAGAGAAAATAAGCGCAGAAGAAGCATTGCCAGAGGGTATTACTGGAGAAAAGGGATTGATCATTGAGGGCTGGGCTCCTCAGAAGAGAATTTTAAGTCATCCTAGCATAGGTGGGTTTTTGAGTCATTGTGGATGGGCTTCTATAATGGAAAGCATGAAATTTGGTGTTCCTATAGTAGCGATGCCTATGCATGTTGATCAACCATCTAATGCTAAACTTTTAGAGGAGGTTGGTATTGGTTTGAAAATCAAGAGAGAGCCGAGTGGTAAAATTGAAAGGGAAGAGGTAGCAAAAGTGGTCAGAGAAGCGATGCTGGAGGAACCGGGAGGGCCCGTGAGAAGGAAAAGCAGAGAATTGAGTGATGGCATGAAAGACAAAGGAGATGAAGATATAGGTGAGGTAGTAAAAGAGCTTGTTAAACTTTGTGGCTTGGAAGCAAATGGCTATGTTTAGTTTAGGTTGGAGCTTGTTATGATACAACCTAACGGTTGTTGTTTAACGGATTCATACATGTTCTTTATAATTTTATGCTGTTGTAAGGAGTCTAATGATGTTTTATACAAATAACGGGCACTGTTAGTATTAACGTTGTTATTTGATGAATAAGAATCATTATCATTATTTTAAAAAATTTTGATAGCTTGTATTTTATTATAGTTTGTAAGATATTAATTTTTTTTAATAATAAATTTAATTATTATTGTATGACGTAAAATTATTAGATATATTATTATTTTATTTAATTAGTAAATTAGTAAAAATATATGAATTAAAATAAATTTATTAATTGTTATTAATTTATTAATACATTCACCATATCTATTACTGTAATTATTATTTTATTAGTTCAATAAGCTACTATTTATAATGATAATCATTATCATTTTCACGACTGTATTTACAATTTAAAACTATGAAGCATAGGAACATCTATAGAAAATAGTAGCTTTATGCTGCTGTCCTACTTAACATGGTGGCACTTCAAGGATCTCCATGACTCTGCACTAGTTAGTAGTGGCAATCAAGTTCGTGCTGAACCTGAATTAGATCATTGTGCTTCATCAATAACAGAAAAGAAAATTCACATTTACTTGGATCGTTGTGCTTCATCACACACACATACACACATATATATAATTCGTAATGTCTTATTTTATCATCTTTTTTCTTCATCTCGTCATACAGGGAGACATTAAAAAATAAAAAAACGTTAATATAAATTGAGTTATCAATAATGATTTATTGTCTTTATGTCCATACAATATATATTTGATCATGTTAAAGAATAATATAAAATTACTTTTAAGATTTTACATAATACGTTAAACTTTTGAACTAGAAATGATTATTTGATATGATATTATAATCTTGATGATCAAACAATTACAAGTTAAAATTTCATGGAATTTCATCAATCCCACTTTCTCTTTTTAAGTGACAGATCAAATGTTTCAACTTGTGGCCGACATTAAATGATTTGGGTATGCATAAAAAATTTGCAGACAAAAGGGTGCCATAGCTTTAGTTCTAGTACTGCCTCTTCTCCATTCAGTTATTTGCAAAATCCAGAAAGAGCACAAGCTTATATTGATGGATGCCACAAATAGGAGTGTTATATGATCATGAAGAAGATTGTGCTAGTTGGTCAAGACCCTAGTGGTGAAGAAAGAAGAAAAAGCAGAAACCATAGAATGGCTTAACAAGAAAGACCCATCTTCAGTCATTTTCGTTTCCTTTGGCACTGAGAATTATTAGTCAAAGGAGGAAAGTTTGGAATAATGCTTTGCAATGTAAACTACACGGTTTCCCCGAGGAGAGAAAATTAGTGCAAAAGAAGCATTACCTGAGGGTTTCTTCGATGTGGTTGGAGAAAGAGGACTGATAGCTGAGGCATGGGCTCCACAGAAGAGACTTTGGAGTCATCTGAGAGTTCGTGGGTTTTCGAGTCTTTGTGGATAGGAGTGTTGGAAAGCATGAAATCTGGCGTTCCAACGGTAGCTCTGGCTTTGCATATTGGTCAACCTTTGAATGCTGAATTTGCAGTGGAGGTAGGAGTTGGTTTGAACATCGAGAGAGACAAGACTGGTTGACTTCGAATACAAGGAAGTCGTACACAGGAAGATGTAACCTAATAATTATATATCTAACTAATTTTCTTAATGAAATAAAGTTTGGATATTGATAATTTTAATTTTTTCAATAACGTTTCATCTAAATAACAGTAATAATAACATTATATAATAATAATAATTATTATTATTAACGTTATATGATGATTAATGATAATTATATTATTTTTTTAAAAAAATATTTTTGATTATTTGAAGAAATTAACAGCATCTATTTATATGAAATATTACTATTTTTTTAACTTTAAGATGTTTTATATAATTTTTAAGGCAATCAAATGATTAAAAATATTATTATTATTATCATACTTAGTTAATAAAACTATTAAAAATATATAAAGTAAAAATAAATTTATTAATATATATTAATGCAATTACAATATTTGATTGTCATAGCTATTAATTTACAATTACAACCGGGCGTTTCCTCCTGCCTTCCGTAACCATTCGTGAATGATTTTTTTTTTTTTTTTTCTCTGCAAGAAATTGCGATGATGACGAGTTTTGAACTACGGCCAAGACAGCTATACTAGGAAGATTCGGCAATGCCTTTTTTACCCTCAATCATTGTCTTGAGTAGCTGGGCTGGGCTGTACTGGGATGGGCTGGGCTTAGCCTAGTAGCGGAAATGGAAAAGAGAAAAGGGTCAATGGAGTAAAATTTAAGAATCAAGATCAACATCAGTTTGATCCTCCTTTCTTTCTTTTCTTTACTTACCAGTCCAACAGAAAATCCAGAGCCGAAGGAAAAAAAATGCATTACTGGATTCGAGCTTCTCCCTCGGATTTCTCCGGTCCTTTACCTCTACCTCGCAGGTGTCCTTCTCTCTCCCTTTCTTTGTTTTTTAATGATTTTCTTGATCGAGTTAATATTTCTTGATTCTTCTCTATTTTTTTTCCGCAAACCAGTGGTCACACTGCTGTTCTTGTCGGCAAATCGAAGCTGGTCGTGTTTGGTGGACTCCTCGACAAGAAATTTGTCTCTGAAATCACAGTTTATGATCTGGGTACTAAGTTTTTTCATTAATTTTGTCTGAAAAAAGTTATTAAGTGCTGAATTAGTGTAAATTTTTTTTGTTTGATTGTTTTTTTTAGAGAATAAATTATGGTTTAAGCCAGAGTGTAGTGGAAGTGGGTCTGATGATGGACAAGTGGGACCTAGCGCTAGAGCATTTCATGTTGCTGTTTCTATTGACTGTAATATGTTTATTTTCGGTGGCCGGTCCGGTAGTAAAAGGTTTGTGCATTGTAAATTTTGTGCAGTGATGTTTAATTATATACATACTCGCGCTGCACACCATTTGTGTTTTGATTGATGATGGTTTTTGTTTGATTGATGTCCAGGTTGGGCGATTTTTGGGTTCTTGATACAGGTAAGGATGAATGTATATATATTCGTGTGATTCGTTTATTAGTTTGTTTGATCAGTGAAATGGGGTTTTGGGAATCTTTGTATTTGTATAATGGTTTGAATATTATTGCTTCAGAGATATGGCAATGGTCAGAGTTGACCGGTTTTGGCGACTTGCCTTCACCGAGGGATTTTGCTGCAGCTTCGTCTATTGGGACCCAGAAGATTGTATTGTAGGTATTTTTGTACACTGTGTAGTTCATTCTGGCAAGATATAGTCAGTGAGAGATACTTTTTAAGTGCAGGCATGGTGGCTGGGATGGCAAGAAGTGGTTGTCAGATGTCTATGTCTTGGACACAAGTAAATCCTTTCGTCTCTGGCTTTGGAATCTCTCTCTCTCTCTCTCTATTGACTGCTTTTTTAGTGAAACTTTTTAGTTCATTTCAAATTCGGTTATTGTGTTTTATGAGTATGTTTGTTTTAACAGTGTCACTTGAGTGGATGGAGCTGGCAGTTACAGGAACTTTGCCTCCACCTAGATGCGGCCATACAGCGACCATGGTTGAGAAACGGTTACTTGTTTATGGTGGAAGAGGTGAAGTAGCACTGACCATCCTTGTTTGATAATTGGGTTTCATTACGTATTCATTTAAGTTACTTTTAACCGACTGGAATATGTTCTTAAACTTTGATAGGTGGTGGTGGGTCAATCATGGGGGATTTATGGGCTCTGAAGGGTCTTATTGAAGAAGGTTGAGCATCAACTCTTTTCAGCATCATGAGTTAAAGATTCATATATATTTAATCCATTACATTTTAGATAATAACCCTTCCTGTTTTGTATACCTTTTAGCATTGCTTTAGATTGTGTGTAGTAAAGCTCCTTATCTCTCACCAATTTTTTTTTTTTTTAATTGCATTCTGGTCATTTTGCCCCATCCTTTTAATATAAGATGCCGCAAGTCCTATGTTCTAGTCAGTCCTTTAAATTCAACATTTGTTGTTTTCTCAAGAGCTTAAAAGCTTTCCCTTGGACATTCTTCATTTGTTTAACCCTTAAGTGATTCTCAATCAACTAATTTGAGTTTATGTTATGTTTTTGTTGTGGAAGGAAGAGAATGAAACGCCTGCATGGACTCAGCTGAAGCTTCCTGGTCAAGCTCCTCCTCCTCGTTGTGGCCATACTTTAACTTCTGGAGGGCACTACGTAATGACATTTGCAACTTTTCCTGTTCTGTTTGCTATTTCTTTTACATACAGCTATTGGTTAATGTCTGCCTCAGTGTACATGTATAAGTTGATGTTACATGGAATGTATTTTAGTACTATAATTTCAGGGTTATTTATGTTGTTACACAGTGCAATCATGGTTGTGTGGTAAGTTCATAAAACAGAAGATGATTGCTGACCCATGTTTGTGGGTGGTAGAAACTAAAGTTCACCTTCAAGTAGATATTTTATGAGGAAACATGTTTTCAACTTCTTAATACCCTTGTTCCTTGAGAAGTAATTTTATGGTCACATTGCACTGATCAGTTTCTAACTCCTAGTCTTTTATGTGATGAATTGGTTGTTTTATGAAAGTTTTCTATTGATAAGAAGCAGTCCTGGCTAATAAAACTTCATCTTTTCAGCTCTTGATGTTTGGAGGGCACAGTACTGGTGGTTGGTTGAGTCGTTACGACATTTATTACAACGACTGCATTGTTTTAGACAGGGGTATGTGCTTCTCAAAATTCCTTATTGAACCTGTAGATGTAGTGTAAGAAACAGATATAAATAATTAAAGGTGATGATAATTGTGAATGGATTAAGTTCACTTTGTTTAACAACCAAATATTTATACATGATGAATTACTTACCATGCTACTGCTGATGGATATACTTATATAACAAAAAATGATCTGGGCAATTTCCTAGATTGTTGCTCCAAATGATTGCCCCTCACTATTTGTGTGTATGTGTGGCAACCATTGTCTTCCTTCTTTCCCTGTTGCACCATTCTTTGGTGACTTTGAAACATTTACATCTTCTGTCTCCTATGCACCTGTTCTTCTCTTAACTATTTGTTTAAATCTGTTTGTTTTTCCTTCTTCAGTGTCTGCACAGTGGCGGCGCTTACCTACTGGTGGTGATCCCCCCTGTTCGGGCATACCACTCTATGACATGTGTTGGTTCACGGTATTTGTTATTTGGTGGCTTTGATGGGAAGTCAACATATGGAGATTTATGGTGGTTGGTTCCAGAAGGTACTAGATTTACTTTAAGTAATGTACAAAGTCTTGTACTCCATTGATTGTTGTTAAGTCATAAATGGCCCTTTTACTCTTGGGAGTTTCCTGATTGAGTTATCAATTATCTTGTTCATCAAAGTTAATTCTGTTTCAGTTTTCTGTACAAATTATTGTAAGCCCAACACATCATCTCTGATGGAACAGCAAACTACGCTGTCATGTGATTGAATAGTCGACAACTATGGCAATTGGCATGGAACCATAAATGATATGAGAAAACTAATATAGGATGTTAAGCCACTGATAGAATGCTAAGTTATGTGTTCTGATTCTTTAATTGTTGTTTATGTGCTTCTTCTTCTTCTTCTTCTTCTTTTTTCATGATACAATGAAAAATATAAACAATTTTTTGTGATTGCAAAAATGTAATTAAGTCTTGTCAAAGCAATATTTGAAACAAAAGAAGAATTTGGTAATTATGATGAATGAAGGGAGAGATACTGCATGTAGACATTTGACACAACACTGATTTGCAAAAGAAGATCACATGAGAAAGGAAAAAGATTGCCGTATTAAGCAACTTCATATTGCCTGAGAAATCTAGTTACCATTGATTTGCATCAGAGCACAATCGATCAGTTTCTTCTGTAGTGAATTCCAGAGTTTGTTTGTTTTTTATGTAGTCAATAACATGGCTACTTTGTTGCCCCTTCTTACCCGTTTTGTAGGGGACCCAATTGCAAAGCGATTCACTGCATCTCCACCAGAAGTTCCTCCACAAAATAAGGATGATAGTGTCCATTCACTCGAGGTAAAAAGGCAACCGCCTCTATCAGCTCCTTAATTTTCCAAATTCTTTAGCAGCCATTTGGTAAAGTAGCTCCCAACCATCTCGTTTTTTTGTCCTTTGATTAAACTAGACTAAATTTGTCGGTACCATAAGAAGCTCGGTGAGTTTAAGCAGCTCCATTTTTCAGAATTAACCTAGGTTCAATTTGAAGTTTAATATATAGTACAAGTGCCCTTCGGAGTTTTTTATGAATCTTATGTTTGGCATTTGTAAAGTCTGACTACCTGTACTAATCCGAAATGAAGCTCCGAATTGGAATAAAATTACACAAGCACTTTATAATTTTTCTTACTGTTATTTTATTATGTATTGATCAGGCCAGTTTACTTTCCCACTCTAAATATGCAAATGACTTGCAAAATGTTTCACAGGAAAGCGAAAGTGAAGGATCTGCTATATTAGAATTACAAAAGAGATTAGAAATTTCAGCTTCACTCTCTAGTTCTGGGCTTCAAATTGTAGATGAGTTGGAAGATAGAGAATTTCTTGAACTTGCCTCAAGGCTGATTGGAGATAAAGTTTCCAATAATGGACAGGTTTTGCACAACCATCGATATTTTATGATTTCTATGTTTTGCATATTCCACTTATAAATTTCTCTCTGGTGATTAAAAAAGGAAATTCAGGCTGTCCGTGACCACTGGAGGAAGTCTTCACCAAGGTCAATACCACTTAAGGAGCTAGGCCCCTTGCTTCGTGACTACCAGCGCCTGATTACTCGCCATTATTTGTAAGAATGACCAGTTCCTCACCATGTATTTTGTCAGTTCACTTGTCACAAAATGTTGCAGTAGTTGCGATCTACAATTTAGTGGTTCATTTTCAGTTGTCAGCAGTGTGAATCCTCAGTTATCTTCTAGTTGTGTATGTAAACAGCTGTGCATTCATATAAAAGTATATGCATGTCTGACAGAGCAAATGGTGGAGCTGACTTAACCTCCGCAGAATCTGGTTTTCCCGGGAAAGACTCTCATAAGTTTTATCACATAAAAAGTGCTTCTAAGGTATGAGTTGTATAGAGCAATGTATCTCTTCTTGATCATTTTGGAGGATTTACAATTCATGGATAACATTGGAAACGCAAATGATTAAGGTGCTTGATCAATTGCTTTACCAGTATACCTCAGTAATGAAAATAACATGCATCAAATATGGTTGTACCAGACAATACCAAATGATTTCCTTTCTTTTCTGAATTAAGATCAGTATATAGAATGAATACATGAATGCTCTTGGTGGAGATATATTTTAGTCTGATGAGTTCTATATGAAACATCACCATATCCATTTTCAATCTTCGTGCTTCACCTTTTTCTTCTGTGTGCATTAAGTGTCCTATTGTTCCCTTAAATTGCTTCCCTGATCTCGTGCTCGTTGCTGGTTGTGGAATTTCAGTTGCGCATGGATAATATTGCAGAGTTGCTGGAAGAGTATAAAAAGCTTTCATCTGATTGAAAAGCAATTTGGGGCATGCCCTCCATGTCAAAAACCATTTTTGAGTTTGTATCACATTGTAACTTCTCTCAAACTAGGTTTCACAGTAATTTTGGTGAACAAGCGCAGATGATATGTAAACAAGTTTGGTCCATACCTCTCTGATTGTAACTTCTTTGTTAATTTCTTTATAATGTGAGTGTTTGAAACATATTCAGACTTAAATTCAATGAAGAAACACAACATTATTGATGAAGTACATGAATTAGTAATGTTAAAAAAAAAAAACAAACAAAAAGTACATGAATGAACACAAGATCACAGAATCTGATGAAAAAAGGCAGAGGTATCTCAGCGGATGGACTCCATAATCTTTTTCAGTTCTTCGAGCTTCTTCATCCTCTGTTTTTCACTCTCACTCAGCAGCTGACAAGAAGATGACAGTGAGAAAGGACAAAAGAAAGTTGTACCTAGTACATTAAATACTGAAAGAAAAGAACACAAAAGTTTTGGAGACAAGAATACAAGTCTGAGTATCAATAAAATTTAGATTCTGAGACAATACCTCCACTAATGTGGCTACCAGCTGAGCTTTTTCTTTGTTCTTTTCATTGAAAGCTTCCATGGCTTCTTTATATTCTTTCTCCTGTTAACAATCAGAATTAATTTATCACTCACCATTCAATAATCCAAAATGGGTTAAAAATAAGAAAGCATGCACACAATACGAGCAACTTTTGCACCTTCTTCTGGCAGCTCTGACCAAGAGGTTTCAATTCTCTATTTGCCATGTCAATCTTCTTACGTATAATTGCAACATCTTTCCTCAAAGGATCAGCCAGCACTTCAAGCTCCTGTGATACAAACAATAAATAACATAAAAGCAAGAGCATCAAATAAACTCGTTGCTTGTTATTCAAGCACAGTTGCAGAAGCATTTCCTTAATTTCCTATCAACTTACTTCCCAAACGTGCGTCAAGCGCTTTGTTTCTTCTTCAGCACGGCCTAATTGAAGTTCAACTTTCTCCCTCACCTCCTTCTTCTTCCTCTCAATCTCTTCTTCTCTAGCTTGAAACTTGGACAGGTCCAATCTTGAAACTTCTTCCTCCTCATTGATCTCTTCCGTCGATAGCCTCCCACTGCTGCCAATATTGCTTCCCATGCTCTTCATCTTTCACCACAGACTCAAACTAGTCTAGAGTTTCTATTTTTGGCAGCCAAGTTTCCGCTCCTCAAAACTCTAAAATGTTAGCATTCTTTAATTTGTATCCTCTCCTCACGATGTCTCTTGTTTTGCTTTTGCTTCAAAACTCCATGAGCAAACTTGCTTCCTTTTCACTGCATTCCCGAGAAAGCAAGAGAATATATCCCAAAATGCTCCTTAGACTACCTGCTTCCTGTTGAAAAGATTTCAAGAAAAGCAAAGACAAGACATCTAAAGAATGGGAATTGCTTGCTTTATTCTAAGAGAATCAATCACCTATGTCAAAGTTTGCACTTACTATGCTAGCTTTCTTGCAACTCTACTGCAGCTAGATTAAAGGCAAACTCACCTTGAAAAAAATGCTACTTTCGAGGTCCAACAGTAATAGAACTAAGGTTGGTCGTTTTTAATATTTTCTCTTTCATCTAGTAGTTAAACAGTCAAATCCCAAATGAGCAACCAAGTATGTTTTTTCTTTTCTTTTTCCTAGGTTGGTAACTGATTACTTGACAGAACAACGTTGAGGTGTACACAATGTTTATGTGCAGGGAAAGAGAAGTTTGCACATAAAATTTGCTTGAATGGAAAGGAATTCTCTCATGTAACTTCACGTGGTTTTTTTTTTTTTGGTGCTTTTAATTTATATCTGTGTCGTCTTGTCCTTTTCTTCTCGGTTTCGGTTGATGAAAGTAATCTAAGTACTCCAACGAATTATTGGTCTTGATACAGTGCTAAGCGAGCTCGTCTATACAAATTATCCGTCAGTACATAGAGTTTGAATCTTAAAATCATATTTATTGATAAAAAATAAATTTTATTATTTTTATTCTGAACATAATTAATCATATCTCTAATATTTAATTTAGATGTCTAGGTAAAAAAAAAAATTATAATCTAAGTGCTTACGGTTATTTCATGTTTTTAAAAAAGGTAATAATAATAACACGCAAATATATTTATTTTACCGGTTGTGAATGCGATATTTTTTTTTTAATAAAGCAAAATTTGGATCTTAACGAATTTATGTTTCAATTATAATTATATAATTAAAAAGATTATTTTTATTATGTCGTTAAAAACTTCCATTGGACCTTTTGTGATTCCATTTAAATAAAAAATTAAAAAAAACCGCTTTCATGTTTTTTAAAACCACTTACATTCTTAACTTGAGTAGTAAAGGAGTTGTAGTTCATCCACTTTTCAATCTCCATACCAAGTAATTTTATATTTACACATAAGGATGCATTTTTGGAATATTTTTATTAAAAAAAACTCCTTTAGTATTAGCTATAATTTCAAATTAGTGAAAAAATAAAAGGGGAGAGCCACAAGAGTGCTTCCTTATCTTGATGTAAAGGGCTGCTCTTTATTTCTTTTCCTTTTTCCTACCCTCTTTTCTAACTTTTCCTTTTCCCTGCCTCCCATCCTTTTTCTCATCACATGTTCCTTTCAGCTGGTTGTCCATGCTAACCAAAAGCCAATGCAATATAATTTACTTTAACCACTCATATTTTTCAGATATTCCTAAACTGCTCACATTTATTGTTTATTTAGAATCTATTTAGTATATTGGCCAATACAAAATTAAACCAAAATGGATAAATTGGACAACGTTTAATGCATGCTTTAATAAGACATGAAAAAAATGTACAGTATTTGGTGCATACATGATAAGATTTTCGTCTAAAACTGATCTAAAAGCAAAATTCGTTGTCTAACACAATGGAGAAAATCATTATTTTTCAATTTTTTATATTATTTACTATTTATTTATCACTTTTTTATTTTTAAATTTGATTTACTAAAGTTTAACCACGTTACCTATGTTTTATTAAAATAAAATTTTACATGAAAGGGCTTAGTTGAAATTTCTTTCTAATTAAGAAACTATAATGCATGTATTAAAAAATTAGAGAACCAAAAATTAATTTAGAACTAAAATGTCATGAAAATAATATATTGAAACAATTTCATGGACCAAAACAAACTTTTGTAATACAACCTTATGATTTACGTCATGACTTGTTATTTTGTCAAGAGGAAATCAGGAAAACCAATGAGACCAAAGTGGTCCTTGAAAACCAGGATCACGTGTTATGATAGGTCGTACTAAATAAAAGCTCGTGAAAAATAATTAATATTCAAAGGATAAATTACGGATTAAAGATCTAAGATATCCCTTAACTGTTTTATTTATTTTAATTGTATCATTTTATTAATTTTTTTAATAATTGTGTTCCTCTACTCTTAATTTGCGCGTTAATTTCGTCCATTCGGTCAATTTTTTTGATAACTACATCAATTTTCAACAATAGACTCACATGATGCTGAGGCATGATATTAAAAAAAAATTAAAAATCCTAAAAAAATTTGAAAAAAAAAACCCAAAATGTCCCTCTTTTTCTCTACCTTTAGGTATAGAAATAAATTATTAATTTCATCAGTCAATTATTATTATTATTTTTTGCTTTCTCTTAAATTCTCAAAAAAAAAATTAAAAATCCTAAAATGTCCTTTTTAAAAAAAATCTGTTTTTCGCTTTTATTCTTATGATGGTATGAAAAATTTTTCATAATTTTTGTTTCTTTTAGGTTTGGATTTGAAATAAATTTTCATAATAAATTTCTAAAATAAACAAATAAAATTTTACTTCGTTCTTTTCTTCTTTTTGCCTTTACTCTTGTGTTATCAAAAAAATTCATAATTTTTTTTTTTTTGAGTTTGGATTTGAAATAAACTAGCCGGTTGCCCGCATTACGCCATGGATCCGATGGAATAAAATTATTTTAAAATTTTAATTTTTTTAATTATAATATTTAATTTAATTAATTTTTTTCTAATATTTTTTATAAATTATCTCGCTTAAAAAATAAATAAAAACTTATAATAATTTAAACCTGAAAAATTAATTAAGAATTCAAAAGAAAATACTTTAAAATTATATTTTTTTTATAAGAATGAATTAAAAAAATAAATCTACAATTAATGTATAGACTTGCATAAGAATTAATCAATGAAAAAATAAAATTTTATTCTTATTTAATGTTGGTGAGAAGATGAATTATTTTCAAGTATATGTATTTGATCTATATATATTTATTGATAAAATAATCAATAAAATTAGCATAAAAAAACAGTATTTGAATAATTGGTTGGTTCCTTTAAAAAATTATTTTAATTATCTTCATTCGAATAAATTGGTTTTATAATGTTAAAAAATTATTTATAGTAAATAATTTGTATTATGTTGGAATGTGTATACTTAATTTTTAATAAAATGAACGATTCAATAATTTTTTTTATATATGTCTTGACCATATCTAGTGAATTGAGATAAATTATTTGAAATACATTTTTAACCTTTTAGAATAAAATAATTATTTATTTATATATATGCAACTATAATGTAAAATTTCTAAGAATTCATAATATATATATTATACTAATTTATTTTTTAAAAAAGAAAAAAAAATCATGTTTTCAAATTTTATTCTATAATTCAAATATAGAGAACAATAAATTATATAGTATCAGTAAATAAAATTTCATATAAAAATATTAATTGGATGAGAATTTTGATAAAAAAAAATGATAAATTCAAAGAATGAAATTTAAATAATAATAACAATATAAGCTGAAGTATATGTTAATTTCAAAATATAAAAAGATATATTATATAATCATCAATTTATGTGAAAAAAAGTTACGATTGATTGTTCAAAATTTTAACACCCAATTAAAAAAAAACATAGATTGATGAAAAAAGCAAAGAAAAAATTGATTTTTTAAAATTTTAACATTCAACCAAATAAAAAAAGAACATAAATTGATGGAAAAAGTACAAAAAAAATCAAAGGAAAAAAAGATATGCGTGGTGCATCAATCAAGGAATTAAAATTTTTATTATAAATCTTTAGGGGCTAAAATGAAATAAATTAAAAATTACAAAAAATACTTATTGTAGAGATAAAAATCAAATATAATAAAATTTTAATCACCCAAAGAAAAAAAGTTATAAAATAGGGACTAATGTGAAAGTTAAGTTTACTAAAAGTAAAAGGGAGCTTTGGGGGAAGAGAGAGAGAAAAAAAGAATAGTTACTTATGAAATGCAAATATAATAAATTTTCATGACCAAAACGAAAAACAAATTATAAAACAGGGACTAAAAAAAAAGTGAAGTTTATGAAAATAAAAAGGGGGCTGTGGCGGAAGAAGTGAAAAAAAAAAAGAACAATGCTTCCACTACAGTGTTTCATGGTTTTCTTTTAGTTTATTTTATAATTTTCATAATAAAATTTTTAAAATAAAAAAAAAATTGCTTCTGTTTTTTCCTATATATAATTTTTTTTTCTCTTTTTGGATTGATCTTGAGAGAAAGTGAAAAACAAAAAAAAAGAAAGGATTAAATTAATTATTTATTTTTATACATAAAAATAGAGAAAAAAGAGGGGCATTTTGGAATTTTTTAATTTTTTAATTGTTTTCCAAATTTTTTTTTAAAATGCCTCGTGTCAACATTCTATGAGTCCGTCGTAGAAAATAAATGTAGTTACTAAAAAAATTTGATCGGAGGAACAAAATTTAAGATGCAAATTAAGAATAGAGATGCATGATTATTAAAAAAATTAGTAGAGAGACACGATTAAGATAAATAAAACAATAGAAAAACATCGTGGACCTTTAACCCCGATAAATTACATATTACATGTAATAGCGATATCCTTACATCCATAAGTACACCAAATATTCCTTTTCTCTAATTTTTTTTTCAAAATTGTACTTTTGTCTCGTAACAATTACTTTTTCAAATAATTATATTGTTATGTAATTCAAAGAATTTATTTCAGTAGTGTCATTTTGAATATATATATATATATATATATATATATATATATATATATATATATCACAAAGTCAATTAGAAAATATTGTTACAATAAAAAAAAGGGGTTTTAATTTATGATTTTTCTTCCAAGGAAAAAATTGTTTGAAATCCGGGCATGTTTTTTGGATCAATATATTTCAAATATTTATGGAACAAATTTAATTCCAAGATTGGAGAACTAAAATTGTTTTTCACACAACAGTGAAATTCAAACCAGTAAAACAACAAGGATATTCATGATTAAAAAAAAAAGACATTCAAAAGTCGAGTAAATTATAAATTAGTCCCTCTAGTTTTTAAAAAAGTAATTAGTTCTCTTTGTTTTAAAAAAATAATTATTTAATTTCTTAGTTAGTGTTGACTTTAATTAATATAATATTATTTTATTTCAAAAAATATTATTTTTTTCTCATCAATATTCCCAAAATATCTGTTTATTTTTTTTCATTTTCTATTTTTTAAAAAACATAAAATATACCAAGAGATTAAATAAAACATTTAAACGAAATTATTTAATTCCTTGACCAATATTGAAATACTTAATTTAATATTATTTTATTACAAGTAATTTCTTTTTTTCATCAATATTTTCATAATATCTATTTATTTTTTTTATTTTTTATTTTTATTAAAAGAGAACATAAAATATACCAAAAGGATTAAATAATTATATTTTGAAACAACAGAGACTAATTAATTAATTTCTCAAAACTAGAGTGACTAATTTATAATTTACTCTTCAAAAGCAGTTACACCGCTCAATACCACCAAACCCACTAAAGCCAATTGGCCCAATCCATTTGGGGATAAATATATAAGAATAAAAAGTAATTTATTACTTTAATCGTGCACTAACCCCAGCAGGCACAGTAGTGATGTTATTAAACAGCCAAACCGCTGGTCAGCAGTGAAGAAAAATTCGACACTCATGTCTTTCAATCTTCTCTTTACCCAAACCTCAAAAAAGACCGAACTTCTTCTCTAAACATGACATGAAAAATTTAGATAAGCAACAAAAAGAGAGAACTTGAGCAAAAAATAGTCAAGAAATCAATCATGGGTTCTCTTTATTTTCAACAACAAAGAAAGGTTCGATTTTTTTTTTATCTCTTTGATCTCTCAGTCATCGAAATCGATTCCTTTCTGGGTTTTTGTTTGACTGGCGTTTTCAATAGATTTGGAGTGTTACTTGTGTAAATCTGCAGAAATACTTTACTGGGGCCTGGCTATTACAGGGTTTTGACTTTATAAGTTACTGAAAGATTGAATCTTGGTGATTTATTGTGCTATGATAGAATCTGTATGATCAAAAGAGTTTAAGGCTTTTATATAGATATAGATTGCAGATTTGCAGTATTAGTTGTGCTTTTATCTTAAGTAACTAAAAAAGATGCAATCTAGGAAGCATGAATTGGCACAGTCTCCATCTGCAAAGATACGTAATCAACATAGAACTGAAGTTGGACACGAGTCTCATCCAGCTCCTCGCCGTAACGCAGTGGATCGGTCTCCACGCGTACTGCAGCGAAGGAGTTTAAGCCCTCGTGGTAAAGCTGAGGGTACTAAAAGGGTAGTTCATGTGGAGGGAAGGAGCAGTTCGACTGAAAGAAGGGACTATGGTTGGCATTTGGGTGCAGGTAGGACTGAAAAAGTCCTGTCTGGTTCCCCCCAATTTGCACAAGAGCGTAAAAAGCCTCATTTTGATGAGGGGGTTGTGCATAGAAAATACAGGCAAGTGGATGATATGAATTATGTTGATGGTAAAACTAATAGATTGAAGCGAGGCTATGGATATGATCATCCTGCTGCATCTTCTAGAGTGACTAAAGAGAAGGATTATCGTGAAAACAGGGTCATGGGCATTGATGGGCATGGCATGATAGGGCAGAAGTCAGTGCCTATGGAAGATGGTATGATGAGAGGGTCATATCGGGTGCCTCCAGATTTGGTTCCCAACTCAAATTATGGAGATACTGGAGCACATATGCAGTCAATGTCCCGGAGTATGGATATTGGCCACTTTGAGGATGAGGAACTTCGATTTCGAGAGCCTATACCATCAGATAAAATTCCAGTCAGGGAATTTTACGAAGAAGGGGAAAAACCTATGTTTCATTCAAGAAATGTTCAGTACACCAGGATGTCAGCTCCTCACTCTAAGGATTTGGATAGCACCCCTCGATTTAGAGATTTTGCAGGTTCGTCTTCTGGATTCTCAAGGGGTGAGTTTCCAAGTTCTTATAGGGAAGGCATGCCCTTAGCTGCTTCAGATGAATATCCAAGGAGCAGCATGAAACTCACAGAACCTATGGATTTTAACACATATAGGGAAAGGTCAGTTATGGACATGAGAGACTATGAGGCTGGTAAGAGAATTATGACAAGTTATCCGCAGGGTGTCTATAATCCTAAAATGGCCTCGCATGATCATTACCTTTACTCCAAATCACAAGGAATTGTGAATGATAATCATGTATATCCATCTGATGACATGAACAGAATGATGTCTCCACCTTCTTCATTGGACTATGAGCATGCTCAAACAGATTTTGAGCATAGAGAATTTTCAAGACCGAGCATGCACCCTGTTAGAGACAGGACTGATCACGCTGATGGTTCCTATATAAACATGAGAAGGAGCACTGTATTTGACCATTCTAAAGCACCTATGGAGAACCTTGATACAGGCAGAATACAACATGCATCAAAGCACAATGTGGAATATTTGGGTTCTGCATATAACCGTGTCGAATTCGGACAGGGAGAGTTACAAGATAATAGGAAATCTCATTTGGGTGTCACACAGGATCGCCAAATCCCACATTTGAGATCAAATTATGGGTTTGGAAGAGATGCAGGTCCACAGTTTCAAAAGGAAATATTGCACGATCCTCCTATGCCAACATATGAAATGGAAATGCAGAGACTTGCTGCCAAGAGGCAAAGGGTGAGGGAAGACCTTGCTATATATGGGCCATCAGATACAGCATTTAAACGGAACTATGTAATGGAGGAAGAAATAAATAGGCATGACAGGAAGTACATCATGGAGGAGGATATAAATAGGCATGATACGAGAAGAAATATGGTGTCAAGCAAATGGAATGCACCTCAGGAATTTGTAGATCTTTATGAAAGCGGTGAGGAATGGGTAGATGAAGATACAGGTACTTTACATGTGTCCAGGACTCAGAGTTTTGACCAGAATGCATATAGAAATGCTAAACGGACATATGATAGGCGAGATAATCTTGGAGATTCTGCATCTGAAGACTGGTCGTCTTCTCAAGATTCTTCAGCACATGCACAAAGGCATTCAATTAGACATTATAAACCTGGTGATAAATATATGAAGGGCCATCCAAGATCTGGTCCTTTAAGCTGGTATAACTCACACCACACTGATAGAAAAAGTGGTGTTCATAGACAGCATAGGATTTGGAAAAGAAATGATGATTATGGTGAGGATGCAAATGTAATTGATGATGACCAGCCAGAACATTGGGTGAATCTTGGGGAGGCTGAACCACCTGAGGGCTCAGAGGAATTCAAGCAACTGGTGGATGAAGCCTTCTTACTTTTTTCTAAAAGATTAAATTTAAACTCAGCAGTTCGAAGAAGATACAAGGAGCAAGGAAAAGCTGGTAGTTTGTTCTGCATCGTATGTGGCAAAAGGTCTGTTTTCTTTTCTTTGATATGCATTTTTAAAGTGGAGAACTTTTTCATATTTTGATTCAGGAATTTCCTAGTTTGTCGTACTGCAAAAGTCAGGTGAGTGTGGCTAACCCAAAACACATGTTTTTCAGTCATTTCTATGATTTTATCATATTGGCATTTGAAGGTGGAAATCATTTATTTATATCATATTACTTGCTGGAGTAATCCTTCTGTGAATGTTATTTCTTGGTGAGAGCTGATTGGTCGTCTAACTCTTTTGGTGAAAGTCACATAAATGATTGCCGTGTACATGTCAACAGCCTAAGTGTGATCCAGAATTACAAGTTCTGTTTCACATAAAAAAGTTTTAAATATAATAACTGTTGGAAAATGTTTATAATGTGTAATTGGACTACATTATGTTGCTGGAAGCAGAAGAAGAATTACAGTGGAGATATGTGTTGGGTAGCAATTGTAGAAGAAGAAGTGACTATAGTTATGGATGGATTAGAAAGGGAAGATTGAGTTAGTTAGCAGGTCCAATGGGTCGGAGGAAAGGGGCTTAACTGTTTCTCAGTTTTTTTGTGCTGTTTGAGGACATGCTTAATTCTGTTTAATTGCGAGGCACTGGCACTGTATTTCTCAAAGATTGCCTATGTGATATTTGCTTGTTCACCTTGCATATGTTTTGATAGGTATGAAGTATTTATTGTTAAGGACTTCGTTTCCTTTCCATAAAAAAAAAGAGTTTATTCTATGCAATTGATAGAAATGGCTTATGAATTGTTATTATTCATTCCTTTTGATTTCTTTATTATACTTATTAGTATACTTATTGATGGATCCTATGCTTGTCCTTCAAGTTCCTTTTGGCATTGTTTTAATATAGCATGCAATCCACCACTTTCGTATGCTTACGTCTATGCTTTTAACAGCTCATCAAAGGAGTTCATGGCTGCTCAAAACCTGGTACAACATGCCTTCATGTCTCACAAGATTGGGCTGAGAGCACAACACTTGGGTCTTCACAAAGCAATATGCGTTTTGATGGGGTGGAATAGTTCTGTGCCTTGTGACACCATAACTTGTGTTCCTGAGATCTTGCCTGATGAAGAAGCTTTTTCTCAGAAAGAGGATTTGATGCTCTGGCCTCCGCTTGTTGTCATCCACAACATTTCTATGTCGAACAACAACCCAGAACAACAGAAGGTCATACCTATTGAAGGGGTTGAGGATTTTCTGAGAGGTACGTCGCAGTTTTTTTGATGTGTTGCTGACTACAGTAGTGCTAAACTCAAATTTGAGTGGGGATTGCATGTAAAGAACATTCACTTTTTCTAATGCTAATGAAGAAAAGGTTGGTTTAAAATTCACTTAACCTTTGAACATACAAGGAAGAAGAAGAGCTTATATATATATATATATATATATATATATATATATATATATATCATGTTTTGAAGCATATATAGGAGTTACCAGACTAAAAATTTGTTTCACTTCTTCTAATTCACTGCATCCCTTGGCTCTTTGCATATGATAGGTAAAGGTATTGTTGGGGGTAAAATCAAGGTATGCCTAGGCAAGCCTGCGGACCAAAGTGTTATGTTGGTAAAGTTTTTGGGAACTTTTACTGGACTCGGAAATGCAGAGAAGCTTCACAAATATTTTGCTGAGAAGAAACATGGGAGAGAAGAGTTTGAGCATAAGACATCCAACAACGGTAACAACAACAGCAATAGTTGGGAAGAAGAAAATCAAGGAGGCCAGTTGGAGGAGCAACTTCTATATGGGTACCTAGGAATCGCCGAGGACTTGGACAGGCTTGATTTTAATACCAAGAAGTGGATCATAATAAAGAGCAAGAAGGAAATCCAAGAGCTGGCAAATGCTCCTGTTAAAACTGATGATAAGTCGCTGAATGAGTAGCTGATGATAAATATTAACTTAAACATGGTGAAGCAAATATCAAGTTTGAAAACGTCTCTCCGTTATTAGTTCTGGTCCATTGGTAGTGCAATACTACCTTAAGCTATGTAAACATATTAAGATTTGGAATATCTTTGTTATGAAGACAGAAAATCCTGCGCAAAAGTTGTCCTTCTTTATCTGTAGTCAATTAGTGAGTAGAACACTACTTTTAAGCGATGAATACAGATCTAGGTTTGGTATATCTTTGTTATGAAACTCTTTCCTAATCAGATACTGCCTGCTTGCCTTCCATCCAGTATTTGGCAGTTCTCAAATTTCTACACAATTTGCTATAACGTAGTGTGACCTATGATTGTTTGTTCCTTGTCTTTCAAACAGGGTGACAAAAAGAAGGAAAAATTATCAGGGCCTCTTCAGTTGTGGAAGACTAATTTCTTGAGTGGAAGTTTTAAGTTCTCTGTCTCTATCTCTCCATTTTTACCTTTAGTTTATTTCACTCTGTTTTTCCTTTTGCTCGTTGGCTGAAAATAACCTTTAGCATTACGTCAAATCAAACAAATTCGGGCTGAGCTTGGATGACGGGTTTCATTTCTGTTTCAAGTGAATAACGAGGTCATTGTCATGTAACATTGTTATTTGTATTATACTTGGAAAAAAATTAGCATTTGTAATTTATAGTTTAACAAGGAGATATTATTCGTATGCTTTATTAGTAAAATCATTAAAAATATATAAATTAAAATAAATTTATTAAAAATTAATGTATTTAAAACATCAATCATAACTATTATTTCACTATTACGATAAATTGTGATCTGCTGTTACAATTTTTTGTCAACTCCATCCACAATTTAGAATTATGTTTTTCTACGAGGCAGTGGGGTATCTACAAGATCATGAAATCAAATCCTTCGGTGGTATACATTTCTTTAGGATGAACGTGACAGGGTACATGAACTGCTTTTCAGAAATCATGGCCTTGTGGACAATAAGTCTTAGATTTTTTGCTCTTCCATATCCCACCAAGGTGGTGTTTTCTTCATCTTTGAGTTTTAACTGTCTTGGAAGTGTTAGAGAGAAACACGAAGTTGGAAACAGAAGATGGCAGAAGAAAATTGTTAAAGGTAGTAAGTAAACAGTACAGAATTTGTTGTGCGTTCAAAGAAATTTTTTAAAGAACAATAGATTGGGACTTTACATGTATAATGAATACACAAGACATGAAGAAATAAAAAATTTAAAGAAGGCAAGCAAGCCACTGATAGATTTGTCCAGATTTCAAACACGACAGAGTCGGCAAGATTCTGTCAAAACTCCTGCCTATCTTCTTTGGAAGTTGAAGTACTTGATTCCATAAGCAAAGGTCAACAAGAACAGTAGGACAAAACCGATATGGGCAGCTGCAACGGCTCCAAGGAAGTCATATTCAAATCCTAACGTTGCCTTAAGGAAGACATCTATTTGGGTCGGATCGGCTTCAGGTACATCGATTAAATTTTTGAGGTTGCCCACCTGGGAGGTAACGAGGCCATAGATTGTCCAAGAGACTGGAGAAGCCCAGTAGAACCACCTCCACCAGATAGGAATTTGCTGCAAAACAAAAGTCGTCAGGTTTCAGTTTTTTAACGAAAATCAAAGATGGAAAGCATAGAAGATCCTAGATGGCTAGCATTAAGAACTACATATCAACTCTGTGGTGTCGGTAATACTCACCGTTCTGGGGACGAGGAAGCCAGAAAACAGGTTCCAGAAACTCATGAAGAACGACATAACGATAGCAGCAATTTGATGGCCGGGAGTGAGAGCAACAAGCATCATCCCGTAAAGTGTGAAGTACATAAAGGCAGTGAATATGAAGAAATAGAACCACAAGAAGTTCTTAATTTCCCAAGAGAACCCAATCATCACATAGAGCAATATACTATAGACAAAAGTTTGGATTGCAACATAAATTCCCTCTATGGCAACCTGCAAGGCAAACGATAGGATCAGTCAGTCACTTACGAATGTTCTCCGATTTTCGTATTTACATCAGAGTTGCAGCTTATATTACCTGAGCAAATGCATAAGGCAGTTCGGAGTACATTCCTGCTGCTCTTTCACGGTAGAAGACTGTTCTTTCTATCGACACGATTGACATCACTGAGGAAGTGTTGGTGGCTCCGAGGAAAAGGACAGCAGAATACATTGCTCCAAGCAAATTGGACAGATCTTGTTGCTTCTTTCTGTTGACAAGGGTTTGCAATTGCTTAAGTTGAATTCACAGATAAACCTTGACAGAAATCATACTCCTAGTGCCTATCCATTAAAAATATGGCTCCAACAGTAGGTGGACTAATTTTCCAAAAGAAAAACTGGTCAATAATCCTTCTGAACCGCAACATGACTAGCTGACGAAAAGTTTATGATGTTCTTGCAATGAGCTTTTGCTTTTCTTTTCCAAAAATCCCTCTAAGGTTTAGAAAAGCATTTTATTACTTGTCATCAGTGAGAATTGGCAGTAAGGAGAGATTCAAATATTACACACTTACAGCTTTTGCCCTTGGTTCCAGAAAATAAGTCCAAATATAAGACCAATAGCCACTGTCATGAACAATCGCATGGCGTTATATCTCGGGTTCTTCCAGTAAGACCATTTCTGTTTCAAGAAGCATGCCTTGCATTGAGTAAAGAAGTCCTGCGAGTATTGTGTCGGGAAGTAAAGGTCCTTAGATTCTGGTGCCGGAGTGCTTAGTTCTTCAATTAGTTTCTGATTTGACCTGTTTCAAAAAGGAGATGATTTATAAGCAATGATCATAGTTGAGAACTAATTTAAGGAACACTGAAAGGAAGAAAGAGGGAAAAGAACAAAGAGGCAGAGATTGACAGGAAAGCATGAGTTGTTAATCTGAGATTCTTACTGGTAGAGTTCAGAATTTGCATAAATTTCTGCAAAGTCTACATTGAGTTGAGCTTCAACCGCAGTGGAACTGATATCCAGCATCCATGTAGCAGGATTATAACCACCTTTGATCTTAGGAACCCCTGGTACAGCCTGAAAGATGGTGTAGATATTAAGTTAAGCAATTATTCGAAAACTCATAAAAGATTTAACATTTGAGAAGCAATACGCACTTCAAAGTATTCTATGAGCTTGTGAGACTCGCGACCGAGGGGTCCTGCATAAATGACTTGTCCTCCTCTCTTCATCAGAAGTAGCTGCAGAAGATAAAGTGACAAAAATTCAACAAGAAGCATCATGGCTTAAAAAAAAACAGCAGGATCTGTGCATTGAATGACCAAAAAAGATGAGAAATTGATATACCTCGTCAAAAGCTTCGAAAATATCTATGCTTGGTTGGTGAATTGTACAGACTACAGTTCGGCCTGTATCCACTGTATTTCTGACCGTACGCATTACAATTGCAGCAGCTCTAGCATCAAGACCTGATGTTGGCTCATCCATGAAAATGATGGATGGATTAGCAACCAATTCTACTGCTATAGTGAGTCGCTTTCTCTGCTCAGTCGACAAACCGTCTATTCCTGGAAGTCCTACCATAGAATTCCTTAGTGGATTCAGCTCAACCAAATCCATGACTTCCTCAACAAACATCTGTAGCACAAAAAATGAAAACCGGGGGATCAATATGTATGGAGAGAAATAGCCATATGCATCAGAACTAAATCAAATAGCTAAATAATATGGAAAGAAATGTGATTTTCATGAAGAAAAGCACACCTTTCTTGAACCCTCTTTAATTTCCTTGGTGAGACGCAACCAAGCGGAGTACAGGAGGGATTCATAGACTGTAACATATGGAGAATGGATATCATTCTGCTCACAGTAACCGCTAACCCGGGCAAAAGTTTCTTGCTTCTTTGGATAACCAGAAATGCTGATACTTCCTTCAATGTACCCTCCAGTTTTCCTACCTGCTAGAACATCCATCAAAGTTGTCTTTCCAGCCCCACTTACACCAACCAATGCTGTTAGAACACCAGGCCTGAAAGCACCACTAACATCTCGTAACAGCTGGAGGCGATCCTCTTCAATTCCTTGCATTTTCATTTCCTGATAAAAAAAACAAAAATCATAGTTTTCATCATTACCAGAAAGAAGTTCACAATCTAATTGAATTAAATGGATATTTCATTTTTGTTTCCTATAATGATCTTTATTTTTTTCTGTTGTAACTGATAGTACAAGAAGGATTAGAGAAATACTTACCTCAGGCATATCAACATAGTAATTCATATGATTAAATGCAAGTGACAAGGGCTGGAAGGGCAACACCATTCCTCGTTGTTTAGGTACTTGCACTGAAGCAGGAAACAATAAGCACAAAAAACGATTTAGATAGCAGTTTGACCACTGTGATTGATTGGAAATCTTTCTTGAACATGATCAAATTGAATTTATGCATTGATGGTAAGGTGATTATGTGGTCTTGAGTGGTGGAGATCAAGCAAAAACATTATCGGTGACTTGGAATTAAGAGCAACGGCAGGTTTCTTTACAGAAAGCTGTTGAAGTACAGTTTAGTTCCATTGTTAAGAGCCACAGCTAGGGTAAGATGTGTGAACCTTCAGTGGATTGGGCAGCAGATACTGGAGTCATTTCTAAGGCTTTTGTCTTTTGCTTTCCAGTAGAGGATGACTTCTTAGTTTCATCCTCATCCAGAATAATGGATTTTGAATCTCCCAGAGCTGCATTCATTTCCATCAATTTATCAAAGTCAATATTAATCTTACACAGCCGAAATGAAGATCAGTATAAGAGTTGATGGCTTACGATCCAAATAAGTCAGTGCTGCTACGAAAAGGACGTTGAAAAGCAGAGCAAATCCTAGAAGTGCCCCAACCGAAATCCAATACCAATATTCTTCCATGAACATGCCTCTCATTTTCAGAAGAACCTTTCCAACAGTGGGTTCAGAATATTTTCCGTCAGTATTATTCTGCAGCAAGGAAAGACCATTTCAGTTCAGAATCGATATAAAGAAAATAAGGCACTATCGAACATAAAATCCATTATCAAACTTTGTTAGGAAGTCTTACCACGTTCCATCTGTCATCCAGAAATTCGTTGAGGACTATGGCATTCTGTCCATACATCATGGGAGAAATATAGTATCCCCAGATCATCCAGGGTCCAATATCATCTGCGAAATGATGTGTAAAAATTCACTTAAGTAAAAAATCTTGGAGGGGCATAGAAAAATTTAGCGTATGCTGCTACTAGAAATAGAAAAATCATTCACCTTTGGAAACAATGAATCCACCGAGGACGAAAACCACGAGCAATGTAAAGGTTCCAAGGGTGCTTGACACAACTTCTGTTCTTCCAACAGCGGCGATGAAACGGAAGAGCGAGAGAGCCATCTGATGCACGCTGAAGAATGCTAGAAATTGTTTGAAAAACCTGGACATTTGAAAATATATGTTAATGAACGTAAGCAACACATTAAAAAAATCTCAGTTAAGCAGCCAAAATTATTGAAGAACAATAGTGCATGTACATACCTGCTGGCAGCAGGAGCAAACCCAATGGTGTAATATGTGAGCAAGATCCATAGCCCAGACTCCAACAAGGAGACAGGGATCCTCAGCAGATATATTGGTAATGCAAAAGCCCAAGCTGGATAGAATTTGAAATCCCTTTGTTTGAAAAACACAGGAAGCCGAGTCATAGTCATCGCCATCTCTGCCATCCCATTAAACATGACATTAATGAGACTAAAGAACAGTGCACCATAGTATTTTCCTCCACCTAGAGCAGTGCCAACTGTCATTTCAGTTCTTAAGAAAACTGTCATGGCAATGATTGCCATGATAGTGATCTGGGTTGTCTTGAATATATAGACAAAAGAGTTACGTTTCATCAACAACCATTCCCTGGAAAAGCATGCCTTGAAGAGTTCCATATTGGAGATTCCATACTCTTCTTTCACTAGTGCAGCAGGATGGGCAGTAGATTTATCATACGGAATTCTAAGTTGTTCGGAGACTTTTTGGCCGGTGTGGAAAGACTTGAAGCAATTCACGAACTCAAGTGTCGATACATATCGATAAGGTTCTTTCTTTCTGCACCAGTACTGTTCTTGGTCTTTCTTTGATGTTACTTCTTGCAAGAAATCTGCAACTCCCTTTCTTTCTGGGCACTTGAAACCAACAATTTCGAAGAATTCAAGCACATCATCACGTGGACCTTGGTATACAATCTGACCTTCTGAGAGTAAAATAATGTCATCGAAAAGGTCATATGTCTCGGGTGCAGGTTGCAGTAGAGAAATTATCATGGTAACATCCAGGATATGAACCATTTGCCTCATAAACTTGACAATTTGGAAGGTGGTTGAACTGTCCAGGCCGGTTGATATTTCGTCCATGAAAAGAGCTTTTGCTGGTCCAACCAACATCTCTCCTGTAGTAACACGCTTCTTTTGTCCGCCGGATATACCTCTTCTCATGTCATCACCCACCATAATATCAGCACAGATATCTAGTCCAAGAATCTGTTACAGTAACCTTACTCAGTAAAGCTCCAGGCACCTTAACTATATAATAAATGGTAGACAGTAACTGCAAGTGAGGGAAACAAACCTTGAGAACGTAGTCTGTAACCAGACTAGCTTCCTGGCCTGCCAATGCTGTGGCTTTCATGAACGCATCTATCTCAGGATCTGGCTTTATTCCTGCTTCCTTTTCTCTTCTTAACAACTCTGCCAACAATTCATATCTGGCTCCGACTCCCAAACAGCGCCCTGAAAAGTCCATGGTCTCTCTGACTGTCATCTCACCATGATGAAGATCATGCTGGCTTATATAAGCACATGTTCTCTGAGGAACAAACTCCCGGAATTCATGTCCACAGTAGGTCACTTTTCCTGATACCTGATAACAAATTCACAAGTGACTAAGCCAGATTTCTGGACAAAAAAAAATCTTACATTGATAATTCATGATTTCATTCAGAATTGCTATCATAAGTAAGAGGCAAGAAGTGGAAGCAGAAGCATACCCTGAGCTCCTTGTCCGTCTTCCCGGAAAGTGCTTGCAGCAATGTAGTTTTGCCTGATCCTGGAGGTCCTAGAAGCAGGGTCATTCTGAGGAAACAAAAACGCAAAACAAACAGAATAAATAATCTACAAAGTTCAGGGCCTTCAGGAAAACTTTTTCAAGATCCAGTTAGTCCAAGCTATTTCAAAGCAGCTGCATTATAGAGAACACTGTAAAAAAATTACTTGGATGTACCTCATTGGTTTCACGATTCCGCTCACTTCATGGAGAATGTTGACTACTCTTTTCTTAGATGGGAAAAGTCTCAAAAATCCCAGAAGTCCCTAATCAGCAGAAAAAAAATTGAAACAAAATTATCTATCAGAACAAGATTTAATGACTAGTAATTAAATATAAATCCGTAAGTGCACATGCTATCCATGGTCTAACTCGAATAAGTTCTCTGCGACTCTGCTGACATAGTTAAAATGACAGAAGGAAGGAACTACCTCTATTTTGTTCACGGCAACATTCACCAGAGTTGGAAGTGCCCTGGTTCCAACATATGCATCTCCTTCAACCGACAAACGCTCGAACCGGACTTCAATCTTAGGAGTGTCAATTCCCACTCTGGTTAAACAAGTCAAGGTTTTCAATAAAAGTTAATACACATTAAGGGGAAATCATGAACAAGAGTAACCGTTGACGATGGAAGAGCCTCACCTATCAGTCCTTTCCCTCAGCCTACGAAGAAATATCTCATTATCCTCTTCAGCAACCTTGAGTATACTCTCTATGAGTTGCCTCTTTCCTTGAACATCAAGATTGGAAACATCAACCTCTCCATACCGAACACTTCCGCTATCCAAAACCTGCTTGAGCATGCCTTTTCTCAGCCGATCATAGGTAGGCAGTCTCTCGATTGCAGCCCATTTAAGCTCCTCCTCATCTTCCCCTCTCCCACTCTTTTGAAACACATCTCCTTGATTGACCCAAACCTCACGAATACTCGCCGAGGCCCAGTTCCTTTTACTCGCTGACGATAAACTCCTCATGCTCGGTGACCTTGTGCTCAGTGACCTCATTGACCTTGCAAGGTCATGGCTACCAGCAAAAGCCTCAACCATGGTTTAAAACCTGTATTCTCAAGCTATTACAAAACAGCAAGAGACCTTTTAACTATACCAACTTGGTTGCAATGCCAGATGAACTTGCGGGGACTTAAAACATATGATATTTCCAACACTTGCAAATCCTGAACCAAACCACTTGAACGATGTTTTGTTTATACTTGGAGGTGATGGGTTGGTTTCAGAGGGCATGGTTTATATAGGTGAAGAAGATCACAAGAATGGCAAGACAGTGGCAGAAAAGAGTATTAGAGAGTTGAAGGATTTTGCACAAAGTTATCCACAATTTTGTCAAGTAACACAAGAATTAGAATATCACATATTTTTCTATTCTATGTCGATGTATCCTAGGAAATTAAGACAGGTTCTCGGTCTGCAGACAACGACAGGTACCTTTGTTTGTCTTTGAGTCCCATTACTGGGAACTTGGTGTCCTCTTAGGTGACAACTAGAATTCCGAAGGATTGGCATAACCTCAAACTCTGCAATTGCTTATTATTAAAGCTTCTCTTATCTACTTTATTTGTCTAAATCCCAGCCATTAGCATTGATACAAAGCAAGAATCTAGAACTGGTGAAGGATATGAGCAGCAAACTCCAATGTTAACCCCTTTTGCATCGACTTTTTCGTGTATCATAAGCTACGGAAACGGAATCCTATAAAAGGGGAACCCCATCTTCTCACTTTGACACAACTATAAAGAGCCTAAGACAGCATTGTTAGGGCACGAATTGGAAGGATGTTTAATCAACAGGAACGCAAAAAGAGTAATGAAACTAATATACCGAAAGATTCTTCTCGAAATCATTTCTTAGAAAACTTCAAACATTATCTTCATGAGATCCATTTATTCAATGCATGAGATTGTTCGAGAAAAATATTCATGAAGTTAGCGTTACACTTTCTTTTGAACACAATCAGACCAAAAATTCAAATCCATTTTTGTTTTGCTTAGAATCTTAATCCACTTTAACATATTTAAAGCATAAATTTAAATAACAATTGTTATAGAACATAAGGAGGCATCCCGTTATCGTTATTCTGCAGTATATAACAACCAAAACTGTTATTTTACTATTGTATTGCAGTAAGCTGCGACCGGTAATCGCAACTGCAGCTATTTTTTCAACTAAATTCGCGATTTAAAACTATGGTTTAAAGCACTTAGGTTGTAGAAGACTATTTAAATCCTACGAAGTCACCCCTTCTTACCAAAACTTTGGCCTAAGCACTTAAGGCCAGCTGAGCATATAAAAATCCCAACAGTACAGAAACAAAAACCAAATGAGAAGCCCCACAGTTACAACCTACTCCAAAATTTACATGGAATGGTTACCTGGCAACATCATGTCCATCTTACTATTTAGGGTTGTAGCTTTCAAAACATAATGGAGTTAGTCTTGTCCCTAGGGCCTAAAGACTCCTTCCTTGTCATTGTGGCAAAGGATAAGAACAGCATGGGCCAAACATCAGATTATAAAACTTCTTAATGATCATATGATTAAGACCTGGCTGGTCTACGAGAATTGAAAAGACAAAACATAAGTCATTAGCTAGAGAGTCCTGTGCGTTGAAAAATAGTGTAAAATATAAGTAAATATTCAAACTAAAAGAATTCTCGTGATCTCATCAAAATCAAAGTTTAACTTCTAGTATTTACAGATAATTAGTTATAATTATTTTTTAATGGTATTAGGTTAATTTGATATAAGAAACCGAATCAAAAGTCAAACATTTTCTGTTACTAGTTTAACCTAAAAAATAATACATTTAGTCTTAATTAATACAAAAACTAGTCTAAAAATACTCTATTATCAATATATTTATATAGTCAAGCACGTATTAGAACACAGATTGAATAAACATGTTGAATGCAACCTTTGTTGTATTAACAAAAATTAAATCTCCCACAAGTCACAAGCAGCTCCTTCAATAGCCTTGGCCCCTGAAGTTTTTTTATTATTATTTTTATTTTTATTTTCCGAGTAATTTTATCTTCGAGTTAGTTTTCATGTGGAGAAAATAAATTTATCTTTCTGATCTAGTTAAATTATGAAGTTCATAAAAATTATATTTAGCATCAATAGCAATAAGACTGAAAGAGTTTATTTGTCTTCTTAAAAAACCTAGGAGAACTTTATAGCTCGTCAGAAATCAGAAGTTTAAGGTAAAAAAAATCAGTTGTTGACAAAACATTATCTAATTCTTAGATTACAGATGCAATTGTGAAAATGATAGTGATTGTTGATTCAATTTTAAAAAACGATCTAACGACTAATATTGTAAATAAGTAACAGGTGTTAATAAATTATACATAATTATACTTTTGTTGTAGTTAAATTTCTATTACAGTGAACAAAACAGTGACGTTTTAAGTCTTTTTGTTTTGAAACAACGTCGTTTTACAAAAAAAAATTATATTTTTCGATATTTTATACAGTTTGTTTACATTTTGATCCTTCAAGGTTTAATTTTATACAAAAAGATTCCTAACTTAAATTTTTATTACAATAAAATCTATGCGCTTTTCCTGTCTGGACTGTATTTTCAACCTAGGCGAATGGGCTTGTTGTCTCCAGGCCCATCTAATAGGGTTTGGTGTGAACGCCATCCAAGCCTCTTTTCTTCCTTAATTTTTTTTTTAATGTTTTAATGTTTTTCATTATTTATTATTTACTCAAAACATTTTTTTTCCATAATTGATTATTAATTTTTTAAAAAATAAATAATTAATTTCATTTTTTTATTAATCAAAATCAAAATATTCCTAATATATATACATGAAATAAAATAAATAAATTCTTACAATTAATGTTAATTAATTTTACTTTAGATCTAGATTTTTTAATCATTTAAAAATTAAAATATATTATATAGGCTTACCTGCGAAAAATGTGCTAGTACTACGCTAATTCATTCTAAAAAAAGAATTAAAAATACGGTTTTTGTTTTCCAAAAGAAATAATATAACAACTATTATTAGTACCCCATCATTCGCCATATTTGCACCCATTATTCCCCAAATAACAACAATAATGTTCGCATGGTAGCAAATTCTGTTAAATTACGGCCTTTACATAACACCGGCCGTTATAAAACTATGATCTCACCAAGTAAGAAGTAGTGTTGGCGTTTCACTAACTATTTCAATAATGAAAAAATCAATGAAAACACAGACATAACATTTTTTGACAAGGGACTTAAAATAGCAAAATGGAAGCTACAGACAAAGTCCTGAATGTTGAAAAATAGTATAAAATATAAGTAAATATTCAAACTATTCGCAGATAATTGTTAATAATTATTTTTTAATAGTATTAGACTGATTTGATATAAAATACAATCTAGTAATTAATTAAAAGTTAAACATATTCTAATATTAATTTAAAGTAATAAATAGTGAACTTAGTCTTCGTTAATGCGAAAACCAATTTGAAAATATCATACTGTTTTATATATATATATATATATCAAAACACAAATTAAATAAACATGTCGATTGCAATCTTTGTTGTATATAAAAATAAATAAATAAATAAATCTTCCATAAGCCACAAGCAGCTCCTTCAATAGCCTTGGCCTCTGAATGTTTTTTCTTTTCTTTTTTTCTTTTTTTGATTTTGCTAGTAATTGTATTTTTGAGTTAGCTTTCATGTGGAGGAAATAAATTTATTTTTCGGATCTAGTTAAATTATGAAGTTCATAAAAATTATATTTAGCATCAATAGCACAAAGACTGAAAGAGTCTTTTTAAAAATACTAGGAGAGCTTTATCGCCTGTCAGGAATCAGAAGTTTGAAGTGAAAGAATTAGGTGTCGACGAAACATTATTTAATTCTTAAATCACATATGTAATTGTAAAAATGATAGTGATCAATAATTCAATTTTAAAAAATCATAATTTAACATGATAATAAAATAATAATCATAACAAATGATAAATAATCTCATAAATACATAACAGCCGTTAATAAATTATAAATAAAAATAGTTTCATTGTAGTTAAATTTTTGTTACAGTGAACAAAACAGTGGCGTTTTATATTTTTTTTGGCTTGAAACAACATCATTTAAAAAAAAACGGTGGGTTTTTTTTTTACATTTTGATCCTTCAAGGTTTAATTTTATGCGAAAAGATTCCTAACTTAAATTATTTTTATTACAATAAAATCTGTGTATTCCTAACTTAAATTTTTATTACAATAAAATCTGTGGGTTTTTCATGTCTGGACTGTGTTTTCAACCTAGGAGAATGGGCTTGTTGTCTCCAGGTCCATCTAAAAGGGTTTGGTGTAAACCCCAGCCAAGCCTCTTTTCTTCCCTCTGTTTTTTTCTGTCTTTCATCATTTATTATTTACTCAAAATATTTTTTTTCCAAAATTGATTATTACTTTTTAATAAATAAATAATTAATTTCATCTTTTTTATTAATCAAAACCAAAACATTCCTAATATATATTCTTACAATTAATGTTAATTAATTTTATTTTAGATCTAGATTTTTTAATCATTTAAAAATTAAAATATATTACATAGACTTACCTGCAAAAAAACTATGCTAATTCATTCTAAAACAAAGAATTAAAAATACATTTTTTTTTCAAAAGAAAAAATATAACTACCATCATTAGTACCCATTATTCCCCAAATAACAACAACAACGTTAGCATGGTAGCAAATTCCGTTAAATTTCGGCCTTCACGTAACCATTACATAACATAACAGCCGTTATAAAACTATAATGCACCAAGTGAGAAGTAGTGTTTGCGTTCCACTAGCTATTCCAATAAACCAAATAAGGGAAAAATCGATGGAGATACAAACAGAGCACTTCTTTGCAAGGGACCTAAAACAGCCAAAATGGAAGCTACTGTTAAGCGTTTCTCTCAAGCATAAACATTCACACGACCAGCAAACATCCACAAAGTAGAGCATGCATCTACATGGAGCAATCAGAAATAATGCAAAATGCACATTTCTAGCCCAATATGCCAAAGATATGAGACTCGCCAATAGGGCAAAACCTTTCCTGTAAATTTTTCTTTTTTTTTTCCAAGGACATCAACCAAATTCCCTTGTAAAAACATTTGGCGTGAGGTTTACTGATACAGAATGTACAATCAAAATCTATACAAAATTACAATACTTAGGGTTGTCCTCCAAAGGCATCAAAAACAGCCATGGGGCTGTAGTGCTTCCAGCAGTAATTATTGGTCCGACTCAATTAGTAGCAGCAACAGGAATACCCATTACCAATCAATTGCAAGAGTGACAGCATCATCAGTTGGATTGGCAACAAGAGCAGCTTCAGCAATTTTAAGTGCCATTGCAGCTTTATAGGTTGCCAAATCTGCGTTCTTCATGAGCAACTGAGCCCTTCGACGCTTGAGAATGGCGGTTTCCAAGGATCTCTTCGATGAATTTTGGGCTTCATCTACTTTACGCATGGCATTATGTTCTTCCAAAGCATCTTGTTCAGCAGCCATTGCTGTACAGCAATAGAATTACAGAATAAAAGTTAATTTACAATAAATGGCAGTGAAGTGAGAGTGGAGTGAGAAGCAAACCAAACGGACAGTGTAGATACTAAAAAAAATGTATTTCTAATATACACAAAGATAAAAGACAAAATAAACCAGAGAACCAGACTACAATAACAGCCAGGACAAGGATCAGCAAAATACATAATTAGAAAAGAACTTTTACTTCAAATTCTTGATTCGATTGCTTGAATAAGTAATATAGTATAGAGTTAAGAAATGTGTTGACTAGATCATAAATATAATAAAAAATTCTTAAGTAAATGATATCTTACCTTGCAATAGACTTGGTTGCTTGCCTCTTCCAAATTGATTGGGAGGTCGCTTGAATGACCTTCTCTTACGCAGAACAGAGTTTGGAATTAGTGCGGTTTTCTTAGCTTGATGTCCCTGTTAGCAAGAACCATCAATTTAGATCAGATTAGGCCATATAGACTATTACCAGCCTCAATTAGCATGCATGCAAGCCAATAACTGGAGAGACGAATGGCAAAATCAACAATGTAAAAAAACTGAGAACGAATTTAAAGTTCCATCTATAAATGACATCAGAAAACAACTAGCAAAAACCTCGTAGTAATTAATTCAAAACACAGGAAAAGTTAACTTCTCGCAACAAAAGGATGGTTCAGGTTCTTATATCCTCGTCAAAGTTAATGGGTAACTAATTGTAAAAAGGCAGCAAAGGTGTGACAACATTATCTTAATTTGAAATCATTTATTTACCATTCTGTTCTTTTTTCACCCAAGTGATGAATACAATAGCAAAATGAATATCTTCCCAGCCTATTGGCAAGGCAATTGATGCCACAGCTATGGCAATGGGTCATTGGAATTAAAAGCAGAAAGCTTTTACAGATCAATGTTTCCTTACTATAGCTATTATAATGGAATTTTTTCACAAAGAGGAATCTTTTATAACTCCATAATCAGTTGAAACCAAAAGCCAATGTTAACAATACATAAAACGCACAAAATGATATTGGAATTTCTATAGCCTTCCCAACCTAACCCCTTAAAAGGCTAAAGCATGATTCACCAATTTAAAAAAATTCAAGAAAGACGATTAATGTTCTCTGTGCGTATGTTGTATGAGAGAGAGAGAGAGAGAGAGAGAGAGAGAGTCACATCATGAAAATGTAGGTAGGTTCATGATATTTCTTTGAAACTCAATGTCTAAATGATGCAAAATTGCATTTTAAAGATGTTATTGAGATACGAAATAACAGGATATTCAATTCAAACTGCAGATATCAAAGACTACTGTTATGCTGCTACACAACAGAAAACTGGAATGAAAATTTTGCCACAAAACATAGTGAGATGCAACAAAACATTTACCTGAAAAACCCGAAGCAGCGGTGATCGTTTCTGCTTCCTTTTTTCATCCAGTAACCATACACAGCTTCAGCCACTTCCCTCCTACCAAAATCCTCACAATATTTTGCTGCTGCATTCTCATCAATGAAGTCATCCGGATTGCAGTAATATGATCTCTCAAGAGCATCAATCATTAACTCAAAGTTATCCTCTGAAAGATGATCAGATTCTGCTAAAAAACCATTATTGTGCTTGTTAAGCCATTCCTCATCTTCAGAATCCATGTCATAACTTGCTGTGCTCCTAGCCAAAGCTCTAGCAACCTCATTGTTATTACAAGAGATGTATGCATACGGTCTAAAAAAGGGAGCACTGCCACCACCCTCATAGTCTAAAACTTCTCGTACTCCAGGCACAGGGATGGCCTTGGAAACAGAAGCCGGAATATTGCGATCGGAGCATTCCTTGTACAAATCCTTGAAAATGAACCAGTCCTGTCGGTTAGGGAATTCTAGCTTCCAATTGTCATCCCCAGTCCAAATGATATCATGAGTGAAACGGTTGGAAGCACAAGTCCTCATAATTTTTTGTGCCAGGTGGGTATATCGAGTTAACCCATCTTTCTTCACCACAAGCACCCACTCCCTTGAATCAGTGAATTCTAACATGACAGTGGCCCCTTCTATCCTGTAACATCTGTCTGTTTCAGTAACCAGTATATTTGCACAGCAGCTAGACAGGTTCCCGTCCTTCTTCACTCCAACTGCAGCAGAATTCATCTCTTTGACATTTGCCACAGGGCTACAACGCATTGACCTTCTAAGCTTGTCCTTAGACACAATAGAAGAGAATGGGATGCCATTTCTCCTACTACTAATCAAATCAGAAACTAGAGCACCATTAGCTTTGTGCAATCCAGCTATGCATGAATTTCTAGGTCTCCCTCTCCTGAGGGAGCTCCTCCTTTTCTGAATACTGCGGGAATTTAATCCATTTCTGTACTGGGTGTTTCTACCAGCTAACTTGGAAGCTCTAACAGACGGATGTACCACCACCTTACTCCAATGATTATCAATTTCGGGCACAGCCGTAATTTTCTGAGCAAACTCTGTCTTTGTAGAAGTGCATGATTCATCTACTTTACTTTCACTCATCATTCCACCACCACCGTCGTCGTCGTCGTCGTCCTCCTCATCCAATGAGTTATTTACAGGTATAGGAGACAGACATTTAAACCTAACAAACAAACTGAGATGCATGTACACAAAAAAAGAAGGAATTGCAGAAAAATCCAGGGAAAACATCGGCAGAAGCTTCCTAGTCTCAAAAAACTTGCAAATTCCAATTCTATCAGAGTGAAGTTCCTGAAAGAAAATTTAAGAAGGAAAAAAACCGAGGGGGATGTCAGGTAAGTATTTATACTCAAAAACTTGAGATCCTTTAAAAACAAACTGAGCTAAAAGTCATTTATATAAAGCCGAAAAAATATAGCAAACAGAATTGACACTATCTTTCAACTGGTCGACATGACATAATTCCAGATCCAACTAAACAACTAAGACAGAAGGCAGCTATTTTATAAAAAGAACCAATACTTACCCGCACAAAATGAAGTCCATTTGAGGCAAAAACACTGCTAATCGGCTCCAACAAGAGAAAATCAGCAAGCTCAGAAACACTCATAATGGCCCTCTTGATATGCCTCAGAACCGAAATCAAAAAACAAGACAACCCATTACTACTACTACTACTACTACTACTACAACCATTAACTAAAACAACAAGATCCGGAGTACACACAAGACTCTCCGAACTCTCATCATCCTTCCTCCTTCGCTGCCTACGTGAAAACTGAATCCCAAACTTCTTATCCTCCGAATTTTCACTCTTTTCACCACCAAGTCTCTTCCTTTTCCTACTATAAACAATCCCAAACTTCTGCTTCTCAATCTTAACCCTCTTAATTCTCTTAGGTGCTGCAATGGCAATAACAATACCACGATCTTTCTTCAGTTTATCATCATGTGCCCACCCACTATTCTCCTTGTACTTCAGATTATTATTGTTATTTTGATTCTTCGTCTGCTGGTTGTTAGCGTTCTTGATTATAGTGTGGTACCACTCGTCACCATCACTGCTTCTCCTGAGTTTGCCATCACCGGATTCCGGCCATAAACGCCGCCCAGACCTCAATACCCGGGCCCCATCAACTCCCTTAATCACCCCAAACACCCTCGTCGTCCTCCGCAACCCCACCGACGGCATTCTCGCCGTTCGGCCCCCGTTCAAACCTACCCGAGTCGCGATCTTCTCGCTCCTAGACTCACGGAGTGAGCCCCAAGTCAACTCACCAACGAGCCACGAAACTCACTCAGTACACTACTGATAAAATAAAGTCTCGGTTATCCCTGTTCACAGTCCAGAGAAAGAGGAAGAAGGAACAGAAACGTCCATAAGCGCTCCAGAGGCTCAGATCTAAGAATAACCGACTCACTGAGTCATAAAAGAAACTGGGTAAACGACTCGGAATCAGACCCACACACATAAGTAGTAGACAAACTATGGTCTCAAACGAACAACATCGTACCCAAAACAAAAATTAGGGGAAAAAACCGCTAAAGAAACCAATAGATTCAGATTCCTAAAACATAAAAAAACCCAGGAAAAAAAAAAAGAAAAGCCAAAACAAAAATCTACAATTTCAGTTAAAAGCAAGAACAAAAATCTTGAAAACAAAAGATCTGGGGTCTCTTTACAAAGAGAGAAAACATGGGTTTCCTTTAAAAAGATTGATTTTTTTTCCTAAAAATAAATAAAATTAAAAAAGGCTCACGTAAATCTTGTTGTTTTGGTGTGGTTATTGATGATGATGTTTGCTAGAGAGAGAGAGAGAGAGAGAGACTGTTTGTGTGCGCGTTTCTTTCTATCTTATCGTGGAGGCTGGCTAGGGTTTATGACTGAGATAAGGAAACATTAGGGAGGGAAACCAATTCGCCGACTTATTACTGCCGTTGGATTAATAGATGGATGGTTGAGATTCGTTTTAAGGATCCGGATTGTTTGGTCGAATCATTCGATGAGAGAGGGAGAGAGAGCAGTTTAATAGCGGAGAGGATATTTTCGGATTCATGGGTGTTGAAATGACCCGAATGCCCTTGACGGTACGATGGGTTTGAGAGGCAAAGAGGAAGAGATTCCTTTGGACCCTGAGATGGGGTTTTTGGGGTGGGAGGTAAATTGGGGCGAGGAATGCTCCGATGAATTTGGAAGTTAAAAAGAATAGGTGGAGGTTTTACAGTTGTAAATCCGCTGTAAAATCTTGGAGTAAATGTCATGGAAAGGGTAAATGGTAATTTTGATTTTAAGAGCAAGTTTACCAACCATGGTGAAATGAACCTAGTCGGTTCTTGAACCCCAAAAGCTTCTCAAGAAACTCCATGCACAACAATTAATTTTATTATTTATTTTTTTACCGTCAACTTTTTTTTAACCCATAATATGATGTAATACCCTCAACTCAACATCAATCCGATACATTTATAGATTCCAAGGTTCAAACTTAAGAAGTTAAAATGCACAAGCAAACCCATCTTTTTGAATTTTTTAAAGCTAAATAGGTCAAAAACTTCAATCAGTTACTGAATTTCTAATTTTAAATTTGACTTTTCTTGACTTTATTTTTCTACATTTAGTCTATTCTTTAGTTTTTTTTTAAAAAAAAAATCATTTAGTAATATTTACCTAGACTCCCTAAAAAATTTGAAATCATTATGGATTATTTTTTATTTTTTCTTTCTGATTTTCTACATTTTTAATGTTTAAAAAATAAAAAAATGTATAGACTTCCCGGCCTTAAAAAAATTTGGAATTTATTTCTGAAATTGATTGAATTTTTCCGAACGTGTGTACAAAACTTTAACTCAAAATACCAAAAACCAATTTTTTTTGGAGACGATAGTGACAGCTAAAAATCATAAAATGAACTAAATTTAAAAATAAAATAAAATTTAAGAGAGATCAAACCTAAAATTAGAAGTTCAAAGATTGATTTTTAAATAAACTAAAAAGTTTAGGAGAGGTTTGACTCATTTAGGTTCTTTTTTTCTTTTTCATTCCATAATGTAGACATCCACTTACCACTCCACCAATGCCAAAAGCATGTGAACCGTAGAAAAATTCAGCTTCAATTTTACATTACACGCACAGGAGAAAAATCACCCGATAGAGAATAATACCCTTCAGAAAATAGAGAAAGAAACAAGCAGTATAGCAGTCAAAAGTTAACAGTAACGGAGAAGCAGTGGCAATCTTTTTGTTTGTACTTTTTCATGGAAAAAAAGGATTATGTAATTTATGTTTTGTTGAAGAATAGAAAATGCTTGTCTCTGATCAAAAAGAAAGAGGAAAAGAAAAGAAAATTGTTGTCTTAAAAGGAAAGGAAAAGATAAAAAAGCAAATGATGTGTGCCACTAAAAAATTAGAAATCATCATGTGGTGAGTAAAATTTAGGGTTGTGTATCTAAGAAAGAGGAGAATGTGTGCAAAGTCATGAATTTTCTTTGCTCTTGTGGAGGGCACCGTGCCCTTGCCAATGTCACCATCGCAAGAAACTTTTTGCAGTGACTCAAGAAGCACTGCTTACTACATTATCACCCTAAAGTATGGCTAGTGGTTTGAATAAAGCACACAAGTCATTAACTAATCTTAATTGCCTTAATCTTCTCCAACAATCTATTACAGCAACACAACAATCTTAATTCTTTATCTCCTAGTTTAGTAGTTGGCTACATGACCTGCTTCTCCTTTTTTGACCAAGCTTCTACTACATGGACCCAACCATGCTGACTACCCAGCAACAACCACAACAATTCTCCCTCTTTTCTCCTTTTGATGAACATAATGGACCAAGACAAATCAAGGTGGTGTGGGCCATGCAGTGAGGATCTTCAAAAAATTGAGAGAAGGGCATCTAAATTTTCTCCCATTACTTTCCTCAAATCTGATACAATTTTTTTTTAAGTCGAAAAAATGAAGAATCTAACACACATTGGAGAAGGTTAAATTTGCACTACATATGATGATTTTTCTATCTCTCTTTTTGTATGATTCAACCTACCTTAAAAGTTAGTTAGCTTATCGGTGTCTTACCTTGTCAAAAATGGCCCTAAACCAAAAAGGTTGACTTCATCTAAGGATTTAGATAAACTCAATATATTGAAATGCAACAAATTATAAGTCCGTGAATAAGAAATGTACAAGATTTGAAAACAGCACAAAATCCACAATACAAGAAATATATTGCATTTACTCACTTTACCTCGATGCAAGGGAAAGAAAGACCAACACGTTAGAGACTTGGACTCATTCGGTGCAAATTGAAGTATGCATACCAAATTGCAGTAACCTCCCAAGGGCATTGTGCCATCCCAGAAAGTTGCGCCAATGGGTCCACGCCAATGAGAGTGCCTGTGTACAGTATACACTAGGAAAGAAACACTTACAAGTCCCCATTTTGCTCTTCAAAGAATTTGCATAATTTTGTTCTGCGTTATCTCAACAAATCAAATAATTGGACATCAGTTCAATATTGATCAAGGAATCTCCCTTGAATAACAACCTACAGTGAGTCGGCCAGTAAAATTTTAAAAATAAGCTTATATCTGCTATCCTCTCATAGTGAAGCTAATCACAACAGAAGATGAAGTGGATGTCAACTTACAGAGCTCAAGAAGTCAACGGGATGACAGGTCACGTAAAGTAATTGCATTTCTAGTGAGCACATATGATCCCTTTCTTTTTCTTTTTTTTTTTCTTGTTTGGTCCTCATAGGATAGGGGCAGTTTCTTTAACATATGGATATGTCATTCCTTCACTCCTTTCTTTTTTCTTTGTGTTCATCTTGTTACTCAGCTCTCTTAGAGTCCAGAATCGAGTCTGAATACAAGAATCTAGAATCACAGATTTGACAAGGTGAGTGAGGACACCTCTAGTTTTCAGCAGCAGCTAGCAGATATAATGTAATATCACAGTGGATCTACAATGTTAAAACAAATCACCTGCTTGGGACCAAGAAGTTACATTATCACAGAGAAAAGCTAGTGACATCATCAATGATAAAATCACGAGTTTCCTCTCCCAACTATAACAGGCAGAACTCCAGCTTGATCAGCTATAATTGTCTTATAAATTTGAATGAGTGAGGTCATCTTTTGATCGCCGTAGAAATAATAAATACGCCTTGTGCTCCCAAGTCCCAACTAAATCATTGGCTTATATTCACAACCATCCATAATGAGATCAGAGGGAATTAAGCTCCACATAATACCTAATATTCTACATGCCCATGGCCTTCCATTCATAGCTCATGAACATGGCACTCGTTTCGATGAAATAAGCTCAATTAAACCAAGCTAAGAACTATGTCCTGAGTTCTTAATGCACTAGATATAGAGCACAGCATCTGATGACCATCGACTGTCATGAACATTTGAAGCTTGAAAGAAGTGCATGAAATATTTTAGGAAATTCAAGAGGGATGGTCTAAGGTAGTGGTCCTGCACGTACTTGTGCTACTAAAAGCAGCATGAAGGGACTTGAGCTTTTTCTCTTCCCTTGTACCAAGTTGAAAAGCATGGTACAAGACACAGTCTTGGCTGAGATAGAACCCAAAATGTTCTTTAACATAAGCCCAGAACTCAACCAAAGATTCCCTCTCAGACCAATCCATCCATAACATTTCAACTAAGAAACCACTTCCAACCTGACAAGACCTCGATTATAGAAGCTTTCTTCGACTTCCATTAAACACCAATTGTCAACTCCAAAGTGTAACTGAGATCCCAGGTAGCTCCAACCTATCCCGCAACTTTTTATGCTATAGCTTATTTTCCAATCAATCAAAATTTACTTAACCACAAACTTCACTATAGCATCCAAAATAATCAAACCCTTTATGACAACTAACCTCCTATGCCATTCGGCATCATCCGCGACTCCTTATCAAACAAATTGACAACAAGTCCACAATTTTAACAAGCCCACATCCAAAATTACAATCAAATTCAAGAAACCAAACACAAGTATCGAGCTTGACATAAATTTTCACTGATGGCATTGAAGCTAATAGAAATCAAGCAATTCATGCCTTACACCATCAAAGATCAATAAAACATAACTGTATCATCAATTTTTCCAATCCAATTCAGAGTATCTTGATACTTCAAATTTCAAAAGCAACCGCATTGGATTTCACACAAACCTCAAAAAACCAAACAATAAAAACACCATGTAGTAATAAAATTGTTAAGAAACTGTAAAAGGGTATAACCTTGAGCTTCCAAAATTGTCAAAAAAAATTTGCTTACGGGACTCGAAAATGCACGAGCAAGAGTCTGTTTTGGTTTGGTTTGGCTTGTGATGTTTGAATGTCAAGAAGCAGCAGTCCATTTTGACAGCAATGAACAAGTTGAGGTTGAAGAACTTTTTATGCTAGAGTTGGATTCTATGAGGAGAAGGAGAGAAGCACTAATCGGTGGAGCAAGGAGAGAGGTTTCGATTATGAAGAAGAAGGGGAAATTTGGCAAGGTATATTCATTCACCACCGCAATGAGCTGTGATTGTTTTTTTTAGGTTTATTATTCTTTTATAATGCACGTTTTAGCCTCCTCCCATTTTTTATTTTTTATTTTCAACCTTTACAGAATTTTTTTTTTTTTTTTTTTTACACCAATACTAATTTTATGATCTAGATATGACATTGGATAAAAATCATTTCATACTTTTTTACTATTTAATTTTGACTATTTTAACTTTTTTTAATTTAATTATCATACAAATTAAATTTTATATTACTTAAAATTGAGATAAATTAGTTTTTGTATTCAATTATGTTAATCGTGTACCGTCATATAATTAATAAAAATTTTAATTAAAAAGTTAGTTTATCCTTTCTTTCTTTTTTTCACTCCTAATGGGTCAATTTTCAAGTGGTAAAAAAAAAAATGATAAACGGAAGTAAAACTTAATGGATCATGGTATAGAATTGAATTTTGCTAATGCGAGATACTATTTCCACGTCTTTAATTATGCAAGTGTTCTAATTTTCATCCCAATGTAAATAATATGGAAATAATTTAGATGAATATAAAACTCAACTTTAAGAGGAAAAAAAAGAATAAAAAAAAGGGAAATTCTTTTAACATTTGATTACACAATAATATTGCTAGTTGCCACTTCTCCCTTGATTTCTCTGGTTCTTGATGGAACTAAACTAAGCATCTAACTTTCTCAATAATAACGAAGTTTTCTTGCCAACATACGTTTAATAATCATGTATAAACAATTCAAATTGTTTCCCCTATTCAATTTATTTATTATGAGAAAATTATAAATCTGTCTTTCTCATTTTAAAAAATAAATTAATTTGTTTTTTATTTTAAAAAATAATTATTTAGTTTTTTTCCCTTCATTTTGTTTTTTCCTAATTTTTTACATAAATATTATAAAAAAATTGATGAAAAAAATTTAAAAAAAATATTAAATTAAGCATAGATAATATTGGTAAAAAAAAAACAAAACAAAATAATTAATTTTTAAAACAAAAGAGACTAGGTAATTCGTCACTCAAAACTAGAGGGACTAATTTATAATTTACTAATTTCTTAGTGGGGTTTTCTTTGCGGGGAATTAATGGACTGGACTAGGGAGGAGCTGGATTGTTAGTCCAGAGTCCAACAAGAAGCCTGCAACTGCGATATTTTTTGTTTGGGCCACAAAAAGCCTTGATAAAGGCCGTGCAAGTGGCAGAACAAATTGAAGAGAACCAGACATTCCGCCTCAACAAATCTAGTCACATTTTTCTTTTTGATGGGGACTGATCCTGTAAATTTAAATGACAGAAAAGGGACAGTTTACCAAAAAAAAAAAAAAGAAAAAGGAAATATAACACATGAAATAAACGTTGGAGGAAAACAAAAAAAAATCTAAAGAGGCAATTGACAAATAATCAGAATATGTTCCATTAAATATATGTGTGTGTGTTTTGATTTTTTAAGAAAATAGTTTGATGCTAAATTATTATTGCCGGCTGTATAGTGAAGAGTAAATTACAAATTAGTTCCTGTACTTTTTCAAAAAGAATTAAATAGTCTTTTTAGTTTTAATGAATAATTAACGGATTAAATAATTAAATTTTAAAATAAAAAAAACTAATTAATTTATTTATGAGGGAGAAATTTTATAATACATAAGGAGTAACTAGTGACATGTACGAGTAGTTACTCCTTGGACCGACTTTGAGAAGAGAGATAGACACACAAAAAGAAAAAGAGAAAAATAAGAAAGAGAAAATAAAAAAAATTTGAGCAGACGTTGAAATCTTCTTATTACTTTTGATGGGTATAGATGTAATTTTTCTTTTTTTTATATGTCTATCTCTCTCCTCAAAGTGAATATAAAAAATAACTACTGTATACGTCACTGAGTTACTTCTTCGTGTATTATAAAATTATAAAATTTTTAATTTACGAGGGACTAGTTTATAATTTACTCCTAAATAAAAATAGAAAAGTAGTAAAAGAAGTAAAAGTACACTAAAAAAAAAGTCGCCATGACCACGCGTGGATGTTTAGGTCCAACGGCGGAGCTTTTGTCTGTAGCGACTGGTTTGCTTTTTGCCACGTGTTCAACATTGCTGACAGATACTTCACACACACCCACTATCCCTGCACCAGCATTCACGTACGCCCTTTATTATCCACACACTTCTGCCCTCGAATTCATGACCTACCAACAATGTTATAATTATTTTTTGCTTTAAAATTACACCTTTTATTTAACACATGATTGAAAAAACATTAAATGTATATTATGTTTTTATTTGATAGTAAGAGTATTTTAAAAATAATTTGAGTTTTTTTGTGTTCTAGTAATGTCGATAGCACATTCTTCATATTATTGTGATGTATTCAATGATACTACGTTTATTTTTTTATAATGATAACATGTTTTTTATTTTGGTCTGATGTATAATTTTTTTTAGAAATTGACCACAAAGTTTAAATTAAAAAAAAATTAATTACGAAACTGATTCTTTGATATTATGATTTTAAAAGTAACAAAAATTAGTTATTGCATTCCTTTTAATTATGAATGACTATCTTATTTATTTTATATGAAGATTAATTTTAAATCCTATGATCCGAAAGGAATTACCTTTTAGCTATTAAGTTAATTTTTTCTTGTAATCACATTTTTTTAATTGGTTGAAAATAGTTGTACGAGATAATTAGAAAAAAAATGATACATCTTGAAAAAAAAAAGGATAAAGATAAAGCTTCAAATTAGCCCGTGATTTTATAGGAGTGAATTATAAATTAATTTCTTAATTATGCAAAATAAATAAATAAATAGTCTTTCTTGTCTAAACAATTAATTTATTAGTCTGTAAATATATATTGATTATGATTAATTTAATATTATTTTATCTTAAAAATATTTTTTTCATCATTCTTTATTTTCTAATAAATTTAAAAAATAATTAAGTTATAGATAAATTTTAAAATATAATGATTAATCAAGTAGTTTTTGAAAGTAGAAAGATTATTTTATTTGTTTTAAAAAAACTAAAGAGATTAATTTATAATATACTCTGATTTATAGACATGTGTGTGTGTTTTGATTTTTTAAGAAAATAGTTTGATACTAAATAATTATTGCCGGCTGTAGGTGAAGAGTAAATTACAAATTAGCTCCTCTACTTTTTCAAAAAGAATTAAATAGCCTTTCTAGTTTTAATGAATAATTAACGGATTAAATAATTACATTTTAAAATAAAAAACTAATTAATTTATTTGTCAAAATAAGAGGGACTAGTTTATAATTATAAGATATATTAAAAGAAAAACTACTGTAGTATCACTGTTCATTAATTGTTTATTTTTTTCCCTCTCTCTCTCTCTCACTCTCTCTCTGTAAGGCCTCTTTTGGCTTTTACTTTTTTTATTTTTTTCCCTCTTCTTCCGTCAGCCTCTTTTAGCTTTTAATAAATTTTATTTTCATTTTAGTCCTTATTCTATGTTTTTTTTTCTTTTGATCATTAAAATTTTATTAAATTTATTTTTGTCCTTATAATCATTGCTTATTAACTATTTTTTTTCCCCTCTTCTTCCCCCAAGGCCTCTTTTGGTTTTTAGTAAATTTTATTTTTACTTTAGTCCCTTTTTTATAATTTTTTTCTTTTATTCGTTAAAATTTTATTATATTTGATTTTTGTCCCAATAAGAAGTATTAAAATCTTATTATATTTGATTTTATCCTTATAGTAAATATTTTTTTCTTTGCTTTTAGCAAAAAATTATATTCTTATTTTGTGAATGATAAGAATAGTTCACTATTTGAAGTTTTTTTGTTTTTTACTTTTAGTAAAAAACATTTTCTATTTTGGTTCTTATTTTGTGAATTTTTTATTTTGATCATTAAAATTCTATATTTTTTATTTTTATTCCTGCCTTATGCATAATGAATTGTTTTAGTCTTATTGTTTATAATTTTTTTTCTTTTTTTTTGTTTTTTTTTTTTTTGCTTTTAGTGAATTTTTTAAAAAAAATTTTGATCCTTCTTTTATGATCTTTACTTTATTTTGATTATTTAATTTTTATCATGTGTAATTTTATCTCTATTTTTTTTACCAAATTCTTGATTTGAATAAGTTTTTCGATTTTTTTTTTTGGTGATCTCTCTATCTCATTAATAAATTACGGATGAAGAATATATGGTAAAAATTAATCATCTAAAATTTAAAAAAACTACCACATTATTATTTTAGTTATCGGTTATTATACATATTTATAACAAAATGCATGTTTATATGAAACAATATCTAATCATCAACTTTATATTACTTAACTTTACAAACTTTTCGTTTAGCTAACCCTATAACAAAATATGAGATTTTTTTTTCATGTGATCCTTTTAAATAATTATTTTTAAATTTTATATTTTATATGAATGAACACATAATAATATTGTATAGCTCAATCTGCGACAACGCTCGGGATACGTGCTAATTTACTCCTAAATAAAAATAGGAAAGTAGTAAAACCGTAAAAGAGGTAAAAGTATAGTTAAAAAAAAAAAAAAAAAGTCGCCATGACCAGGCGTGGATGTTAAGGTGCGATGGCGGAACTTTTGTCTGTAGCGACTGGTTTGCTTTTTGCCACGTGTTCAACATTTTCTGCACCAGCATTCACGTACGCCCTTTACTAATCCACACACTTCTGCCCCATGACCTACCAACAATTTTATAATTATTTTTTGCTTTAAAATTACACCTTCTATTAACACATGATTGAAAAAACATAAAATGCATGTTATGTTTTTATTTGATAGTAAGATTATTTTAAAAATAATTTGAGTTTCAGGCCAGAAAATGTTTATTTTCTAGTACTGTCAATAGCACATTCTTCTGATGTATTCAATGAGACTACGTGTATTTTTTTTGTAACGATAACATATTTTTTATTTTGGTTTGACTTACTAAAAAAATTTAATTATTATTATTATTTTTTTGAAATTGACTTCAAAGGTTAAATGAAAAAAAAACTTTTTTAATTACGAGACTGATCCTTTGATATTATGATTTTAAAAGTAACAAAAATTAGTTATCGCGTTCTTTTTAATTATGAATGACTATTTTATTTATTTTATATAAAGATTAAGTTTAAATCCTATAACCTGAAAGGAATTACCTTTTGGCTATTAAGTTAATTTCTCAAACTATTTTCTTGTAATAACATTTTTCTGATTGGTTGAAAATGGTTGTACGAGATAATTAGAAAAGAAAAGGATATGTCTTGACAAAAAAAAAAAAAGGATAAAGATAAAGCTTCAAATTAGCTCGTGATTTATAGGAGTAAATTATAAATTAATTTCTTAATTTTGTAAAAAAAAAATTAAATAGTCTTTTTGATTTAAATAATTAATTTATTAGTTTCTAAACCTGTATTGATCATAATTAATTTAATATTATTTTAAAAAATACATAATTTTTTTCATCATCCTTTCTTTCCTAATAAATAAAAAAATTAATTTATAGATAAATTTTAAAATATAATGATTAATTAAGTAGCTTTTGAAACTAGAAAGATTATTATTTGTTTTAAAAAACTAAAGAGATTAATTTATAATATACTCTGATTTATAGAGTATATTTTTTTATTAAGAACATTTATTTATTTATTTTCAATCTCACCGGTCCTTTTCTTCCCTAATTACGATATCTAGAAAAATAGAAAGGTAAAGGATAACACGTTTTTTTCTGAAAATGTTTTTTTTTTTATTTTTCTTTTCCATACAGACGTGTCCTTTTATTCTCTCTAATAGTATTATCTACAAAAATATAAATGAAAAAGTATTCAATTCTTAATTCTTAAAATAATGAAAAAAAAGTAAAAAAACGAAGACCAACCAACTAAATAACAGACAAAAAGAAACGTAAGTTGAATAACTATATGATTTTCTCATTCGTGCTCAAGTTTATACAAACAACATAAACATTAAACAAACACCAAAGAATTTGAAAGTGATTGTGTCTCTCTTTTGTTTCATTTTTAAGGAAGAGAGAGATTGCAACGTTAAAAAAGCAGAGACTTCTCTGGCAAATAATTTATTCATTAGCTACAAATTTTCATTGGTAAGCACTTGTTTGATAATTGTTTTTGCACGTTTAGCTATCTGGGTTTTGATTGTTGCCTTGTACTTGTACTTGTTTTTGCATGTCTGGATCATAAACCGCTAAAAAGGCGAAGATCCATTAAAGTTTTAAGCTTGTCTTTGTGGTTGTTGAGATTGGTTACATTTGAATATTGACCATTCTGTGTGAATTTTGATTCAAGTTTGAATCTTTGTCTGAGTTTTATGGAGATGATGTTTTTTTGTTTTTTTTATGGATAAGGTAGAACTATGGTTTTTGGGAGGATTTTAGAGAGGTTTGTTGTGATTTTGATGTTGAAATGGAAAAATGGAATGGTTAAAAGTACACCTTTTCTGTTTTGTACATGATTGGTTCGTAAGAAAACTTGGGAAAGAAACAAGATAATAAAACTTTACATGGATCACTCTGTCTGGGTTTCAAAATGAGAGGAAGAAAGGGTATATTAAGTTGAGCTTTGGGTTTAATTTATGGGATTGTGACGAGTTTTATATATTCTCAGCTATTGAGGTAAGGTAATGCAATGTAAAGTTGAAGTCTTCTTCTTTGTATGATGCATGTGGTTTGAAAATTTTGATGCTAGTTTTGAATTGACAACGTCGGAAATGGTAACTGTTGCATTCATCACCAGAACACTTTCTAATTTAGTTTATTGTCTAGGTATCTCGAGTCAAAGCTTGGTTCCCAGAGTCGTCCTGATCAAAGGGAATTTTAAGTCCAGTGAAGATTAATTTATTTGATAAGCATATTGTTGATGGCAACTTCGGAGACAATTCTACAAGTTCTGTCTGGGACTGGTCCTCGCAGTTTCAGTTCTGACCCTTGTTTTAGCAGTTTAGATTTGAGATTCTCTTGTAAATTCCACATAAAATGTGTAAAGAAAAAGGCTTCAAGGCATAGGAAAATGTTCAAGTGTTCAAATGTTCTGCAGAACAGTATAGGAAACCATTGGTTTAAGGGATTAGGTGATAGTGATCTGTCTTGGAATGCAACGATCAATAGATTGCAGCTTCTGAGGTGCAAATGCCAGCAGGCAGAAAGAGTTAGTGATGTAACTGCAGGAGGAGGAAATGGAACATGGCTTGTAGATAGTGCAAAGACATTAAACCTGAATGGGGTGGCGAACACGCCGAGTGTTTTGGAGTTTGGGGACGCTCAGGAGTTGGCACAGGAAAAGGAGGGTTTGACATCTAATGGTGCACTGAACCAGGAAAAGGAGAGTTTCGCAACTAATGGTGCAATAGGAAGAGGTAGAGATGACTCTCGCAAGGTTAGCATAGATCCTATTGAGGAAGAAGCATGGGACCTACTGCGGGATTCTATTGTTTATTACTGTGGCAGTCCTATTGGAACAATTGCTGCCAATGATCCCACCAGTTCCAGCGTGTTGAATTATGACCAGGTCTTCATTAGAGACTTCATACCTTCTGGCATTGCTTTTCTTTTGAAGGGTGAATATGATATTGTCCGGAACTTCCTCCTTCATACTCTTCAGTTGCAGGTAATATAAGTATTGATTGTGCTAACCCTTTTTTTTTTTTTTTTTTGTGGGAACTAGTCTTTTAAAGTTCCTCCCCTTTTTCTTGTTATCTGATTTGCTATAATGACTCCTTGTATTGCAGAGTTGGGAGAAAACAATGGACTGTCACAGTCCTGGACAGGGATTGATGCCTGCTAGTTTCAAAGTGCGCACGGTTCCTTTGGATGGCGATGATGATTCTGCAACAGAGGAGATATTGGATCCTGATTTTGGAGAGGCAGCAATTGGTCGTGTTGCACCAGTTGACTCTGGTAAATTAAATTTCACCTGAACAAGTTTCCTTTGAAGATAAAGCGTTTGATTGCTCACATAGCTGAAATTTTCATATGTTACCATGCCAATATTAGGATTATGGTGGATTATCTTATTACGTGCATACGGGAAATGCTCTGGTGATCTCTCAGTTCAGGAGAGGATTGATGTGCAGACTGGAATTAAGATGATTCTGAGGCTATGTCTTGCTGATGGTTTTGACATGTTCCCAACATTGTTGGTGACAGATGGTTCTTGCATGATAGATCGTCGTATGGGAATTCATGGGCACCCTCTGGAAATCCAGGTAAAGTTGAGTGATTTTCAGATCATTTAGGAGAGTTTTTTATGTTAAAATATCCAGGTAATCCATGTTGCAAGGGAGGTTCAATGAAGGAAGGTACTTGTAGGAAAAATCTGGATGTTGCCATTTTTTTGTCAGATGACTCTATAAATAGATGTCTTGAACCAATTCTGCAATAATGGAATTAGGATATTTTGACAGAATCAGGGATAAGAGTTTGGAGGATTAGGTTGGTTGAAGCCACTCTTTGGTAAGGCTGTTGGCTTAAATGCTTTCTGGCAGTAGTTTTCAAAGTGCATAAGATGAACTAGCTATATATTCTTGAGTGGTTGAAGGTCCTTGGTTTTCAGTTTAGGTTGACATCACCTAGCTTTAATGCATGCTCGGCATAATATTCTGCCAAAATATGCTTATATCAGACTTAGGAGGACGCTGAGTCTTGGAAATGGTTTTTCCAATCTATTTTCTGATAGAATGTATGTTTCTCTTGTAGGCACTCTTTTACTCCGCCTTACTTGGGGCAAGGGAGATGCTTGCTCCAGAAGATGGATCAGCTGATCTCATCCGAGCTTTGAACAATCGTCTAGTTGCTCTTTCATTCCATATCAGAGAGTATTATTGGATTGATTTAAGAAAACTAAATGAGATTTACCGTTACAAGACTGAAGAGTACTCTTATGATGCAGTTAATAAGTTCAATATTTACCCAGATCAGATTTCTCCTTGGTTAGTGGAATGGATGCCCAACCAAGGCGGCTATCTTATTGGAAATTTGCAACCTGCTCATATGGATTTCCGATTCTTTTCTCTTGGAAACATATGGTCTGTTGTAAGTGGTCTCACGACAAGAGATCAATCAAATGCGATATTGGATCTCATTGAAGCCAAGTGGTCAGATTTGGTAGCAGACATGCCATTGAAGATCTGTTATCCTGCTCTTGAAGGTCAGGAGTGGCAGATTATCACTGGAAGTGATCCTAAGAACACGTAATACTGCTACCTTATTAAAATTGATCTCATTTTTCACTTTCTAGCTATTTCCTTCGAGTCATGAGCTGTTCTGTTTGTTGCAGGCCTTGGTCCTACCACAATGCAGGTTCCTGGCCAACTCTTCTCTGGCAGGTTAGTGATGGGAGTGTAGTTTGCTAATCTTTTCACTGGTAAACATTTTAGTGAAAAATAACAATTAATTAGAGAAGAAGAAGAACTCAGTAAAAAGACTGAAATAAGCAACACCATTGGTAGTTTTGGCACCCTAGTCATGCTGGTATAGAGGGGTAAGAATGCTTGATTGATACTCCCATCTGAGGATGTATTTGTCTGCAGGTGATCACTCTGTTAGGCATAAACCAGTTTCATACCCATATCTGTCAGTAATGATCCCTCTGGATGACCATTACCATTGTTTGTCTGTTATGTATGCTTTTTTCTTTTCTTCGGAGTCCATTTTACATCCTTGATACTTTACAAGTTGCATAGAGGGATTTATAACTATGTATGAAATAAGCAGTTTAGCTGAATGTTATGGTGTTAGTTAGTAAAACTTGGATGCATAATTTAACATGTGTAAGACTTCTTTCAGCTTACAGTTGCATGCATAAAGATGAATAGACCAGAAATCGCTGCTAGAGCGGTTGAGATTGCTGAGAAACGCATATCACAAGACAAATGGCCTGAATATTATGACACCAAGAAAGCGAAGTTCATTGGAAAACAAGCACATCTGTTCCAGACTTGGTCTATTGCTGGATATCTTGTGGCTAAGCTCTTGCTTGCAGACCCAGGTGCAGCTCGGATGCTTGTAACCGATGAGGATCCTGAGCTTGTCAATGCCTTCTCCTGCCTGTTCAGTTCTAATCCAAGGCGAAAGCGTGGGCAGAAAAATTCAAAAAAGACATTCATAGTATGAACTACTGAGCTGTCTGCGCAGAAACAGGGTACTTGTTCTTTCAGTAATGATACTGAATTTGTTTACAAAGTATAATACAAGTACTTAAACGTCTTCTAATCCATTTGGACGAATAAGGTGCAATTTCATTCCCACCTTATTATATACCATAGGATATATCTGTATGAATAACGTACATATATATGAAAGTTATACGATAACATTTGAAACCCTTGATGTGGATGAACTTTGGTGATTGAATTTGCTTCTAACTTCTGTATTAGTTTTGTTTTCTTGAGAAACTGTAAGACAATCAGATGCATATATTGGAGTTATTATGTCTTTGAAGTCCTGCATTTCCTTTCCCCATGCATCAGATGATCTAGTGCAACTGTTAAGTAAAACTACATATATCAAGCCGTTCTGCTTATCCTACTGGAACTGAACTGGAATAATTATAATGTTGAAACTTTCCAAGTTGCTTGAAGAAGACAATCGACAAATGGCCTTTTCAGTACTCTCTTGACGTTGCCAACTGGAATTTTTTTCAAATCCAATCTCTCCTTAATATCTTCAAGACAACTGTGTTTCAATAGAAGACAATAAGTACGGACAAACTATTTGATTTAGTCTCAGTATCAACATGCTCTAATTTGTTTTCATGAGTGGATATATGGAATGATTTAACATTACTGTCACTTTTCTGTAGGCCATAGGGTTCCTTACTTACCTTCCAGTTCTCCAGTCCTAGCTCAATTTCGTGAATACCAAAAAAAAAAAAAAAAAAAAGAAAAAGAAAAAGAAAAAGAGAAAGAAAGAAAGAAGAAGAAGAAGAAAGAAAGAAAGAAAGAAGAATAAGAAGAATTATAAGTACTTTAACGTTTTTTCAATTGAGTGCATGAATTTTAATTATTTTCATTTGGATACATTAATTTTTTTTAAAACTACCGATCAAGTATCTCTGTCTAACTTCTGTCAATTACTCTATTTTCCGATGATGTGTTTTTTGTTCTATACTACTAAATTATGATTTTTCTCTTTTATTTTCAGAGAACTTTTTCTTTCCAAATTATTTTGTCAGATTCTACTTTTTGTATAATAAATATCTAAAAAGTAAAAAATGATAAAATAATTTAGGAGAGAGAGTTTCTTATAAGAATAAAAGGACAAAATTACAATTTAAATATCTAGAGTAAAGAATCAGATAACATAAGAAGTGACAAAAGTTAATTGAAGTTCACATAATCATTGATAAAAAAGTAAAAAATTAATATACTTACAATTCAATTATCTACAAAAAAAGACAAAAGATTTGCTTGAAGCCATCAATGCATACTGGTCAGGCTAGGATTTTGTGAGCAAGCCAATTTGTGTCTTCATCATCCACTAAGCAGTAAAAAATGTCATAGTTACAGGCTCATTATACTGTCAACCACGTCCAAAGTTGAAGCAGCTGGAGGAGCCTGCTTGGGCATCATATTTTCCACTTCTGTTAAAGAAATGATAAGTTCTAACATTGAATTTGACTTTCCATAATGTGGTGAATGATTATATATGGTGGATAAAGACCAAAGAAACAGTCCTGACTTGTATTTACCAATAAGGCTACTCTAAATATCGATTTTCACCTTGAAATATCAATTTTGAATCAATTTTACATATATAAATTCTCATTCTTAGAAAGTTCGTGTCTCATTTTCGTATGGTATTGGACATAAATTACTGATAGACTCAAAAAGTTCAATTCTTAAAATAAACTTAAAGTTAAATGTTATCCGACGCTGATTTAATTCAAAAATTAAGAATTTAATCTCGATTGATGAAAAACTAATCCTAAAATATCTCACTAGTCGTAATATAAAAAAAAAATATTTATCCAAGTAAAATTTGTAAGAACTATCCTTATCAGGAGGACTACTGCTGATACCCCATGTCTTTCTAGCAAAAATCACATCATGATGAATCATCATCACCCTGGAATAGAGAAGTAATGCTAGAAATTTAAGATGGCCAACTGTTTTGGGGGTTCGGGACAGAAAATATGAGACATTAAATTTTTCAGGTAGGTTTTAATAAATTTTTAGAGATATTAAATCTGAATATAGTTTAAAAAAAGAAAGCAAATCTCTTTAAGTTGCAGGTAGATTGAGGTTGTCATGCACTTTAAAGGTGGCAAAGCTAAACTTAAGAAATCAAGTGTTACATTATTACTCATGTGATTCCAAGGATGAAAATGTTTTGTTTTTTTTTTGTTTTTTTGTTTTTTTTTAGCATAAAAATATGAGTAAATTATAAATTAGTCCCTTTAGTGTTTCAAAATGAATTAAATAATCCCTCTAATTTCAAAAAAGCTAATTAATTAGTCATTATGTTTTTAAATCTACTTGTAACTTAATCTTTTTAATTTTTTTTAATTTATTTTGATTATTTGTTTTAAGAAGTCGAGAAAGAAAAATAATAAGTAAAACATATGAAAGAATTGATGAGAAAAGAAAATATTTTTTGAAAGTAAAAAAGTAATATTAAATTAACTATGGTCAACACTAGCCAAAAGACCAATTAATTAGTTTTTAAAATAAGATAAATTATTTCATTCGTTTTACAAAACTAGAGGAGCTAATTTATAATTACTCGTAAAAATGTTGACTAAAAAGTCCTTTTTTTGTGACATATAAAATAGTTATTTCTTTCTCTCTCACACAAGTAAAGGGAGGTTGATTATAGACTTTTTGATTTACCATAATAAAAATAGGAAATTCTCATATTTCACTGGTCCTCTTGAATTGTAGATCCTAAAATTTATTTTTTGGGAGAAAAACAAATGGGGATCAAAAGGCCAAAATAGACGCAAAATAAATTTAACTACAATACAAATAGCACATCAACTTTATCGGGAGTAAATTAGGAAGTAATCTCTTTAGTTTTGAGAAACAAATTAGTTAATTTCTTTTATTTTAAAAATAATTATTTAATTTCTATATTTTGAAATTTTTTTGTAACTTAATCATTTTAGTTATTTTTTAATGTATTTTGATTTTTTGTTTTAAGAAATAGAAAAAAAAGGTAAAAAAAATATAGAAAGATTGATGAGAAAATATATATGATATTCTTTAAAATAAAGTAATATTAAATTGAGCATGGTTAACACTAGTCTAGAGACTAAAAAAAATAGTTTTTAAAATAAAAAAGACCTGATTAATTTGTTTCTAAAAAATATAGGGACTGATTTATAATTTACTAACTTTATTAGAGTAGAAAGACTTTTTAGTTTATTCTCTTAGCCTCATGTCCTACACATAATAAACAAAGATTAGGCCTGGTTTAGTTAGCAATCATAGTAGGAATCATTATTATAACTCAAGTATGTAATTACTCAAACAATAGTGTAAAAGAGTAAAAAGTTATTATCAAACATTTAAATATGATAACTTCTTAATTAACTCCTTTTAATGCACAATCCTTATTATATTCCAATTAATTAGCAAATTGGCGTACTTTTTTTTTTTTTTTTTTTGCCTAAAAAGGTTTTTTTTTTTAATACAACTTGGACCAAATAATAACCATACACAATGTTGTCCTGTCTTGGCTTATGTTATATCTAATGACTACAAGGAGATTATGTCATTGAAAAGAATGTTTAATTTTGTTTACTTGTAAAAAGAATGTATCTTCATTTTTTTTCTCTAGCAAGATTTTTTCTTCATTATGTAAACATGCTAAACAATAGACAAAGTGTCTTAAATTAGTTCAAATTTTCAATGAGTAATTTTTTTTATTATTCCCTTTATTTTCAAAAAAACAAATTGATTAATCTTTTTTGTTTCAAAAACTAATTATTTAGTCTTTATATTTTTAATATTCCTTGTAACTTGATATTTTTCAATTTTTTTAAAATTTTTTTGAAGAAATAGAAAAAAAGAGAGTAAAATATATGAAAAGATTCATAAGAAAAAAATGATATTTTTGAAATAAATTACTATGAAATTAAATTCAGTCAACACTAGTCAAAGAACTAAATAATTAATTATTTTCTTAAAAATATAGAGACTAATTTATAATTTACTCAATTTTCAATACATTGGAGTTATTAAGCACATAAACTATGATTAATGAAGTACTATAAAAATCATCCAAGTAGAATTTGGAATCCAGCTATAGTACCCTACATGCACCCATCCCTCTCTTAAGGAAGCCACATGGCCCAACCACATTTTGCCGGCCCATACTTCCCTCCTCCATTCCCTTCAAAACCTCAACTCTCTCTCACCACCCTCATTCCCACACCCCAGATGACTGACCAACTTCCAACCACCATTCCCTCCTCCGCCACCACAACAACCACCACCGTGGAGCCAACTGTGGAAGATCTAACCGATGATCTTGATAATCTTAGCTTCACTTCCACCATCACTGCTGCGGAGACAAGACATAGCACAAGTTCAGGGTCCGAAACCACATGGCCTTCCTCAACCTCGAGCCTCGTGTCAACCTCCTGCAAACCCCATCATCCACCCCAATGTGACGAATGCTGGCATGCAATCCAACGTGAAAACTGCGCTAACTCGCCCCTAACCCTAGCTGATTTACGCTTTGTCCACAAATTAGGAAGTGGTGACATAGGGAGCGTGTATCTTGTAGAGCTCAAGGAAGGCAATGGGTGTCTTTTTGCTGCCAAAGTCATGGACAAAAAGGAAACTGCTACTAGGAACAAAGAAAGTAGGGCTAGAATTGAGAGGGAAATATTAGAAATATTGGAGCACCCATTTTTGCCTACACTGTATGCCACATTGGACTCACCTAGGTGGTCTTGTTTGTTAACGGAGTTTTGTCCCGGCGGTGACCTCCACGTCCTCCGCCAACGGCAACCCGATAGGCGATTCGACGAAGCTGCCGTCCGGTATGTATGAGTAATGTATGCATGTATACGTCCATAAATTGTCTTAAATGTTCGTGTTAGGTAGGCAAGGGAAATAATTTGAGTGGTTGAGTTTTGCATATCAAAGATGTAAATTCTTGTATGATGAGAAATGATGGGTAATCATAGGTGGGGTTAAGTTTACCAATTGCTAAGACTGTTCATTGCATGTAGGGTTAATGGGTAAATCCATGTGGGTTTAGTCATTGATTGTGTGGACCATGCAACCTTTTGGTGTGTGTCTCGTGCACTAGATCATAATAGAAGGCATGGCATTCATGAATTCATAAAAAGGAGGAAAAAATCATATCCCTAAATCTATGGCATGTTCTAGTACATTATTTTTCTGGTTCTTGTCTATGCATAGAGTCCCAAGATATCGTTTCAAGAATAATATCTTTTTTGTGTCGAATTTTAACTTTTCCTTTTTGAGTACAACGTCTTCTTCAAATTTCTATACTTTGTTACTTTTATTGTAAATTATTAAACTAGATTTAACTTCTTTTTTCCACTAGTGTACATTTGCCCATCACATCATTGCTTTCGAGGGGCAACAATTACTTAGCTTAGTAGTAATTTTTTTTTTTTTATCCACTAGTTTTATTATAGGTAGCATTGGGTGTTTGAAACAGTTATGTTTAATAATTTTATTAGGTGAAATTCATTTTATGCCTTTATACTATCTAGTATTTGTGTATTTTAATCTTTTTATTCAAGAATGGTGCATAATAAATAATGCATTATTGAACGATGGAATAAATCAATTTTTTCATCCAATATCCGACAAATTATATGATGATATGTTGTTAATAAATATCGATGGAATGATTGGGTTATTCTAATGTTCAATAACATATGATTTATTTTGTACTATATTTAAGTAAAAAGATTAAAATAAGTAATATTAGATAATACAAGAATACGAGATGAATTTCATTTAATCTTTATTTATAAAAATACCTTAAATTTGGACCTAGTATGAGTATAATATGATCTTTGTAAATATATATGTCAAGCGATTTAAAGCATAATCTTTGTTTTATCCTATTTTTTAAAAAGAAAAAAAAACCCTAATTTTGAACCTTGAAAACATGGGATATTGTGGGAATAATCTTTATAATTAGTTGTGTTATGCTTTGATATCATGATTTATTTTGGTTGCTTTTAGGTTCTATGCATCAGAAGTTGTGGTTGCTCTTGAATATCTACACATGATGGGAATAATCTATCGCGACCTCAAGCCCGAAAATGTTCTAGTAAGATCAGACGGTCACATAATGCTTACAGATTTTGATCTCTCCTTAAAAGACGATAATTCAACATCAACGGCTCAGGTTATTTCCGATCAAAACCCACCAACCACAGCATCAACAAGTGACTATTACCCTTCTGATACATCTCAATTTGCCACGTCATCATGCATCCTACCCAACTGCATGGTGCCAGCTGTCTCTTGCTTCCACCCAAGAAGGAAACGCAAGAAGAAATTCAATCAACGTGGGACCCTCGAGATTGTAGCAGAGCCAATAGACGTCCGGTCCATGTCATTTGTTGGGACCCACGAGTACTTGGCACCGGAGATTGTTTCCGGCGAGGGACACGGCAGTGCAGTGGATTGGTGGACCTTAGGCATATTCATATTCGAAATGTTCTATGGTGTTACCCCATTTAAAGGGATGGACCATGAGTTAACCCTAGCTAATGTTGTGGCTCGAGCCCTTGAATTCCCCAAGGAACCCTCAATTCCGATCTTCGCCAAGGATTTGATCACACAGCTTCTGATCAAAGATCCGGAAAGACGACTGGGCTCGACAATGGGAGCTACTGCCGTTAAGCACAATCAATTTTTTGACGGGACCAATTGGGCGTTGCTAAGGTGTAGAACTCCACCTTATATTCCTCGACCGGTGACTTGTAAAAACTTTAGGGCAACCGATAATGGGAACAATTCTATAGAATATTATTACTAAGAGAAAAATTCTTTTTTTTTCTTTTTGATTTTATTTGGGGAGAAAATATGTGAAGTGAGGAGCCAAATTATTTAATGGAACTTTTTTTTTTTAGCTCTCCTAGAAATGTAATTGTTGTTCAAATTGTTTATATGGAAACTTTTTGAAGAAAGCATGCATTGGATACCACATTTAAGAGTAGTCCCACTTCTTCCTTTTTGTTTTTGTTTTTTTTTTAATTGCCTTTGATTGAAATTATTGTGTTAATTTTGAACAAAAATCGTTTGAAAAGTGGGGCCTTGTTGAATTGATCATCAGATTTTGATTTTTTTTTAATAATATTTTATAAATATATTCATAAAAAATGTTTTTTCTAAATAATAAATTAATAAGAGAACATTTTTTTTTATATACTTTATGGTGTTATCATCGGAGCCTTTCTGATTCTTAAATTATTTTGTCCCATGTACTTTCTAAGTTGTCATGATTAGCTTACTAGCTTTGGACATTGCTAGTATGAATGGTGACTATTTATTTATTTATTTGGAGAATATGAATATAATGTACTTAATTGCAGTAAATTATAAATTACTTTTCTTTTTAGTTTTGAGAAACGAATTAATAAATTCTTTTTTGTTTTAAAAACTAATTATTTAATCTATTAACGATATTGACAATCCTTAATTTAATATTAGTTTATTTAAAAAATATTTTTTTATAATCAATCTTTCCATAAACCATAATATCTAATTATCTTCTACTTTTTTTCCATCTTTTTAAATAGAAAAAAAATAAAAAAAAGCATAAAATATGCAAAAATGAATAAATTAATTTTTTTGAAAGAAGAAAAATTAATCAATTCATTTCTCAAAACTAGAAACACTAATTTATAATTTACTCCACTCAATTGTTACAACTTTCAAAAGGAAAATTTTATTTTTAAATTTTTATAGGGCTGGACTCGCACCAAATGCAGTTTAGGACTGGGCTTGGATTGGCAGCTTTATAACTGAGGTCATACTGGGCTGTTGAGGGCCTTGCTTATAGCTCTGTATTTCAAATTTGCGATGGCAAAGTTTAACTATAGTCCTCATATTATTCGAAACTTTCATTCATAGTCTATTTTCACTAGGTTATATTTATACCATATTGATTGAACGGGAAATATTCAGCGTATTCATAATAAATGACGAAGTTAGTAAGCTTTGATCCTGCATCACTCTGGGAAATAGTATTCTAAAAGATTGACACGTCTCAATCATTTCTTCTTTTTTTTTTTAAATAGAAACTTCATATACCAACACAATAAACTTCAAAGGGTGATGGATTTTGAACGTGCATTGCTCAAAAAATAATTTTTGCCATTATTGACTTGTTTTTTAAATTTAATTTCATTCATTACAATTTCCGACATAATCATCATTCAATTTTTTTTTTATTTCAAAATAATTTGATTATGTTTGTTCTTTATAGAAGATGACCACGTTTTTTAGCTCTTTCTTTTTAGTTGTTATTTTATGTTGTATTGGTCGAATGAGAAATTCTCAACGAATTCATAATAAACGACGAAGTTAATGAGTTTTGATCTCATACACTTAGAACTAATTGTTTCAAATGATTGATCGTGTATTAACTTTTACAATAAATGAGAAAGAATGATAGATAACATGCAATGCTTGAAAATAATTATTACTCGTTTATTGATTCGTTTTCAAAATTAATTTTTATTTATTATAATTATCTTCATTATCATCATTAAAATTTATTTTTACTACTTCAAAATGATCCGATCATATTTGTTATAATTCATGAAAAATGGTCACATTTCTTAACTCTTTTTTTATTGTTATTTTATATCTTATTGGTTGAATGAATGTGTTCATAATAAGCAACAAAATTAATGATGTTTTGATCTCATATTGCTTGAAAACAATCATTCCAAATGATTGATCATGTATTAACCTTTACAATAAACGACAAAGGATGATGGATAACATACATTGCTTGAAAACAATTTTTACCGTTATTGATTTTTTAAAATATTTTTTTTACAATATCGGTTGAGCGAGTAACCTTCACATATTCATAATAAACGACACGGGATGAATTTTGGTTCAAAAACAGTTATTATCGTTATTCACTCGTCTATTAATTATTTTTTATTGTTATATTTATACCATATCTATTAAATGAAAAATCTTCAATGTACTCATACTAAATAAAAAATTTAATGACTTTTGATCCCGCATTGCTTGGAAATAGTTATTCCAAATGATTGATCGTGTCTTAACCTTTACAATAAACGACAAAAGATGATGGATAATATGCATCGCTTCAAAACAGTTATACCGTTATTAACCTTTTTATTATTATTTTTATACCACATTGATTGGGCGAGTAACTTTTACATATTCATAATAAACGACAAATGATTAATTTTCGTTAGAAAACGATTATTATCGTTATCTACTCGTGTCTTGAAATTGATTTTCATTTGTAATAATTACTGCCATTGTAACATTTTAAATCCTTTTTTCTTTAATTTTAATTCCTTAAACCATTTTCTTTTTGTTCTGCACATTCTATATTTAGCTAAATTAGAGACTTCCATTGCTTAATTAACATGGTTTTCTGTACTGTATTTAAATTTAATTTCCATTCAACTTAATGATAACATATCATAAGTAGAAGAATTTTTAATCCCTAATTTAATTTATACTTTATACAAACCCTTAATTAATAAATAAATGTTCTTCATTTTCATTTTCCTCTTTTCTAATGCAGTCAAACAAGCCTATAAGAAGTATTATTAATTTTTTTACTTGAAAAAACACTTCCTTTTTAAACAACCAAACTATTTTCCATTTCTTGCTTGTTGCACTAATTGCAAGAAGATTATAAATGTAAAGTGCACCTACTCCTTCACACAAAAATCAATACAAGCGAATCCTTTGTTGTTCCTTACCAAATATGCAGATATGTCTTACCTCATTTCAAATTCTAAGTTAATCCTTAACGCCTGTTTTGCCAGTACAGAAACAAGAAAGTTCACCTACAACTTTTGTCTTTGCCTAAACCATGTGTTTTTTCACGTTTTACAATGTTGTCTTTATCTCTAAATGTATGCATATCCAGACTCAGTTACTCCTTGAACTACCTATATAAACCCCCATTGGATTACCTATCATGCACCACTCCTCACCAATATCCTCTATTTCTCTTAATTTCTCTTTGTTGTTCCTTTGTGGGGATAGCTTCTTCTCTTCAGCAATGGCAGGCATGGCAGCTCTTGAAGCCCTCACCGATAGGCTGTATGGCTTTATCCAGTCCATGGAAGATGAGGTATTGTCTCTTTTTTTGCATCTTTGTATGCCTTTTTATTTGTTTTCTTGGCACATTTTTATGTGTTGTTTGTTTATTCGTTTTCTTTGTTGATACTTAAATCTGTTTATCTATCTTCTTTGCTTGCAGGGAATAGTGGACTACCATTTCGAAGAATGTTACAACATGAAGGAGGCCAACGGATCCGTTTTGTTCACTGAGATTATTCCTACTTACATATCTGATTCTGAATCCACCTTAGTGCACATGACTAACGTATTGTATGTTCGAATCTTATCATCTTATGTACATGCAATGATTGTTCTTTCAGTTTATCTAAACGAGGTTTTTTTGTGTGTTTATTGCTGAGTTTCTTTCATTCTTATTTTCTTACAGGGATCAGCCTATTGTTGATTACAATCAGCTCGAACAACTCTGCATCAAGCTTAAAGGAGGGACGACATGGTGATATAATTGTTTCCCTATCAATCCTTTCATTGATTAGATCTAGCTTGAGTTGCATTAATTAATCATTACAAAACTTGTTTAAGAATTTTTTGGATCCACTAATTAACATATGCTTCTCCTGCAAGTAGCACGTTGGGAATCAATCCTGGGACATTGATTGTTTTTAATTCTCAGTGAAGTTATTTTATTCCTTAAACAAATTAAAAAAAGAAAACTTGTTTTTATTTGTCAGAAACAATCATGTCGCGATTCCTAGTCTGAAACGATTGTTTTGCCTAAATCTAAAAACTCGTTTTTTTCAATTTGGCGTTGCAGCATCGGTGCATGCCGCATGGCGGCTTCATGTGGCGTTTTTTGTCAGACTACTGCTGCCAGAAGCAAGGAAGAGTATGAAATCATTAAACTTATGTCCTAACGCAGTTTTAGTATAGCTCAACCACTTACTTGTTGTACATTAATTGTTTGATTTGTAGCTGCATGCTGATGTTGGAGGTGATCAAAGGTGATTTTTTCACTCTGCGTAACAAATTGGAGACTTTGCTGGAGGTAAGATATATGATATTGGTTTGAGTTTGTGGATTTCGAGAAGTATATTCTACGTTGTAAATAATCAATGACTGTTTGTTCTAGTAATGATTTGTTGTTCTTCAATTCTGGGATTTTTGTGATGCAGCTGGAGAAGAGGATTGTGACCAATGATTATCAAGGTTCTTGAAAGCCACATTCTGGTGGTTGCTGTCTTGCTATGTCCTGTGGCCCGTGTTTCTGAGTTTTCAATAATCCAAGCTGCAACTTAGTTTGCAGTCTGTTTAGGATTTATCAGCTTTCAGTTTTAGTAATGTTTGAACTTTTAATTGTTGTTTTATGTCATGTATGTTACCCTGGATTTATTGTCGGCATCTGTCTCTACCCTACGGTTGAGTTCTGAAGCCACCAGTAGTTTGCAGCGAAGCTTTATGTTTTCTCTTCGATTTGGTGTATGTTTCCCTGGAATTATTGTGGGCATCTTTCTCTACCCAGCGGGTGAGTTCTGAAGAAGCCATCGGTAATTCACAGCGAAACTTCATGTTGTCTTTCATTTGCTTTTCTGAAGAATGAAAATGGGAAGATTTATTCTCTCATATAATGGTTTTTATATGTGGTTGTTTGGATTGTTTACTGTCTTTTGATTGATTTCTGACCATCAGAAGAGATCAGAAGAGATCTAAGGCCACATCATGAACAAATTAACTCACCAGAAAATCTGGTCTGGACAAAAATCTTACAGGTTGATGTTATAGCTAGAGCAACGATCCCAGAAGTTAAAGCACTATGGGTAGTCAGTAGTTAAATATAATGTTACAAACCGGTTATCAAGCTTAGGACAGGTCAAGCAATGGTTTGATATAAGAACAACACCATCTCCTAAACAAGAAAGGTGAAACCTTTACGTATACGGCTAAGGATCACCATCTTTTGGCAAGCTAAAATATAAATTACCAAACAAATTAATTAATCTCTTTTGTTTTAAAAACTAATTATTTAATCCGTTAATCATTTTCAAAATCCTTAATTTAATATTATTATATTTAAAAGATGTTTTTTTCATTAATATTTTCATAATATCTATTTTTTTCAGTTTTCTATTTTTTTAAATAGGAAAAAATAAAAATAAAAAATAACATAAAATAAAAATGACTAAATATTAGTTTTTAAAACAAGAAAAAATTAATTATTTCGTTTCTCAAAGCTGAAAAGACTAATTTATAATTTACTTTACTCCATTGTTACAACTTTTAAAAGGTAAATTTTATTTTTAAATTTTTATAGAGCTGGACTCGCAAGAAACACAATTTAGGACTTGGGCTTGGATTGGCGGCTTTATAACTTATGTCATACTGGTCGTTCAGGCCCATGCTTATAGCTCTGTATTTCAAATTTGCAATGGCAACGTTTAACTATAGTCCTCATATTCTTTGAAACTTTCATTCACAGTCTCATTTTATACTTGGTTATTTTTATACCATATTGGTTGAACCAGAAATCTTCAAGCATTCATAATAAAAGACGAAGTTATTAATTTTTGATCCTGCGTCGCTTGGAAACTGCATTCCAAATGATTGGTCATATTGTCTTAATCATTTTCTTTAATTATAACTTCTTATATATTTATAATAAATAGTTTATGAATTTTGAACGTGCATTGCTTGAAAATAGTTATTATCCTTATTGACTTGTTTTTAAAAAATTAATTCCATTTATTATAATTTCCAACATAACCACTATTTGATTTTTTTTTTTACTTCAAAATGATCCGATTATGTATGCTCTTCATGAAAGACAATCACGTCTCGTAACTCTTTCTTATGTAGTCGAATGAGAAATCTTCAACGTATTCATAATAAACGACAAATTTAATGAGTTTTGATCCCATATCACTAAAAAATATTTGTTCCAAATGATTCATCATGTATTAACCTTTATAATAAACGACAAGGATGATGGATAACATGCATTGCTTAAAAGCAATTATTACCATTATTGACTTATTTATTATTATTACGTTTATACAATATCCATTGATCAAGTAACCTTTATGTATCCATAATAAACAAAAAATGATGAATTTTGGTTCGAAAACGGTTATCATCGTTATCGACTCATCTATTAACTATTTTTTTATTATTAAATTTATACTATATCGATTGAACAAAAAATCTTCAACGTACTCATAATAAATAAAAAAGGTTAATAAATTTTGATCCCGCATTGCTTGGAAATAGTTATTCCAAATGATCGATCATGTATTAACCTTTACAATAAATGACAAACGATGATGGATAACATGCATTGCTTAAAAATAGTTATTCTCGTTATTGACTCTTTTTTTATATTATTTTTATATGTTATCAATTGAGCGAGTAACCTTCACGTATTCGTAATAAACGACAAAGGATGAAGTTTGGTTCGAAAATAGATATTATTGTTATCAACTCGTCCATTAGCTTCTTCTTTTTTTAATTGTTATATTTATATGCTATTTGTCGAATGAGAAATCTTTAATATACTCATAATAAATGAAATAGGTTAATGAATTTGGTCCCATATTACTCGAAAATAGTTATTTCAAATGATCGATTGTGCCTTAACCTTTACAATAAATGTTAAATGATGATAGATAGCATGCATTCCTTAAAAACGGTTATTATCGTTATTGACTCTTTTTTGTTATTATTTTTACACTGTATTGATTGAGCGAGTAATCTTCACGTATTCATAATAAACCACAAAGCATGAATTTTAGTTCAAAAAAAGCTATCATTGTTTTCGAATCATCTCTCGAAATTGATTTTCATTTATTGCAATTACCACCATTGTAAATAACATTTTAAATCTTTTTTTCTTGAACCATATTTTTCTTCTTCTTCATATTTAGCTAAATTAGAGACTTCCATTCCTTAACATGGTTTTCTTTAGTGCATTTAAATTTAATTTCCCTTCAACTCTATGACAAACACATTATAAATAGAAGAACTTTTTAATCCCTAACTTGGTTTATATATATATATATATATATATATATATAACACACACACACACACACACATACACTTGAAGCTCTTAATAGAATTAGTCTATTAGAATTTGAACCTATGACTTTTTATTATAAGAGACTATTACTACTAGGCTACAAGCTAATTGATAGTTTATACTTTATACAAAACCTCAATTAATAAATAAATATTCTTAATTTCCATTTTTTTCTCTTTTCTAATGCAGACAAACAAGCCTATTGAAAGTATTATTAATTTCTCTACTACAAAAAACCATTTTCATTTTATACAACCAAACTCTTTTTCCATTTCTTGCTTGTTGCACTAATTGCAAGAAGATTATAAATGTAAATTGCATCCACTCCTTCACACAAAAATCAACACAAGCGAATCCTTTGCTGTTTCTTACCAAATATGCAGATACGTCTTACCTCATTTCAAATTCTGAGTTGATCCTTAATGCCTGTTTTGCCAGTACAGAAACAAGAAAGTTCACCTACAACTTTTGTCTTTGCCTTCACCCTGTGTTTTTTCACGTTTTACAACTTTGTCTTTATCTCTAAAAATGCATGCATATCCAGACTCAGTTACTCTTTGAACTACCTATATAAACCCCCCTTGTGTTACCTCTCTTGCACCACTCCTCACCAATACTCTCTATCTCTTAATTTCTCTTAATTTGTAGTTCCTTTGTGGGGCTGGTTTCTTCTCTTCAGCAATGGCAGGCTTGGAAGCTCTTGAAGCCCTCACCGATAAGCTGTACGACTTCATCCAGTCCATGGAAGATGAGGTATTGTCTCTTTTTTGGCATCTCTGCATTTCTGTTTATTTGTTTTCTTGGTACATTTTATGCGTTCTATGTTTATTCGTTTTCTTTGCTGATTATCCATCTTCTTTACATGCAGGGAATAGTGGACTACCATTTCAAAGACTGTTACAGCATGAAGGAGGCCAATGGACCCTTTTTGTTCATTGAGATTCTTCCTACTTACATATCTGATTCCGAAACAACCTTAGCGCAGATGACTAATTTATTGTATGTTCGAATCTTATCATCATATGTACTTGCAATGATTGTTCTTTCAGTTTATCTAAAAGAGGTGGTTTTTTTTTTTTTTGTGCGTGTGTGTGTGTGTGTGTGTGTGTTTATTGCTGAGTTTCTTTCATTCTCATTTTCTTGCAGGGATGAGCCTATTGTTAATTACAATCAGCTCGAACAACTATGCATCAAGCTTCAAGGAGGGACGGCATGGTGATATATTTGTTTCCCTATCAATCGTTTCATTGATTAGATCTAGCTTGAGTTGCATTAATTAATCATTACAAAACATGTTTAATTCTCAGTGAAGTTATTTTATTCCTCAAGGAAATAAAAAAGCTTGTTTTTATTTGTCAGCAACAATCATGTCTCGATTCCTATTCTGAAATGATTGTGTTGCTTAAATCTAAAATCGTTTTTTCCCAACTTGGTGTTGCAGCATTGGTGCCTGCCGCATGGCGGCTTCATGTGGCCTTCTTCGTCATGCTGCTGCTGCCGGAAATAAGGATGAGTATGAAATCATTAAACTTATGTCCTAATGCTGTTTTGGTATAGCTCAGCCACTCACTTGTTGTACATTGTTCGATTTGTAGCTGCATGCTGAGGTTGGAGGCAATCAAAGGTGATTTTTTCACTCTGCATAACAAATTGGAGGCTTTCCTGGAGGTAAGAGACATTATATTGGTTTGAGTTTGTGGATTTCGAACAGTATATTCTACGATGTAAATTATCAATGACTGTTTGTTCTAGTAACGATTTGTATTTCTTCTGGGATTTTTGTGATGCAGCTGGAGAGGAGGATTGTGACCAATGACTATCAAGGTTCTTGAAAGGCACATTCTGGTGCTTGCTGTCTTGCTATGTCCTGTGGCCTGTGTTTCTGAGTTTTCAATAATCCAGGCTGCAACTTAGTTTGCAATCTGTTTAGGATTTGTCAGCTTTCAGTTTTAGTCATGTCTGAACTTTTAATTGTTGTTTTATGTCATGTATGTTTCCCTGGAATTATTCTGGGCATCTTTCTCTACCCAGCGGGTGAGTACTGAAGCCATCGGTAATTCACCGCGAACCTTCATGTTGTCTTTCATTTGCTTTTCTGAAGAATGAAAATGGGAAGATTTATTCTCTCATATAATGGTTTTATATGTGGTTGTTTGGATTGTTTACTGTCTTTTGATTGATTTCTGGCCAGCAGAAGAGATCTAAGGCCACATCATGAACAAATTAACTCACCAGAAAATCTGATCTGGACAAAAATGTTACAGGTTGATGTTATAGTTAGAGCAACGATCCCAGAAGTTAAAGCACTAGGGGTAGCAAGCATTTAAATGTAATGTTACAAATCGGTTATCATGCTTAGGACAGGTCAAGCAATGGTTGGAGAACACCATCTGCCAAAGTTATAATCCTGCTAGCCTAAACAAGAAAGGTGAAACCTTTGTGAATACGGCTAAGGTTCACCATCTTTTGGCAAGCTACACGTGTTTCTGTGAAGCAAGACTGTGGACACATGAGAGGGATTTCTTAACTTCCTTTCATTGTCCTAAGACTCCTCTGTGCCAAAACCCTGGGTGCTTGTCCCATGTATAGTAGCAGCTCAGAGCCAGAACGAGTCTCGATTCTTTGGGGACTCTATTAGGCCATTGCTTTGTCATGGCAGTCACGGTCCGCAACTGCTCTTGTCATGGCAATTAGACTTCATTATCACTATCATTGAGATCAATTCATCAAAAGGCTCGAGCTCTTAACCTCTCCACATCCCACTATTGCCATGACAGTTTGACCTCATTACCACAAGCATTAAGATCAGTATGTTTAAGCTCTGAAACTTTTCTAATCGATTTAGAACCTAAAAAAAAAACAAACAAAAAACAAAGGTGGCAGGCCAAAGAACCTTTGAACACTTCAACTTGGCTAACAAAGAAGGCTGGGCGAGTGATTAGGCCGACTTATTGCTTACTGCCATGTTTTAAGCTTTGGGCTCCATAGACAGGACTCTGTAGTTAGGTATTTGGGAGGGGAGGAGAGAAATAACGCATGCAATAGAGATTGGATTCTGACCGGTTCTAGAATCTATGACAGGACATCTAAGACCAAGAAAGAATTCAACAAAGTCCATTACAGCTACCACTAAGACCTTTCAAAAACCTATACAGGTTTCTGACCAGATTAGATGGTTGGTTCAAAGTAATCTGATTCCTACGAACCGCGATCCACCCTGAAACTCAAACAATAAGAGTAACCAAGGAGTATTTCAACTCACAGTAATCAGCCACAATTATAGGATCTCTGGTCACTTTAATTTTTTCCATGGCCTTGAAAAATAAGGTATCTGCAACCATGACTTTGGTAAACAAAAGGAGCCTATGCAGCAGAATTATACAAGATTGCATTTTCACCTAAATGCTGCTCAGAATCTGGTCAAATGTGAACGGATATAATGAACATCTCACTAAATACCGCCACGTTCAGTTGTGATTGAAAAATAAAAAAACAGAGAAAAAAGTTGCATTAACCTCAATAGGAGTTCTACCATTTTTGTATGAACTGTAGCTGTTCAAGCTATATCTCAACAGCACTTATAATCTTTGACAAAACATTAAAAAAAATTCCAATCTATTATAAATGTGCATTAACCTCAGCTGTTTCCAGCACATCTCGGATTTTCTAGCCTCAAAAAAGAAAATACTCATAAACTGCACCCTGTAGAAGTAATGTTCCTAAGGCTCTATTAAAGCTAATCTGAAGAAGAAAGTTTTCCTGATGTCCTAGTTTCTCAATCAAAGAGACTGAAGCCCAAATCCTGCAAGGAGTAAAACAAAAGGTACATCAGTAAAATAGCAATTAAACAATATTTGCATGCGCAACAATAACCAGATGATCTACATGAGGACACAGCTCGACATGAATGCACGAAAGGAGGTCCCGGATTGAAAGGATCGAAAAGAGAGAAGTAGGAAGTGGTATCAAAAGAATGTTTAGCAAAACAATTAGCTAGTTATAAATCTAGTAATCTGGCCTTAAGAAGGACTTATATCTTCTGTATCATTATCTTTCTCTTCCACCTTCTCCTCTTTTGTCTCAACAGGGGCAGAAGAAGCAGCACCAGCAGCAGCTGGAGCAGCTGCTGCACCACCACCACCACAAGGCACAGAAGCTAATTTCTCCCTTCCAGCAGCAATAAGTTCAGTCATATCCTTATCCTTAACTTGAGACAATAGTAGCTCAATCCTATCATCATCAGCTTCAGCACCAACTGCAAACCATAGTTTGAATCATTAAAAACCTCAAAAAAGCCTAATAATTTCCATCAACTGAGACAGAAGCAGAGTAATATAATACAGCTTGCGATAAATCGATGCATAACACAGATTAAGATTCAATTCAGAATAGAACACAAAAGCATACAAATTGTCACAGAAAATAATTACTTCAATTGATCCTCAAATCAAGTTTCTCCGGAAGGCACAATCTCAGTACTTAATTATGTCAAAAAGCAACAGCTAAAGTCCAAATCAGAGCAATGCAGCCGGTCTGATTAAAATTACAGAAAGTTCAAAGAGATAAAACCATTATCTTATGCATAATTTGGTTGGCAAATCAGCACATACCTATCCAATCTAAAATTTTTAAGCCGTAACATATAATATCAACAAACAACTCATCAACATTATTACATAGCACATACAGCATTGTAAAACAAACTAGCTAATCCCCTGTTTTTGGTTCTCAACCAATATTTTCTTTTTGAACTTTAACAAAATTTATAGTTGGTTTTTAATTTTTTGGCCATTCTTTTACTCACCAGAATCAATATCATCCAAATAGAACACGAGATTGAATTTGAAAAAAATGAAAAGACCCAATATTTCTTATTACCTTTCCCTTTCAAGCCAAAATGTGTGTGTGTGTATATATATGAAAACAAGAAACAAAGATTTCTTCTTTCAATCCAAAAAGAATGTAAACAAGAAAACAATAAAGAGAAACAAAAAGATGGATACCAGAGGCAAGAATCTTCTTGATATCTTCAGCAGAAGGGCTATTCTTGCCACCCAAAACAGCAAACAAATAAGCTGCAACAGTCTTTATTGTTTCTTTTTCTATGCAAATTCAGCAGAGAAAGATTTTACCTTTGGGAGTCTTTTAAATGGTATGAAAGTTAGGGTTTTGATGGGGTATTTATACGGTTAGGGCTTTGTGATGTTTGGTTACTCGGTCAAAGTAACCCCCTTTGCACGTCCTCATAAGATCACTCATTACCGATAACTTAAAAAGCCATACCCATGCCTCCACTCCAAACAGTTAGAATGGATAAAATTTGAGAAAAATCATAAATCTAAATCTTCAGAATCTTCTTGAATGAAAAAAAAATCGAAATTTTAGTTACAAAAAAAAAAAAAAAAAACCCTAAGAAATTCTTAAGCACGTCGTCTTCATCTATCAAAGCAAGTCTGGAGAGTCTTAAGAGAAAAATCTTCCATCTAAATCTTTCGAACTCCCAGAGCTAATTCTCGTCGAAAAAAATTTAAAAATCAAATTCAGGAATATCTGCAAAGAAATTCTTAAGCAGGTCGCCCGTCAAAGCATCCAAGTCCGGAATTGGTCCGGGAATCACAATTTCTGAAATACTTTCGAAAATCATAGTTTCTGAAACGCTTTTTTTGTTCCCTTTTCTAATACTGGTACTCTTCTTTTCACAACCCCAATGTAAATCTAGAGGAATATTTTTTTCAATGCGAAAAACATCCTTAGTTTTCTTATTTAATAGGTTGAGGTCGAGGTCGATGTTTTTGTGAGAATTCTTTCGTGGCCTTCCCCTATTCATGATCACTAGAAAGTTGGAAGATAAAGAAAACTTAAAGCTTTGAATTTTCCTTCTATGATGGTTTCCTATACCTAGTAGGAAACATATATATATATATATATATATAAAATTCTAGTTTTTTCCTGCTCTGGGGGAAAGAAAAAGAAAAGAAAGAAGTACTGTACAAGTACAAAAAGAGACCTTTTTTTCTTAAGGAAGTTAAGTCTTTTATTCGAATAAAAATCGTTTTCGATACCCATTTAAATTATAATGAATTTCTTTGGCAATTATAATTTTTTAATTTGAACCCCAGATATCATTATGAGAGAGTAATCTATTTGTCAATGAGCTAATCCAAAAAGAAAAGAAAGAAAAAAAAACTTATAGTACAGAAAGATTTAAGTGTATCCAGATATCCAACAATTCCCTGATTATTATAATTACCAAAACCATGCTTAAGACTGAAAATCATGAGTGCCCATCATCGTGTTTGCTCTTAAAATTTCATATACGTGCCACTCTTGCCTTTAGGTATGAACCCTAGCCAGGAAGATTAAGAGATTTAAAACTTTCAGTAGAAGGTTTTAAATTCAAATATTAGAAAGGATGAAATAGGATTTCGGAATTGAAATTGGAAGAGGACCATTCTCATTGTAGCTCAAAGTCCATTGAATAAAAAAAAAAACATATATATGGACCAACCATTTCATGAAAGAATTTTACGAACCACAAGCAGATATAAAAATCATGAACATGTATGTTTTTCGACCAATCAAATCGTAAATTCATCATTACAGTACAGTTCTAGATGTTCTAGATATAGCCGATCCTCGTGATTAGGTGTATATATTTTCGAATCAGTTTTTGTATTCGTGGTACATCATAAATATATGATACATGATAATATGAAGACAGGTGGTGCACCCAACACTCTGTCTCCTTTTATTCATTCTCAAACATGAGATTTTTTTTTTTTTGGTGATTTTATTTTCCATCATTTTTTGGTAATTATAGTGGCAGCTAGGACTATTCCATCCCATCTTCGAGTGGAGGGGAAACAAAATCAATGAAATGAGAAAGCAGAAAAATGTGGGAGTGAGCACTTTGACATTGCAATCTGCAGTGCCACTTCCAGCTGACATGACTCATGGTGGAAAGAGTGTAGACCCACTTTCTTCCCAGGTCTCCTCAAAAACCTTAGTTACTTGTCATCCCATTTTGTACCAGATATTTATGGCATATTAAATGCTACAACCAACCATATGAGTCCAAGAAAAGGAGGATTGATGTAGAAATTTTTATTGATATATAGAAGTAGAACATGGACTATGATCCCTAGCTCGAAATCTCGCTTTCCGATGTTAACTTCTTGATCTATACAAATTGAAATGGCTCTTTCTGTAGATTTCCATCATTCTGGATTCATTGAGAAGGATAATTCTGAAAGAAGCAAGAGATTTGAATCCACAGCAGCTGTGAAGTTGCAGAAAGTTTACAGGAGTTATCGTACCCGCCGCAAGTTAGCAGATTCTGCTGTGCTTGCTGAAGAGCTCTGGTATGTGTGCTCCTTTTGTTTTTTATGTATAGATTACTACAACATATGGAACTCTTTTGTTTCCTAATCTGATGCGAAAGTGAAGGTGGAAAGCTTTAGATTATGCAAGGCTCAATCGCAGCACAGTTTCTTTCTTCAGTTTCGATAAACCTGAAACAGCAGCTTCGCGGTGGAGTAGGATAAGCTTGAATGCTGCAAAGGTTGTTGTTTGATTTCTTGCTTCTTAAAAACATGGCATAATTTGAAGACTGGTATCATGCACTTTTCCTCTTTTTGACAGGTGGGAAAAGGTTTAGCCAAAGATGCTAGGGCACAAAAATTAGCTTTCCAGCATTGGATTGAAGCTGTAAGCCTATATTGGTCTGCATTTGTTTATTTATGCTTAATCCTTTTATTTACTGGTTTTTCTGCTTCATTTTTGTTCACATGTGTTGTGGTCTAGATTGATCCAAGGCATCGGTATGGCCATAATTTGAATCTGTACTATGAAGAGTGGTGTAAGGCAGATGCAGGGCAACCATTTTTCCACTGGTATGTGTACTGGTTTCAACTAATTCGGTTATCTTTCGGTCTTTCTAAGGTAGCACTTGAAAGTTGTGGCTTCACATCTGTGCCATAAGTTTCTTCTCCAATCCATGCTTTTAATTTCTTTGCATAAGTGCATTTGGCTTAGATGCAATGATGCATCAAAATCAAAAGCCCGAAAGTTGGAATCTAATTCTTGCTACAATGAGTGCCAGATGGAGTAATATGTGTAAAATGCGACTCAAAAGTTTGAAAATTGGAATCTAATCCTGCTCCTTTTCTTCTCCACAAACTGCGCGTTGTTTCCGAAATATTGCTAAGGCTTTGATGCACCTTTTCTGTTGTTGTAGGAAGCATAATGTGATCCCTGATTGCTGTTATCTGCATCCTGCATTGTTTGAGAAATTTTACACTCTGCTGTTATATATTGAAGATAGTTGTCAGACCAATTTGTTTCTAAAAGGCTGTGTCTCTCTGCCTGGTTTCAGGCTGGATATTGGAGATGGTAAAGAAATTGATCTCAAAGATTGTCCAAGAACAAGACTTCGCCAAGAATGCATTCAATATCTGGGATCGGTATGTTCCTATGGATCGAAACTCAGAATCCATAGTTAAAATTCTGTCTTATTGTTACACTTAGGACAACAAAGTATTTCCGTAGCATTTAAGTTTTGTCTACCTCACTCCATACATCAGCTCACGATAAATCTGCACAATCAATTTAAGCACATCATGAAATGATGTTGACATTTGGCATAGCCTTGTATTCAGAAAGTAGATTAGTACTGTTTCAAATTATTTCAAAGAAAAATAGCAGAAAGGTTTTGATCGCCACTAGAATTGAACCTTTTATACGAGGGAAACAAGGTTTCCTGAATCCTGACTTGCTCTCACATTCCGTCATGATTTTCCCGGAAACAAGCAAGAGAGAGAGCTGTATGAATACATCGTTTCTGAAGGAACAGTGGTGCACAAACTGACTGGCAATCTACTAGATACAAATCAAGGAATGGAAGGTTCAAAATGGATATTCGTGATGAGCACCTGCAAAAAATTATATGCTGGATTGGTAAGGATCATTCTGGACATTAAATCATTTATTTGACAAATTTTCATCCTTCTATAAGACTGATAATGCCTTTTCTTGAACTTTCAGAAAAAGAAAGGAGCATTTCATCACTCAAGCTTTCTTGCTGGAGCGACCACTCTGGCTGCTGGGAGACTGACAGCAGAAAATGGAAAGCTCAGGGTAAGAATGCCATGATCCCTGTGAAAATGATAGTATAACTTTATAAAAGGCAGTTTAGTCTTTGATTTGTCTTTAACTAGAGAGTTGGAGAAAGGATAATTGGTTGCTTTGACTATACACATCTTGCTTCTGAATCTTAAATTTTCGTTGTCTTTCAGTCTGTATCAGCATACAGTGGGCATTACCGTCCAACGAACCAGAACCTCGACAGCTTCTTAGCCTTCCTCAAAGAAAATGGGATCAAGCTCAATGAAATTCAGGTATGAAACTCAATGCCATGGTATTTCACGAACCGGACATCCAATGTGCCATTTTTGCATAAAAACGTCTGATGGAGCCTTTCCAGCCAAGGCCTATACTTGGTTTTGCCAAGAATCATTCTTATTCTTTAGCAGTCACTTGATATGGTACTTCTACTCGGTCATTGTTCCATCTGGTGCTGCTCTATGCAGGTACTTAAACCAGAAGTTAGTGAAAGCTGTAAATCAAGTGAATCATCTCAAGATAAAAGTACATTTGGTTGGTCACTGGATTCCAAGCCGTCTAAACTTAATGCTTCGAGTAAAATTAACAACTACCAAACTTCTGAATCATCCATGTCTTCACAAACCACAAGAACACGCAGTTACACGAGAATGCTATCTGGTAATATCCAGAACACAAAAACAAGTGTACCAAAGAAGGAGATATTTCAGAGAATCAAATCCAAGAACGAAGCTAGGTCATACCAATTAGGGCACCAACTGTCTTTGAAATGGTCAACTGGAGCTGGTCCCAGAATCGGGTGTGTTGCAGACTACCCTCTGAAACTAAGGGAGCAAGCCCTCACGTTTGTTGACCTCTCACCCAGTGATGATCTGCACACGCCATCTGCCTATGAACTTCCCGGTTGTCTTCTTTCTATAAGAGATCTTTGTAGGATGATGTAACGGAGATTCAACAACTATCTTCACAGAGTCAGCATTCCTGGGGACTTTGCTTACTATTCTTGTAATCCCTTTGTTGTTACAGTTAGAAACAGAACTAAAGTCATTGCTGAATGCTGATGTCTGATGAGCTCTAATTAATGTGACGATGTCCTCTCTTTCTTTATATCTACTTGCATCATCAAATAAAGTATCTATTGAATTTTTTTCACATTTGCAGCCTCATAAGAGATTCCTAAGCTGTCATATGGGACTAAACGCTTCTCGTTCTGTTTGCTGGAGACAAAAAGACAGACCATTCAAGATGGGTGTTAGTGTTCATATCTGTGGGAGACCCAAATGTTAATTATCTTGGCATAGACTGCCCTACCCTCAGGCTTGTTGGGGAAGGTGCGTCTAAATGTCTATAGAAAGCATTTCATGCAGATAGAACACAGAGGTTAAATACCACAACACTGACATTCCTCTTTATCTTCAGCTTTTTATTTCCCATCTCTTTTTGTTTATCTTCCAAGCTTTGAACAGGCTGCGTTTTCTCTCAAAAACACCACAAATAAAATAAAATTCTATGGACTAGTATAGTGTTGGGGAAGCCGAGATGCAACCATTTTGAAATTGATCCAGAGACTGAAAGCAGTTCTAAGGCCAAAGCAAATTCATTTTAGTAGCCCTAGCCTGGATATGACCTCTGAACGGGTCAATAATACAAATTATTTTGAGGACTTTGGTGAATTGGGGATTCATATTTTCGAAGAGAACAATCAGATGAATAATAGCTATGCAGTAAAATGAGATTTTCTATTTAAGGATATTACAGATAACCATAAGAACGTACCCGAGAAATTATTATAGTTTACATCCAAGTAAAAGGATGCTGGATATCCACAATCCACATGATAATCATAGTAAGTTCAACAAACTATAACCCAATAAAACACACTTTCACAAAGAAAATTTTATATCAGCAACATTATGCAGCAGCCACAGTTTCTGCAGGCTTTGCGGGTTCAGCTGGTGCCTCTTCTTCCCAGAAGGTAGTCTTCTTACCGGTCTTTGAGACGGTCTGAAGAACAGCATCTGGCTGCACGTTTCCTTTCACTGTGACTTTTTGCTCCTTCAAATCAATGTCATATGTTTCCACACCTGACGATGGTCACCGAAGAAACACTCAATTCAAAAACTATGAACCGACAGCCTCGGCTAAATCTGAAAATATCACTTGTTCGTGGAATTCCCAGCCAGGATTTATGGTTATTATTTGAAATTTAATTAACATTCTTTCTTCTTTATTCGTTGATGAAGAGTATAGAGGCAGATTACTTTCTAATGTACAATCAGCAATTTTCAAAAGTAAATATCAAGTTCTTCAAAAATTGCAAATGCTCAGAAACCTCATCATACCAAACTGCTATCTAACCCACTTGCAAAGTTGCAAAATTCTGTAACCAAACTTTGCTTAGATTCATTGTCAAATAGGCCATGAATAGAATTTACACCTTGCCCGTCTAAAATGTTTGGCCATTTCAATTGTGTGTGTGTGTATGTGTGTGTTGCGAGAGAAAGAAAGAACAAACAGCAAAGTTCTAAGGACTAAAAAGATCAATTGGAAGGGCAAGTACAAACCTTCCATTTTGCCCAAAACCCTCTTCACAGCCCCAACACAACCTTCACATGACATACCAACCTTGAGGACAACAGTCTGCAATCAACAAAATTGAAAATCATTAGACATACAAAAATCAGCAATAATCATAAGGCCAACAAATCGAAAAAGGGAAGGCAGCAAAAACCAAGAAAAGCACAAAAGCAGGTTAAAACTTCAGTTAACATGTAATAAGCCTCGACAAATTCCTAACTCATAACCATAACACAATAAGCAAAAAGTCAGCTTTTGTATCCCTTTCATCCCACAATTTTCATTCAATTAAAACCAGCCGTGATTCAAAACCCATAGTTCCAGGTTCCTAAAACAACAAAGCAGCAATTTCCCCCTCAAAAACTACCTTTACAGAATTAAATTTTACACCTTTAACAACTTTTTTTAATATAAAAAAATCTCCCTAAAATCCTCAAACAAAACAATTTTTTTAAAAAAAACCCAATAACCCCAGAAAAGATTTAAACTTGAAATCCAACCTAGCAACCCAAATTCTGCCAAAAAATCATAAACATCCCAATACAAGTCAAAACAAAACAAGAACATATTATTAACAAAAAATAATAAAATATAGACTTTGCCAGAAAAGGTGAATCAAGAAATAAGAATGTTTGGTACCTGAGACATGATTATGGTATTGCTGTTATAGACAGAACAAAAATCAAGAAGACGGAGAAGATTTTGAGTTTGGTGTTGATCTTTGCGCTGTTGCCTCAGTTTTCTTCCAGGTGATGGATTTTATAGACTTTTTGGTGTCTGTGATGATAAGTTTTATGTGGGTCCCTACCACAATTTTCCCATAATTAAGTTTCCATTTTTCATATTTTTTATTTTTCCTCTTCTATCCGTTAGGATGAGAGCCTTGGGCTTCAATTCGATATCAATTTTAATGTAATTTTTTTAGTTAATTTTTTTTTTTTAAGTTAGTCAACAGAACAGTATTGTGTGGGATTAAAGAATTTATAAAAAATACTTTTTTTTTACATCCCAACAATGCTTTAATATTTCCTTTTCTTTTGACCTCTTTGACATTTTTTTCTAAAAAACAAAAATAGTGACCATTTATATATTATTTAATTTTTTTCAAACCGACTTGCAGATTAATCAAAACTAAATATGTTCATCAAAGAATTTTAAGGACACTTGTACGAATTTGATAATTTTTCAAGTATAAAGTGCTTTGTCTTAATTTGAAAATTTAGTCCTTTCAGAAGAAAAATCTACATGCTTACATGTCAAAATTGAAAACAGAGGAACATTTGTGTCGTTCCTCTGACAAGACTTTAGAGAGGGGAAAAAAAATACAAATAGAAGTTTTTGGTATTAATCTTGTTAATTTTGTCTGAATCCAACATTTTTTGCTTATCCACAGATCTGATTTGGTGGCTGAAAAGCCTGAACAGGTGGAACAACCTTTTAAAAGAAGCCCATGTCTTTTTGTTAGGGGTATCCATGGATTCCCTTACAAGTCATGCAATACGAGGGCAGTACAACCTTGTACCACCAAGATAGTACACAACGACGTGGATGCAGTACCAAAATACCCATTGCCAAATGCCAACCAAATCTTAGACGTAGAATCTTTTGTGCCAACCAAGTCCTAGTTTTGGGCCTCTTTTACGCGCTATTGGCTTTTGCTTGTAGGGATGGCCATGGGCGGGGTGGGCCGGGGATCGCCATCCCTACCCCTGCCCCGCGCCTTTAAAAAATTCCACATTTCCACCCCATGTTTAGAACGGACCATAATTTGTCATCCCATCTTCGCTTCAATCGAAGACGGGAATTCCTACGAGGTAAATGGGATTTCGTTTTATTGTTTATATCCGCTCCATCTTATTTTATCCGTTTTGATATATTTTATAATAAGCATACATAATTTGTATAATTTTATTTTTTAAACAAGAGATCAAATCACATAAACTCTATTATAAATCATTGTTGATGGGGCAAAACGGGATGGGGTGGGCAAATCCCATCCCCGTCCAAAAAAATTACAGGGTAGGGCGCCTCGCTCCGTTCCCCAATCAATATGGGGGATCCTTACGTTGACCGAGGCGAAGAGGGGCGGGGCGACCTCGGATCGGGTCATTTTGCCATTCCTATTTGCTTGTACCATTCTATTTCTATGCCAAATATTGAGTCTTGATTGAACTAACTTTTTCTTTCTTAATTCGAGAATCGATTGTCTTCAACCATCTTTGGCTAATATGAATTGATTTTAAATCCTAAGATTTTAAATTTTTTATAATTTTGAAATCGAAAAATCAAATATAAGCTTTACGAAGGTCACGAAAATGTATAACAAAATAAAATTAGAAATTCTTGATTGAGTAATACGTGAAATTAAAATTCAAACTTGCTTTCAATATCCAAGTTTCCTTGTATATAAGTCATTTTGGAAACAAAACTTATCCAAGCGAGGCAATACTTCTTGGAGGAATAAAGGCCAATCAAATGATACAATGAAATATATTGGCCCATGATTTTGTAGTAGTTATATTTTTCTTTTGATAACAAGTATATTTTCGAGTAAATTTTAGTATATCAACACTAAATTTTTGTTTAGTCTTTGCTATAAATAAAAATAAAACATTTTTTTTTATTTAATTTTCAAAAGTTGAAACGTCAGTAAAGTGTTTGTTTTTATAAAAATGAAACAACCTACTTCATAGAAAGCTATTATTATAATTAATTTATTAATTTTATCTGACGTGATGTAAAAAATATAGAATTAAAATTGTTGGGAAAAAAATAATTTTTAATTACCATGTAAATTGATTTGAAAATATCTTTACCACCAAATCTTGATATTAAAATTATTTAATTGAAAAATGTATGGAATCTTGAATTGCGCATCGATTCAATAATGGAGAAGGTTGCGTCCTCCATCTTCTATAGACATTACTCAATTGCAGAGTTGACTAAGTGAATAAGAACTACGAAGTAGTTATTCAATTAAACATGACTACATTGAAAAAGAAAAGAAGGAATTGATAAAGGAAAGGGAAAAGAACAGGATGTGTTTGTCTGTTTATACATGGCATCATGTGTTGGTTAGTCACTTATGTCAAACCATGCCTGTAATTATTGTTTGAAGCAAGTTCAACTACCTCAGCTGTCCTTTTCCCTTTTCTATTTTTTCTTGTATTTACCTTAGAGAAAAGTGCACATCATTTTTAGGTTATTGTTTGGATTTTTTTTTTTTTCATAGACAGTACCGTAGGGCCTATAATTAATAGTTAGAGAGTCAAAAGAGTTAATGTTAGTAGTTAGTAATTAACAAAATAATAGAACAAAATCATATTATTGTTTGGATTTTTTTTTTCATAGATGGTATTATAGAGCCTATAATTAATAGTTATAGAGTAAAAGAATTAACGGTAGCAGTTAGTAGTTAAAAGAGTAAAAAAAACAAAATCATATTATCCCAGCAGACTGAATTGATGACTATTACAACAATAAAAATCCATTTTACCTTTCTACTGTAATAATTTTTTTAAAACACTCTAAAATAAGGATTTTTAGGTAATCATTAAGAAAGAAATGTGTATTATTTATTTAAAATTTAACTGAAAATAAAATTCAATAACTATGTATAAAAATTGATCCAAACATATCTTTACACCACACCGAAGCCATGTTTCGATTCTAGTAGACAAAGACATCAATTACCATGCAAGGAAATTTGTGATGGCATCGATTTCTTACCAACTTTTTTAAGGTTGGGCTGTCCTCTTCAATGGCCTTGCTATTGTGTATTTGAGTCACTAAATGGGCTTCCATCACATGAAAGATTTTAAAAGTAGTACATAGATATCTTGGACTTGCGGTGAGTCTCTACAGCTTAAGGGCTGAACTTACCCCCTTGGGCTGCAACAAAGCCCAATAATTGGTGTCAATTCATCCATACATTATGGCCATATATTTGTCAGTTTATGGGCCTACTCATTTTTAGCTCACACATCCCATATGGACACTCAAAATTTTTAATAAAAATATTTTGTTAGGATTGCAGATAAGAAATCATTATCATTAAATTATAAGCTTTTTAATTTTATTGTTTATTGTATAGAAATTTAGGAGCCTTTCTTGTTTATTTTTATTCATTCAAAAGGATGTCTTGAAATGTTAATGGGCCCAAAAATTAATTTTTATTTTTTCAATAACTGAATCAGTCCAAACCTCAATTACTCAATGAAATTTGGATTTCCATTAATTGTTTTAGTTCGACAGTAAAAAATATTTTCAAACCAACTTAAATATTAATTGAAACTAAATAAATCTCTTTCATCAACAATGCTTGAAAATGCAGTATAGAGGCATTAAATATCCGTAGGAAAGTACTTCATTTTCTAGTACCCAAAACATATATATATATATATATATATATATATGTATGTATATGTTATTTTCTTGTCACATTTAAGTCATGGGCATCAAGCATGTACAAGCTTAGGTTGTCCACGCTTCTCAGCTCACTTTCCACTTAGTTGGCATAAATAAATGCCCAACCTAATAATTAAGCAAAAAGGTAAATGCACCAATAGATGTTTGACAACTGGATGCGTGTGGGGATACAAAATTCACAATTATTATATTGCAAGCTGCAACGACCAGTGTTCCAGCTAGCTAGTTCGTACAAACTCCAGAGACTGCCATAACAATAAATGTCTTAATTCCACGTGCAAAATATGGGGTTCCAGTTAGATCTCGAGAGGATAAAAATATGTAATGTTTTTCGCTTTTGAACCAAAGCATTAATTATGTATCAACAAAAACAAATTATTTGGATATGTTTTGAAGAGTTTGTTGAAAGCATTTCTAGTAAATTATAAATTAGTCCCTTTAGTTCTCAAAAGAAATTAAACAGTCCCTTCAGTTTCAATAACTTAATCTTTTTCATTCTTTGTTTTGTGTTTTTTATTCTAATAAATAAAAAAAGTAAAAAAAAAATGAAAAGATTGATGAGAAAAAAGATATTTTTTGAAATAAAATAATATTAAATTAATTGTGATTAAATTTGTCAATAGATTAATTAATTAATTAATTAGTTTTTGAAACAAAAGGAGCTATTTAATTCATTTTGTAAAACCAGAGGACTAACCTATAATTTACTCTTTGGGTTCGGATAGCATTTTTGGAGTGATATTGTTATATTTTAACCCTCCATTTCCTTTAAGAAGACTTAGGCATCAATAGAGAGAATTAGTTAAAGGAAGATCTTTGTTAGTATAGTTTTTTTCCCCCTCTTCATTCCTCTTACAAGAATGTTTTGCACACCTTCAAAGAATTTGTTGTTCAGACTCCATTTTTCTCAAGAAGTTGAGCTGAGGATCCGACTTCTTTGTTGTGAGGTATGTTCTCCTTCACCTCTATGTTTCCTTTTCTTTCGTCTATTTCTTAGAGAATATGACATAAAAAAGAGAATTTTATGAAAAAGATGGCGATGTGTATTCTTTTTTTATTAATTGACGTGGTATTATTCTGTTACTCCTTTCCATTTCATTTTCTTGATTAGCTGAATGTTCCTTTTCTGGAACAAAATGATTAAATTGTTACCTTACAATTGAAAATAAATAAATAAATGTAATATATATGTAGATATGATCACAGGGATTTGCTGCCATACATTTTATGAAAAAAAATAAAATAAATTTGTGGCTTACACAATATCATGTTTTTCACTTTTAATTTGGGTTCTAATGACTATGAAATTCTAACTTGTTAGCATTATTACATTGCAAGAAAACAAAGATTTAGTGATTGTGTTTTAACGACAGTTTTTTAAATTGTTGTTAAAAATCATGAATTAGCAATGTTCTCAGTAAATTGTAGTTAATTTTTTTTCAAGTCTTGTTTTTTAGTGACATTTTTTAAAACGTTGTAGTTTCGAACCAAGTTTAGAGTTTTTAGCGACATTTTTTATTAAACCGTCGCTAAAAAATCCCTTTTTTTTTAAATTTAGTGACGATTTAAGGAAACAATCATTAAATCCCTAAAAAATAGGTTCATTAGTGAGAAGTTTCTTAATGACGGTTTTTGACTATCGCTAAATGAATATTTTTTGTGTAATGTAATTAATTAAGAACAATTAAGTTATGGAATTTTTTATGAAATTTATGTGTGCATGTATATGTAGCTAATTACCCTCCTAAATTAATTCCCTAAATTTGATTGATAATTAAATTAATTTTCTAATAATTGATATATCCTTTTTTCTAAATTAGTCTAGTTGATATTTGCCTAGCTAATTGATTGATGGAGGGATTGGCATTAAGAGTTAAACTTGAGGCATAATGATGAGCTTGTGGCTGTGAATGGTGGGTAAAATGAAAATAACAATAGAAAACAAGAAAAACTTGTCGGTGGATGGACTTGTTTTGCCCAAATAAAAACTAGATAAACCTAAAAACAAGCTATTTGGGTAGGATTTCTTTTCGAAATCTTGATTCATGGATTAAATTGAACAATTAAAGATAAATTAGAGTTTTGTCCTATTATATATTATAAAGATGGATTTGAGCTATTTTGTTTAAAAAATATATTTCAAGATTTTTTTTTGTTGGTAATTTAATCCTTTTTCTTAATGATAGTTTTGTTTTTAGGATAACATGATCAATTACCATAAAAAGGCTTTTAACCACCTTTAATTTCTTTTCTTTTTCTTTTTTTAATTGAAAGTGTGTTGTTCATATGCATTTTTGTTCTATTACAGTATTAAATATGATAAAAATTATAGAAATTCATCCTTCCAATAATAACAATAACAATAACAATAACAATTATTATTATAGAAATTCATTACTGCCTGAGTGCCAATTTGCCTTTATTAAATATAGGCCAAAATATTCTAGGTAATTTGACAAGTTAAATGGTCTCTGTCATTCTTCTTTACCGCACCTACGTACCTACATGACACATGCCATTTTAACCCATCCACAGGTGACTCTTGGCCTATTATTGCACATAACTCTCAATGTCCCCATGTCAGAACCAGAGAATATGACAAAGATTGCAACATCAACCATAACATAAATTGATAAACATCGGACAATATTATGGTACGTTATCCCTTTCTCTAATTTCAGCCTGAAGCCCACCGCTTAGCATTGCAGTTAGCCCCGGACTGAACCGGGGTGCAACCTCAGGTGCTACGATTTTGATGTCGAACTTTTGGAATACAGAAAGAGCTACAATTTTCATCTCCACAAGTGACATTTCCTTCCCCAAGCAAACTCGAATCCCAGCCTGAAAAACTGGGCACTTGAATGGACTGATTGGACAAAAAGTACCATTTTTAAGCCACCTTTCTGGCCTAAATTCCATACAATCTAGTCCCCAGATTGTTTCCATTCGACCCATTGCATAAGGATGGTAAGTGACCCTAGTCCCCTTCCTAACAAAAGTCCCGTCAGGCAAAAAATCATCTTCTATGGCAAATTTTGAGTCAAATTGCACTGGTGGATATAATCTCAGGCTTTCGTTAACAACTGCGTGGAGATAATGCATTTCCCTTATTTGTTCATAGCTTGCAAATTCTTGATTTGATGCCATCACTTGGTTTGACTCCTCTCTAATTTTGGACACAACTTTTGGGTGATTTGCTAGTAGCCAGAAGAATGTTGTCAATGCTGAGGCCATTGTGTCTCGGCCTGCCAAGATGAAACTTGTAACAATGTCTTTCAAATATTGATCATCAGCAACGCAAGCCATGAATCTGGATAGAAGATCTTGATTTGTAGAGAAACCTAACTTCCTTTTCTGCAGGATGACCTCATCGGCAAGCAAGTTGACAACCTCAATAGCTTCCTTGAGCTTTTTCTCTGTGCCCATGTTGAGAAACCGTTTGATCTTCCAAACTAATGGCAGCGTTGCCATAGCTCTCTCTGCTGATAACTTCGTCGCAAGATCGAAGGACTCGGCGAAAACAGAAATCGGCAATGATGATTCAAGACAACCGGGGTCTAGTCCGAAAGAAAATTTACAAATGTTATCGAACGAAAATCGTCTGAAAACATCCTGTAAATCTATTAGGCCACCATGTTTACTGTTGGCAGCTGATGTCAAAAGAGGGAGAAGCCGGCATTTGATCTCGGTGTTGACAATCTCAAATGCATAGTTTCGAATTGAGACGCTTGCGAGCTCTAGACTAGCCATTTTCCTTTGAAACAGCCACAAATCGCCATCTACATTGAAAATACCTTTGCCTAGAAGATCACCAAGGATCCTAGAAAAAGGTCTTCCTTTTGGATAGTTTTCAAATTTTGTTTTCAGAATGTACTCAACATTGTCAGGATTGGCAGTGATTATGTTACCAAGAACATGAATGTGAATGGTTTGTCTAGGAGAATTTTGGAGAAGGTGAGTGTACCAATCACAGAGATTCTTGAAGTCTCTTGACCACCCTGATAAGAGATAACTTGTACAAATTTCACAGTTGCAGTACCAGAATTTTGATCTCAGTAGATAGAGCAGCACAAGGAATAGAAAGGAGATGGTGGGAAAGAAAAGGGAGTACCAAAAAGTAGCTTGCAAAATATCTTTGGACTCCATTAATACGGATGCTTAAAACTCTCGTAAAGAGAAGAAGAGAGCAAGGAAAGATGAAATTAGCAAGCTATAGGTAGATTATTGGATGCCCTTTACTTTATAGAAATATTCCAACTAAGTCTAATTCAGGACATAGTTCTCACATAATAAATAATATTTTTTTTAATGATGTTTTTCAATTTTTTCTAGGAATTTCAATTCACAGAACCCTTTTTTTTTTTTTTTTTTTTTGCCTTAAAAATGAAAAAAATTTGTCTTGTGAATTTCATGGACGTCATTGACAGCGATGGCTTTGAATTCGAAAGCAACTATACCATGATCTTTTCATCACTTGACCTTTTCAAAATCATGAACCAATTCAACTTGTAAAACGACAATAACTTAAGCCAACTATAGTCTTGTAAGAAGCAAGAATATCTTTATTTTTGTAGTTGTTTTAAGGTAGTAATTTAGTTGTGCTTTGGTTTAGTCATCTTCAACTATCAAGAAATTGCCCATGTTATTGTTCTGAATTAATGGAATTCCTATTCTAATCCTCCTCTTGTGATGAAATCAAGGTAAAAGATTTCAATTTTTTTTTAAAAAAAAGTTAATTTGTTACTACTTTATTTGATTAATTAGTTGAATTAATTTTATTATTGGTTTTTGTTTCTTTTATTATTGCAGGAACGACAATGCTTCAAAACAAGTTAGCTAAATCAACAACTTTCCATTTTGAATAAACATTACCATATCAATTTAGATTCTTCGACTCTTTCTTTCTTCACATTAAAAAAAAAAATGATGTGTCAAGATCATTTAAATGTCTCTCTTTTTCTATTATAAAATAAGATTTTAAAACCGCTGATCAATAGTTTCGAATATGATAGAAAATCAAAAAATTAATAAAATTTAATATATAAAAGAGAGATAAATATCAAGAAATAAAAGAAATAAGAGAGAGAATTTATTAAAAAAAAGTTAGGTGAAAATATTTTTATTATTTTTAATAAATTTAATTTTTTTAATAGATAATAAAACAAATATTATTAATTATTTATTGAATATTATAAAATTTCTGTTAAAGAATCGTATTACTATGTATTATTTAAAAACTTGCTACCTCTAGATCAAAAATTTATTTATTATATTATTCAGATCGCAATCGACTATAAGAATGTTATCCTTATCAATCTATCTTTATTCGAATTAAAAATTTAAATGTATTCTTGATGTACTAAATGTAGTATATAATATTCCACTCTCACATCAAAATCAAAAGTTAACTTTAATATTATATGAGCTGCCGATTTCTACAATCGAAAAATATAGAGCTTCTGTATTCGTGCCGATGACCAGACTTACAGTCATAAGGGGACCAATTGGGGATGTTTCAGAGGTAGATTATTCTATAATTTCACCGACAAAATTGGAAAGAGTTAGCCAATCGCTCAATCTATCCATGATCTTTCCATTTTGGATATCAGCATATATCCAAAAATATCTTAAACTCCAACATGTTCATAAAGTCCTACATACCAAAAGTGCATAAGTAAAGCAATTCCATTGGCTTTCTCACTGTACAGATCTTCCTGCCTTTCAACACCAACCAAATCCTGCAGTCACGTGTCATAATTTTTTTCTTTAATATATATATATATATATACACACACACAATCTTATTAATCTTATTAATCGATCCAAAATTAAACAGGTGTTGATCTAGTCTCAGAAACGACGGATCAACAATTTAAAACTAAGCCATTCTAAATCCCTTATTGGCATGTCTGAGTACATGATTTAATTTCATTATCATCACGGACCTGGAAAATAGTAATAATTATAATGCATTGGTGGTGTGAGAGTTTTAATTGTTTTAAGAGTGGGTGTTTAGATTTTATTAGTTCTTTATATATATATATATATATTTAAAAAACCATAAACATTTGTTTTCATTGAGAGGAGAATAAAAATCCTTGCTTAGACAAGTTCTATTCAATTCAAAATCTTTTTCTAAAATATTTAATTCAGTATTGATATTTTTGGTGATTGTAGAAAAAAGATGGAGATATAGGTGGTGAAGGGCTTTTAAATATATATACCTTCAATTTTCTCTTCCTATAATATTTATATCGATTTGTCTAAAATATTTCCATTTTTTTCTTCAACTTGGTTTTTAACCTTAACTTTTTTTTTTTTTTAAAGAGTATGACAAGAGTTAAAAAAAAAAAAAAAACCCTCTATATTTTTATCTTAAAAAATGTGCAAAAATCTTTATGGCATGTCTTGAAGTTTATTGATGCTCAATAAGAATCCATACAATAACGTTCAATGGCTTTTTTTATTTTTATTTTTTAAATAAACCGATGTTTATGTATGCTTTATAAAAAAAAAATAATTTAACAATAAAATAGTAAGAAAATAAGAATTACAAATATTTTAGGCAAGGTGAAAAGAAAATAAGAAATACAAGTACTATAGGTAGAGAAAAATTGTAAACACTAATTAAGAGAGAATATATAAAAATGAAATATAATAAAGTAAGTTAAAGTTTGAGATATTAGAGTATCTCAACCAGAGATGGCAATGTGTCAGTAACCAACTCATTAATTTAATTATTTTATCCTACCTATTAAGAAATCCTAATATAAATCTTTATCGATTTCATATCCTATTTATATTAGTTTATCCGTCCATTTAATACTCACTAAATATTCAATAAATTTAATTTATCAAAAAAATTCATTTTAGCTCGTATAATTTTTTTTAAAAAAGTTTTTTTGATCCTTAATTTTTTTTTTTTTTTTTGTGTTTTGATCATTTATTTATAAGTTTTTTAATTTTTGTCCTCAAAGTTTTTGAAAAAAATATTTTGATTTTTAATTTTTAAATTTCATACAATTAGATCCATGCATGTTAATAAAAAAATTTAAATAAAATAATGCATATTAATAAGATAAAAAAATGAGTACTTATATCATGATTGCATATTAATGAATAAGTATTTTTTTTTATCTTTATTCACTTCAATATTCATTTGATATTTTTAATGAATATTTATTGAAAATAGTAAAATGGGTATTCATTTTATAGTCGATTCATTATCATCCCTAGTTACAATCGTTAGATTAAAAGGGAGTCAACGATTAAATACGTAAGTGGATACTTCCTCTCTCAATTTCATTTCTTTTCAACTAAAATATATATACTTTAGAGAAGCATTTTTAATCATGTTATAGCAGACGCATTCAAATGATAACATTTTGTAATGCAAAGAATTGAACACGTGTGATAGCAGCGTCCACATTTGGTGGAGGCTTTATGGCAAAAATAATATATCGGCTGTTATGAAGATGACAGCCAGTTGGCATGTAACTTGGCAAAATAATTTTATAACAATTTTATAGGTCATTGTATGTGTAACACTATTAAAAAAAAAAAATACACTCAGTGCCCATGTGCATCAGTGGTGTGTGCAAGCCGACCGTTATATAGTATATCAAAACGATATCATTTTGACATTCGATTATTAATTATTTTTTAAAAAAATTTTAATCCTCTAATTTTAAAATTTTTTAAACTTTTTCTTAAAATATTATAAAGATTTTATAAAAAATATTTTTTTATAATTTATAAAATTAGAAAGGTTAACTCTTAATTATACTTATTTTTAATTTATAAAATATTTTTAAGGCCTGAAATTATGTATTTTTAATTATATTTTTTACAATAATATTTTACAAAAAAAGTTTCAAATTAGGGGGTAAAAATATTTATAAAATATATTTTTTATATAATTTATAAAATATTTATAAGAAAAAAGTTTTTTAAAAAGTTTCTAGATTAAAGAGGTTAAAAATATTTAAAAAAATATATATAATTAACTACGGAAAATCAAAACGACGTCGTTTTAACATCTCAAGTAACGATCAATTGTTGATCGTTACACATAACATAGATTGAGCAATTTAAATTATATTTATCTAATTTTTATTATTTTAAATTTTAAATTATGTAATTTGATACTATGAATCTAAAATTATCAAATTGCAATTGAACAAAGACAAAATTTGCTATTAAAACATTTTTTAACAATGCTATCCTTAACGGTAATACGTAGCAAGTGGGAATTTATTTTTTATTTTTTATTTTTTAATATTGATCGAGTTGATTCTTCCTTTCCCATCTCCCAGAACCAAACCGTGCACCCAACTTGGGATTGAAAAATGCTGGACATACGTTGAGTGGGGAAACAATTGCGTTGGGCCTGTTATGTTCCAGCTTGTTACGAGAAAAACGATGCTGGGTAAAAATATGGGGCAAATTTCAATTTCTCCCTTTAAAGTTAGTGTTTTCTCAATTTCATCTAAAACTTCAGATTTGTTTCAGTCAAAGTCTGTATCTTTCATTTTAGTTCTACTTTGTGTAAATTTTTCCAATTTCATCTTCAAAATTTATAGAATATCTCAATATAACTCAAACTATAAAGATGAAAAAATTAAAATTGAAAAAAATCATTAAAGAGAGATATTCTTTCAATAAAATAAACAGGATAAAAAAATATTTTTTCATCGAAATTAAGCTAACAATTAACCATTTGAATCTACAAGAAAAAAATAAATTAAAAATAGATATTATAAAAATATTTTTTTTAATAAATATTATCAACCACCACTCTCTCTCTCTCTCTCTCTAGATATATATATATATATATATATATATATAGAGTAGGGTTGAGGGTGAGGGAACAAATGTTTTTGGACTGGGTATGGTGATGTGAAGAGAAAAGGCATGTGGATTTTACGAATCTGATACGAGAACAATGGACATGGAAGTGAAGAAAACTAATCACATTTCACATTATCCACAAAAAAACGGAACCCCTAGTCAAAGGGCCCCGAAATCTGAAACTCAATAAAAGCTTGACACATGCTAATCCAATAGCTTGGCAAGTGTCCACGTGGCGTTATACGTGTCATGCAACGGTCTGGTTTGAATCACTATAAATTATGGCAACTATGGCATTACTTCATTGCCCAAAGATCTCTTTTCTTCTCTCAAAGTATTATAGCTTTCAAGTAATTAGTTTGTGTTCGTTCAGTCTTTCAAAGAAATCAATAACCAAAGATGGCTGACAACACTCAGAAGATAAGCTACCATGCTGGTGAGGCCAAGGGCCAAGCTCAGGTCAGCTCATGATTTTCTTTTCTTCGCTGTTATTCATATTCAAATTAAGGTATATACGTATATAATTAATATTCTCTAGTTAATAATTCCGGATTTTGTTTGTTTCAGGAGAAGGCCAGTAACATGATGGACAGAGCTGGCAATGCTGCTCAATCTGCAAAGGAATCAATGCAAGAGGTTCATATATTTTTTGTCCAATCCCATGCTCTATATTTTTTTCACAGAATTCATTAATTCTCACCATGCACAATGGCTTTTTGTATAAGAATATAAAAATAATCCAAAAGCCAGAAAAAAAGAAAGAAAAGAAAAATGGAGCAAGGAACATTTCACGAATACAGATTACAACACACTAGTGTTAATTAATTGCATATTTTGGCACAAATATTTAAGATAAGCGAGTTTGCAATATGGATTTTTGATTTTGATTTTGATACTTTGTGTTTTGAATAGGCTGGAGAGCAGGTGAGGGCTAAAGCGCAGGGAGCTGTTGAAGGAGTAAAGAATGCAACTGGCATGAACAAATGAAGCTGCATGGAGTCCAATAATTAATAATAGTCTATTGCATGCAATTTAGAAATTAAATGCAATATTTATCTATTCGGCACTGTCATTAGTTGTTTTTATAAATTAATCTATAGAGGACACATAGAGAGTGATATTTGTGGGTTTGATTTTATTTTTGTTTTCATTTGACATGTTTCTTTTTGTTTTAGGAATGTGATTATAGTACGTACTGTACTGTAATTGGTGTGGTTGAACATCATAAATAAAGTGATACACTTTTTGTTTTTTTTTTTGTTTTTATATATAAATTAGAAGCATGGTTTGAGTTAAGACTGCATTTCCTATTCTTGTAAACCTTAATTTGTAGATGAAAATAATTAAAATAAGAAAAAGAAAAAGAAAAAGAAAAAGAAAAGAAAAACTCCCTCACATTACTCACATCAACAAAAGGAGGAATAAGTAAAAAAAAAAAAAAAAAAAAGGATGAATAGAAAAATTATAACCTTGTCCATATATTTTATTAAAATTAATTAATTAATTAGCAACAATTTACTTGACGAATTAAAGAAAGGAAAGACCTATGATTTATGCAGAAAATTAGATTAGTAAAAAGCTCTAAGTAATTAATGAGTTAAAAAACTCTAAGTGCTCCTAACATTACTCAACGAAATAACAACAACAAAAAGAAAAAGAGAATTATGGAAATAAGTAATTAATGAGTTAAAAAACTCTAAGTGCTCCTAACATTACGCAACAAAATAACAACAACAAAAAGAAGAAGAGAATTATGGAAATAAGTAATTAATGAGTAAAATCTATTACCAACCTTTTGAGCACCAGTAGCACATTAATTGGAGGAAAAAAGATCCATGTTTGCCATTATCTTGACAAAGAAATTCAAAGGGAGTGACAGAGTCTAGATAAGGAGCCATATCCTTATGCCTTAACAAGTGGGATCCTTTTATTTTTATTTACAAAGGTAACCTGGTTTTTGTTCTTGCTCACCAAAAACTCTGCCATCGTGGTTATTCCAACAATAGCAGCACTGAAAAGAGCTGTTCTGCCTCCAATATCTTGTATTTCCAATTCCTCTTCTGACATCAACTTCACCAATTCCTCTACAATTTTCAAATTTCCAGCACCAGCTGCTACATGAAAGGCAGTTTCACTGTAGGGTTCGATCTTGATGGTTTTTGCATCTGGATATTGGCTAAGGTAGTTTTTTATGGCATCCCAATCTCCTTTATGAGCGTACTTGTACAGGGCAAGCAAGGGACAAGTAAATTCATTGCTCACTTCAACAACAATGACAGTTGTGGCAATGTTTGTTGCCATGTTAGAAAATGTGTGTATTTCAGTCTCTCAAGCAGACCAGAGTGGTGCGGAGAAGACAGGAGATGGCAAAAACACGAGTGAAAGTATGGTTTTACCATGCTGCTTGGTGTTTCTTAGAGCCCAAACTATTTTTTCATTGAGAAGTTTTTTGATAATGCTATCCTTAAAGCTAATACGTAGCAAGTGGCTTTTTCTTTAATATTTGATCGAGTTGCTTCTTCCTTTTCCTTCTACAAAGGAATTTTCCAAGAATCAAACCGTGCCCCTAACTTGGGTTTGAAAAATGCAGGACATGTACGTTGAGTGGGGAATAATATTGCGTAGGGCCCGTAAGTTTTAATTTGTGTCTTTAAAGTTTATGTGTTTTTTCAATTTCATTTAAAATTTTTTATTTGTTTCAGTCAAACCCGTATCTTTCATTTTAGTTCCATTTTGTATAAATTTTATCAATTCTATTTTCAAATTTTATCGGATATCTCAATATAACTCAAAATATAAGAATGAAAAAAATTAAAATTGAAAAAATGTTAAAAAATTATATTCAATAAAGTATATATGATAAAAAAAATTATTTTTTCATCAACACTAGCTAACAATCATTTGAAAATACAAGAAAAAAATTAAGTAAATAAATATAATATTTTCTTTAATAAACATTATGAACCACCACTATGGATGCCTCTTATACACCCTATCACTAATCTATATATTTTATCTAATTTTTCATTAAAATCTTGAATAAGAATTTTGTGAAAAAGATAAAATAAAATCTCATACGAAGGGAATGATATTAGTTTGAGTATAGGATAATTTTGATATCATTTATAGCTTGATTATTTGTGCTATCGAAATGGTGAAGGTTTTGATAAATAATAATAATAATAATAATATATCACGCATATAAAAGATTAATTTGAATCTTAATTTTTATTTAACTGTAGTATTGATAAAAAAAAAAAAAAAGAAGTTGCTAAATTAGAATTAAAATTGATAGGATTTAATGTTTTTCTTGAGAAATTAACCCTGTCAAATTTTATCATATTTTATTATATTAATTTTTTATTTTTATTTTTGTTAATTTCAATTAGTTAATTTTTATTTTATTTTTTTACTTTTTGAATAATATTGAGATTTTTCATAAACTTCAAGGATACAAGATCGATGATGGCCTGTTTTTATTTTTGTGTTTATTATACAAGTGGCCTTTGTTGATTTTTTTTTATTATTATTACTAAAGAATGTGTTTTCCTTACCTTTATATGATAGAAAAATTTTCTAATAAAACAAAGAAAGCAATTTTATAAAGAAAATTGTAAAAAAAAAAAAAAAAAAGCCGAAACATCATACTAGTACGCGAGGGAGTCCGTTAAAGTGTTTCGGGGATCTCTAGGGTTGTGTTGGAAAAATTAGAGGACTGACGTGAATTATGAATTAGTTTATTAAGCCAGCGGCAATTCGATATAAGGCAGGCTCGTGTGAAGAAGAAGCACGTGGGAAGGATTTGATGAAGAGCATGGCTTGTGCGTGAGGGAGTTCGTTAGGCTGATGTGGCAAGTTCGTTAGTCAGTTGTCTTAGAGAAACTCTCATTGCTGACATTCTGGAAAATTACGCATTCTCTCTCCCTTCTATTTCTGATTTCTTCTTGCAATTTTCATTAATTCAAATTCGTCCAACACATGTTTGATAGAAGTCCTATTTGATTCCTTGTTTGGGTGTCTTCTGTCTCTTCAATTTCTTGGTTTTGGTTAGCGTTGGTTTTTGTGTCTAAAGAACAATAACTTCGAAGCAGAGAAAGAAAGGGGATTTTTTTGGTGTTAATCAATATTTCTTCAATTTCTTAGTTTTGGTTAGCGTTGGTTTTTGTGTCTAAAGAACAATAACTTCGAAGCAAAGAAAGAAAGGGGATTTTTTTGGTGTTAATCAATACTAGCAACAAATGTGATATTTATAAGTTAATTTAGGCTGATTTGGTTTGAGGAAAGTGGAGATAATGATGGAGTAAAATCTGAACATATCACAAAAAATCTGGACTCATAAACGATCATAATAGGCATGTTTTATAACGGTAAGAATAATAGGTATCTTGAATAGATTCAGGTTTAGACAAAAAAATTTAAATGAGTGGGATAAAAAAAATAGAGGCTTGGGTTGGGCACAACGAATAAACAAGTCATTTTACCTTACCTTGGCACAACTTGTTAGAGCACAAGCCCAAACAATGTTTCTTGTCTTTTGATAACATATAAGGTATTTTTTTTTAATAAAGTGTTATCATATATCTCTTCAGATCATTGGATGAAAAATTCTGAAAATCTTTTGAAATATTCACAACAGCTTTTATCTTTGTTAGTTGAGGAATCTTTTTTATTCTTTGTTGTTGCATTTATCATTTCTTGTAGGGTGGAGAGTGAGGGAACAAACGTTTTTGGGCTGGGTTTGGTGATTTGAAGAGAAAAAGCATGTGGATTTTACGATTCTGATATGAGAACGATGGACATGCATGGAAGTGAAAAAAAACTTAGCACATATCACATTATTCACAAAAAAAGGGAACCCCTAGTCAAAGGGCCCCAAAATCTGAACCTCAATAACAGCTTGACACATTTTAGTCCAATTCAACCAGCACTCCACGTGGCATTATACATGTCAAGCAACGGTCTGGTTTCAATCACTATAAATTATGGCAACTATGGCATTACTTCATTACCCAAAGATCTCTTTTCTTCTCTCAAAGTATTATAGCTTTCAAGTAATTAGTTTGTGTTCGCTCAATCTTTCATACCAAAGATGGCTGACAACACACAGAAGATGAGCTACCAGGCTGGTGAGGCCAAGGGCCAAGCTCAGGTCAGCTCATGATTTTCTTTTCTTCGCTTTTATTCATATTCAAATTAAGGTGTGTGTGTATATAATTAATTAATATTCTGTAATTAATAAATCTGGATTTTGTTCGTTTCAGGAGAAGGCCAGCAACATGATGGACAGAGCTGGCAATGCTGCTCAATCTGCAAAGGAATCAATGCAAGAGGTTCATATATTTTTTGTCCAATCCCATGCTCTATATTTTTTTCACAGAATTCATTAATTCTTACCATGCACAATGGCTTTTTGTATAAGAATATAAAATAATCCAGAAGCCAGAAAAGAAGAAAAGAAAAATGGAGTAAGGAACATTTCACGAATACAATTTACAACACACTAGTGATAATTAATTGCATATTTTGGCAAAAATATTTAAGATAAGTGAGTTTGCAATATGGGTCTTTGATTTTAATTTTGATACTTTTTGTTTTGTCTAGGTTGGCGAGCAGGTTAGGGCTAAGGCGCAGGGAGCTGTTGAAGGAGTAAAGAATGCAACTGGCATGAACAAATGAAGCTGAATGGAGTCCAATAATTAATAATAGTCTATTGCATGCAATTTAGAAATTAAATGCAATATTTATCTATTCGGCATTGTCATTAGTTGTTTTTTGTTTTTGACTACGTACCGACACTTGGACAACAACGCCTCTTGCGAGTGCTAGCAAATCCGGCATCGATGTTGCTGTCTTTGTATATCCTTAATTTCACGGAATGTAAAGCATTGAGCTTGTCCTAGAGTACGAGAACCTGCAATGGAAAACGAGTATGTTTTAGCATCAGAAATTAATATACATCAATAAATTAAGGTGATAGTGCCACTTAAGGCTTCTTATGTATGATGGTTATAACTTCGACCTGACAAAGCAACCATGTCCCTTGCAGTAAGTCCTTTCTTTTCGAAGCTGAGACACAAGACTCTCCAAGCTTTCAAAGAAAGCAGGTCGTTCTGCGTTGGCTAAAGCTCGACTTATCTCTACTTCCAAGCTTATGTAAACAGATGAAAAACGATCAGCAATATAATTACAAATTCCTTGCTTCCAAAAGACAAAACCAGATGAAACCAGAATATGTCTAGCTGACATTCAACTGTAAACTTATGTGCAGCAACATTTAATATTCGATTAGCAATTGATTTGTTATTTTAATGCTTAATGTGAAAAAAATAGCTATTTTTTGGCAAAGGATTGATGTTCTAGATTGCAAATATATGGCCTTAGAATAGAAAAAGAAGGTGCCATATTCATTTAAAGATTTTATGTTATTTCTCTTTTTTACGTATAAAAATCCTAACATGGACGACAGATTGACTCAACTTTGAAATGTCAGGTGCTTAATTAAACAAATCGAAAGTGTAGGAGGTAAGTAGAAAAGTCTGCAAACTGCAGGGAATAAATTAAAATTTACTAAGGGGCAGAAGTCCAGAAATCAGCCCAATACTCTAATGGGCCCTAAAATCACATACAAGGCAACACCATTTGACTTCTGTGAGGGTAGGATTATAATTTACGATGGCCCATTGGCTGAAAATGGGCTGCTTCGTACTCTTCAAAACTGTTTCTATAGCTTGTAAATAGTTTTGCCTACCGACAAAGCATTGAAAACAAAAAGAGGAATATAAATGATTTATAGTAGCATTCAAGAAATAATAAAGAAAATCAAAATCAAGAAACAATAAAACCAAATAAAATCAACAAGAATAATAATAATAATAAATAAAAAGGAAAGGATTTGGCATTGGTGGATAAAGAAAAAGAATTATTTATTCTTTCATTAGTCTTTAAGTTAGGAAGATGGTTTATTTTCTTGGTTTTTTAGATTACCAATAATAATAATAATAAATAAATAAATAAATAACTTCGTCTTGAAAGAATAACCTATGTCAAAATGCATATGTAAAGTTAAAATTTTGAAAGGCTGGTATCTGATATAGTCGTATCTATCATTGAACATTTTGAATCATAAATGATCCATATATCTTAATATAATTCACCAAATTATAAATGGTCATACACACTTTAGTTACTAGATGAGTAGTTTTGTAAATTATATTGCAGATGTATATTATAAAGAAGAAAGAAAAAAAAAATTCTCTCAAGTTTTCTCACTGAAGCAGAAAGGAATAAGGGAGATAACACATTTCTTATATACTTTTCTTGTTTCAGAAACACAAAATATTCCGGTAAAAGAAATATAAATTCTTTGCTTCCTAGAGACACCGCTGATGTCAAGATTTATGGTTGGGTCTTTCTGTAAATGTAAAAAGAAAGGGGTTCGACATTGGTGGGTCAAGCAATGGAATTGTTTATTCTTTTATTAGTCTGTAAGCTACAAACATGCTTTATTGTCTTGGTTCTTTTAGGATTGATTTCACAGTATTGTTCGTTTCTCTATTGTTGTTTTTTCAGGATTATCAACGACTTTAAAGTTATAAAAGAAATCTTGTGTTGTTCTGACTGCAAAATTAATTGTTAATTATAAGACATATTAAGGATGCCAGGACACCCAACGAGCCTTTGGGACACCATCGATGATGAATTATTGCAGCATGTTAAGGATGCCAGGACACCCAACGAGCCTTGGGACACTCTAGCAATAGTATTTACCAAGGTGAATGAAGCTAGGCTCAAAATTTTCAAAATTAGATCCAAAAATCAAATAACATCAATAAGGATGAGGAGAATTATTATTTAGAGTCTAAGACCTGACTATAATGCTCTTGTTACTGTTATTTGAGGCTAGGCTCAAGAACCAACTTTGTTAAAGTTGAAAAGCTTGTTAGCTAATCAAGAGGATTATCTAAGCAGATTACTGGAGTTTCAATAAATAAATAAATAAATAATAATAAAGAAGATCTTTTCAGCAGCAAACGAGGAATTTATTGTGTTTCGAGATTTATAATACATTGTCGGGAGAGAATTTGGAAAAAAAAAATACTTTATTGAAAAAAAAAATTACTAGATTGTTAGCAGGTAGCTCAACAACTCAATAAAACTAACATTCGGACGAATACTTGCGAACACAATTCGTAAATCATAAGATGGGGATTAAATTGATTTTTGAAACAAGGTAACTAATACAAAAAAATTGCTAAAACTAGAGGAACCGATTTATACCTTATTCTAACTGATAAAGTAACAAAAACATCCTTTCGTTCTGCCAACTCTATCAATGTCACAGCTCATGGGAAGGGACAAGGCCACAACGTTAGGAGAAAAAAGAAAAGAAAGACTTCTCTCTGTTTTTTGGTTTTCCCTCTCTTTTGTCTAAGAAAATAAGGGTGATACAATTCGAACTCACCACGGTTTAGTTATCATGATTTTAATATCATATCAAATGATCATTTTACCAAAAAACTTAAACTTTACTAAGATTTATATTATTTTCTAACACATGCTACCCCGATACAAAAGTAGAAAAGAAAAGCAGGACCTCCTTTATTTTGGTCTTGTCGTATTCATTTGTTTGTTAGATATTCTCATAATTATGTTCTTGTACTTCATTCAAATGAAATTACACTTGAGCAAAATACATCTGGCCAGCTATAACTGGTGAGTTCAGCAGGAGGAAATACTTTCTGTTTGGTGTGCTCCTGTAATGTAAGTAGATTAATTTGATCATTTTGTTTTGTTCTTAGCAACTTTTGCATTAAAGCATAAATATTATAGATAAACTAGCATTGTTGTCTCTTGATTTCTGGAGCAATCTCTTGAACATTAACTTTGTGATGGGATTAATTCATCTAGTTAGGTCAAGTTACTGCAGGAGTTAGGGGATTGGCTTCCTTTCTATCCCATCACAGTTAGAAACTAGGATTAGGGGGTAATTTTCTGAGCCATGACATGAAAATTGGACCATAAATGATAATGGCATAATCTAGCATCAAAGGTCACAGACAATTACTTGGGAAATGTTTGGTTGCCATTCAAATGGATGGCTAGCGCCCTTTCGTCCTTCAGTAATCAGTAATTTCTCATGAGAAGTTTGTAGAAAATTTCGATTATTTTGCAGTAATTAATGGATCCGTGCTTGTTACCCCCTGATCCGTAGGTATCTGCAGACAGCTTTAAACATGGCGACATATGTAGTCCCAAATGCAATAGTTGTTGAAGTCCTCAGAAATGACAACTATGAGAATTGGAGATGCTGTATAAAAAGCTACTTGTTAGCTCAAGGTCTATGGGATATCGTTGAACCAACTACTGGAGCTTCTGATGACAGGAACGCGGAAGTTGACTCTAAGCCTCCTGATAATGAAGAAGTTGCCAAAGCCAACTCTCAAACTTCTGACAATCAAAAAGCTGCTAGAGCAGACGCCAATTCTACTGCGCCTGATAATGAAGAGGTTGCCAAACCAGACTCTCACAGTACTTCTGATAATCAAGAACGTGCTCGAGCAGACACCATTGCTTCTGATAATCAAGATATTGCTAAAGCTGATTCTAAGGCTCCTGATAATCGAGAAGGCGCTCAAGCCCACTCTAAGAAGGATGCTGATAATCAAGAAGTTGCCAAAGTCGACCCTAAGGCTCTTGATAATCAAGAAAGGAATCAGACAAATTCCGAGGCTTGGTGTAAAAGGAATGCAGCTGCTTTACATGCAATTCAAATTTCATGTTCACCAGACATACTTTCCAAGATTAGGAGCATTGATTCGGCTAAAAAAGCTTGGGATACTTTGGCAAATATGCAAAAATTGCAGCTACAACCAGCTGAACCAGTATTACCAGGAGTGAATGCAGGTAACTGTACCACAACAATGATTTTCTCTTCACGATTCTGAGATGCACAGCTCGCAATCACATTTGATGATTTCTTGCATAGAGATAGAGCTGTATGAAATCAGTTTATGCATGTTCTGTTTCCCATTAGCTTGTCGTTATATATATTTATAAACATAACCTTAGTCTTTTGCCCTTTTATTTATTTATTTATTTATTTTAAAACATAACCGAGATTACAGCTTTTGTAATGGGTTTGAAAATCATGTTTATGTTGTTTCTCCTCTTAAAATAAATGCATGACTTTGGCAGGTCTTGTTCAGAACGCATATACTCGATTGCTTGAACTCAACAAGCATGCATATGCAGGGAATTGGGATTCTGTAAAAAGATTTCTTGACCATCATCCGAATGCAATAAATGCTAAAATTACATCTTATGGGGGAACAGCTCTTCATGTAGCGACTGTCGGCGGAAATGTGAAAATTGTGGAAAAGTTGGTAGAGTTTATGTCACCAGAAGACTTGGAAATAATGGATAATTATGGTAACACAGCCCTTTCCTATGCTGCTTGCCAAGGAACGGAAAAGATAGCGAAATGCATGATCAGAAAGAACAAAAAATTGCTTAACCTTCCTAATAGAATAGGACGTATTCCAGTTGTAGCATCTTGTAGTGGAAACCATAAGGATCTGACCCATCATCTTTACTCTGTAACTCCATTGGAACTACTAATTCAAGACAATGGCTGCCATGGATCATTGCTCCTCCAGTTTTCTATACTATGCAAAATGTTTGGTAAGAGCTACCCTCTTAAAAGCTAAGAGCATTACTTTTCTATAATATGTTACAAGCAGCACATTGAAAGGACCTCATCTACGGACTCACTGATGCTTCTTGATTGCTTTTGAAATGCTAAAATATCAGATATTGCTTTGGATCTGCTCCACCATTTTCCTAGTTTGGCTACCGCACTGGATAAGATTAGAAGTATCAATGCTGTGTTTAGATTGGCTCACATGCCTGACGTATTCCCTAGTGGAAGTCGACTTGCATTTTGGCAAAATTGGATCTATTCATGTCGGTATCAAAATTTCCCCAGTTTTCCCACAATTTCTGTGTTTAAATATATAATTTTCTCACTTATGAATTCTTTCTCATGCAAAGGTATACACATTCGACCACTTATAGCCTGCAGAGGTGATCATATGCATAGTGTTGATCAAGTTGATCAAAGCCAAAGTGAATCAAAGATCATTATGCAACAAGGTATATGTTATAGTTTCTTTTATCTCTTTTTCAATATTGTTTCATACTACTTCCTTTTACTTTGCTTCTATAGAGGCTATAGAGGATCGCAAGCTTGGAGCATAAAAATGGTGATATTTTTCGTATGTTGAACCTCTGACATTTGATCATGAAACCTTAGTATCTAATGTTACTGCAATGTTTTATTTTGCAGCTTTAGGTAGATCGCACACTCTTGTTGTAAGCCTCCTCAAATTCTTAGGTATTGTTTATCATACAACCAGGCATTACCACTTGATTTCGTTCTTATCATCACAGGCTTCATGTTTTGATTATTTTCTACTCGTTCACTTAGGCAGCAAGCAAATATATGACATGAAGCTGAATCATGTCTACTCCGTTGAACTTTTGCGTCGCATTTGTGAACATGTATCCACATTAGATATTGGGAAGTACAAAGAATTTGGGATATATGACTCATTTAGCAAAGCTATCGAGAACGGTATTGTTGAGTTTATTGTCACCATGGTTAAATTTTGTCCTGATACGTTATACACTATGGACAATTATGAGAGAAATATGTTCATGGCTTCAATTGCGCACAGACAAGAAAAGGTTTTTAGTCTTTTTTACGGGCTTGAAGGAAACAGCGGAGCGATCATTTCTGATGAAGATAAATTAGGAAATACATTGTTACATTGCGCAGGAGCTTTATCACCTTCTGCTCGATTGACTTGTATCTCGGGCGCAGCTCTTCAAATGCAGAGAGAACTGCAATGGTACCAGGTTAAAAAGCATAGCATATATATATATATATATGCTGGATCACATTGACAAACAGGCTAAGTAAACTACGACACTTTATTGATTTATAACTTCTAGCTCATTGATTTTGTTAATGCAGGAAGTGGAAAGTATTGTGAATCCTATGGCTAAAACATATCGCAATCAAAATGGAGAAACACCTGGTGAATTGTTTACCAAGAGGCATCAAAAGTTGATGGCAGATGGGGAGAAATGGATGAAGGAGACAGCAACTTCATCGACAGTTGTAGGTGCTCTTATCATTACAGTAATGTTCACTGCAGCATTCACCGTTCCTGGCGGTAACAAAGATACTGGCTTTCCAGTGTTTTTACATGAAAAGTCATTTATGACTTTTATAATCTCCGATGCAATTTCTCTCTTCGCGTCATCTACGTCAGTGTTGATGTTTCTAGGAATTCTCACATCACGATATTCAGAGAAGGATTTCCTTATATCGTTGCCTACAAAGCTGGTAATCGGTCTTTCTATGCTTTTCATCTCGATTGCAACTATGATGGTTGCTTTTTGTGCAGCTCTGATAATTGTGCTGGATGGAAAATTGAAAGTTGTCATTCCTATTTGTTTACTTGCGGGAATACCTGTAACCCTTTTTATATTGCTGCAATTTCCCCTCCTCGTTCAGATTTTCATATCCACATATGGGCCGGGTATCTTCAACAGGAAGATGAAGCGTTGGCACTGAATGTTTTTGTCTTGCGATGTAAGGCATGCCTTTTTGAACATTTATCAAGAGGCATCTTTGAAGTTTTCTTAAGATATGAAATGTTTGTTCTGTACTTTGAGTGATTACTCTTTAATGTAGAAGTTGAAATCTTATTCCAAATTTGAGCATGGTTAATATGATCAATCGAAAGTAGTACTCTGTTTTGCCGTGAAGTGATGCAGATTTGGTTTGAATCTTGTTTGTAATTTCCACTTGATTAAATGAATTTCTTGACTAACCATGAATTAACCTGCCAAACTAATTAATTAATCTATAAACATCTCAAAATATTTATTTATTCATTTATGTCCTAAATTTACAATAATACATAAACCATTAAGAATGATATAGTTTTACACTTTGGCAAGCTTTTCTAACTGTTTTTCTTCTGGCTTCATTGCATCGAATCCTTACATGTTCATTAAAATCTACATCACAACACACAACATCCATATACAAAATAATTAACCACACATGTTTATTTCAATAATTGAACCTAAAACACACAAAAGATGAGAGGATCTAATCAATTAAAAGTAAAAATTGCGTACATTTCAATAATTAGTACCAACGTTTCATTTTCTTGTCAAAGATGCCTGGTCTATATGTGGATAAAAAAAATCTTGACGAGGAGAGGAAATGGCAACAACATGCAAAAAGTGATCCCATAAATGTCATAAATGTCTTAAAGCAAAATTATTAGATAAATAAAGGAATTATTAGATATGTTAGAAGTTGTATTAAGCTCTCATGCACTATAAATGTCATAACTCAAAATTTGATCCCATAATTATTTTAGATCTTTTCAGAAATTTCTTTTTTTATTTATATAGTGTAGGTTTCATATAAATTTTTACTTTTTTTATTGTTTTATTGTTTTATTATTAGCTTTTAATTTTGGTTTACTTATATTATTGTTTTGTCGCAAATACAAAAAATAAAAAAATAAATAAATAAAGGAAGAAAGAAAAAATATATAAAAAAATTATATTGATTTCCCTTTTGTTTTATTTCATTTCCCCAAAATAAAAAAAATAAAAAAAATAAAAAGATAGGATTGATTACTAAGAAAATACAACCGATGGTGTAATTAAATAAAATTAAAAAGAACAGAAACCAAAATTGTGGAACGTAGGGCTGTAATTGCAAAACAATTGAAAGAATGAGGAGCCAACTTAACACTTGAAAAACGACGTTGTTTTGAAGCTTGTAAACATACTGTTCACCATCTTCTTCAGATAGACGCGCACAAATTTTTTTGCTCTCTCTCATTTGGCCTCGTCCTTTCCTTCCCTCTCACCTAGTCCAGGCTGGCTTCTTCCTCCACTCCGTACTCAAGCTGCAACAAAAGCAAACAAGGTAAGATGAGATACTGGAAATCAGGAGGAGGATACGCTAAAGAAGAGTTAGACGGCCAGGATTAATGTTGAGGAACCAACGGCCAGAATCAAGCCAGAGAGGCAAAATTCCAGATTGTTCTTAAGGTTTTATAAGAGAGACCTAAACTGGCAGTAAGGGAGGGGGTCTTTTGAAATCTCTGAGTTTTAGGGTTCTCAAAGAGTGTTATCTGCTTTTGGTAGCTTATAAACACAGAGAGAGTAGTGAAAAGGGAAAGAAGGAAAGATTCGGGCTTTAGGAATTGTTCAAGGAACTCTCTGTTCTTGAACACTTAAAACAGGGAAAGTAGTGGAGAGGGAAGTGTCATGGGTTGCATCACCATCATCACATCCAGACTTGTTTCTTTTTCATCCTGAGCTTCAACAGAAACTTCTCGCAAGCTTTCTCTATCCAGATTTGTTTCTTGTTCAGACTGAGCTTCAATCTATCCACCACAGCACCAAAGCTCTACCAGATAATATTCTCGCTCTTCATTTCTTTATTTTGCAGTTCAGACCATTTTTTCGTTGCTGTCCCTGGATCTTCCTAAGTTCTCTGTACGCTAGTTTAAACATTTTTACAAACCTAGGGACTAAGGACCATGTGAAAGTCCAAAAATTTTAAAGAACATCAGCCACCTTGGTATTGGCCTGTTGATGTTTGTTCAATGATGTTGTCCATTATGCATGGAAATCGCGGCAGTGGAGAAGGGGAAATGATATATATTTTGATTGAATTTAAGTTAATATTGCAAGAACTGACATTCAGTTTTTGAAGTACATGTTTCAGTATGTTAGGGAGAGGAAGGAATAGCTGATGCAGGCTCGGGTTTGTTGTTTCTGTTGGGCTGGGGCTGCAGAACTGGGGAGAAGGAAAGAAAAGGCCCAGGAAGGCCTGAGGTCCGAAAGATGGGTAGGCTTATTTGTTGCGCACAGTAGGCTTTTCCTTTTCCAGATTGCATGACAGTGGGCTTTAATTCAGGGCTGGTTTTATTTGGGCCAAGGGCTGGAGCTTTGGGCCTCCAAATAAGTACATTTTTAATTTTAAGATTTTAATTATTTTGATAAGGCTCCTTTAATCATTTTGACCTGAATTTTTTACATGTGTTACATATGTTTATCTTTGGGTTGTATTTTAAATTCACAATTTTTAAAATCCATTTACTATTTATTCGGAATTCATTTAATATTCTGATTAATTTTTAATTATTTTATTTTCTATCTATGGAATTTAATTATTTACACCTCTGTTTGATTTTATTTTAATCTAAAAATATTTGTGTGTTTGTATATAGACTGTATGTCAAGTTTCATAATTTTGTGAGCTCATTTTATATTTATTTAGTATTTATCATTGTTCTATTATTAATTTTATTAATTAATGTGTTCTATTTTAGAAGCTGATTTTTTTACCTTTGTTATTTTGACCTAAAATTTTTAATTCTGCTATTGTTATAAATTTATTGCTTAGTTAATGCAATAAGAGATTGTAAGAAGAAAACAAATTAAAAAAAAAAAATTCAACTAAGGTAGATATAAGTCAAACTTCAAATATCATTAGTTAGTTAAGTTGTTATTTGACGTACCGTTCATGTCAACACTTAACTAGATTTAATACTAAATTGAAGAGACTTTTAGTTTTAGGACTCGATGCTAATTTAGAAAATAA